GGATTGATGACGATTTTGGAAATCTCACAAGGGTACTCCAAGATTACGTTGAGGACCACAAGGTCTTGCCTTACTGTATGATCTTGCATAGCTTGGCTTACAGGTATTTAGGTGGAGGCCTATCAGACCCAACGTACAAGGATGCTGAATTTCCATACAGATCCTCTCCACAGATAACAGCAATGTTTTGGAATTTGGGAAACTGGTGCAGAAACAGATTTGAAAAATGCCCGGTTCCAGAAAGATTTCAACAATTCATACCACACATTGACTACACCATCGATGAGGATCATGAAAAATTTGATGAAAACAAATCACAGTTCAACAATTACTTCATCAATGTCATCAAGAACTTTGGAGGACATCTTTTCATGAATTGCGAGGCTGGTTCATTGTATCCTCACAGAGAAAGACTCAACGAGGTTGACTTTAAAACTTGCTTCAATGACTATCATGACTTGATGGTGGCAGCTCGCCTTGGAAAGGATGGCTATATCAAGCAAATTGCTGGATATCACACAGATGACAACGACACACGAGTTCGACAAGTCTCATGGGCAATCTTTGAAGTATCTTGGGGAAAGACAAAGGATCGAGATACAGATGAGATTGTTGACTTGACAAGAGCTAGGATGAGAATGACACGTGTGTGCGTTTATCACGTCGGACAGAAGTATGCATCAGACTCTGCTGGGATTGTTGGTGAGTGCTTAGCTGTTATGGCTTTTGAGTGTGCCAGATATCAAGTTGACTTCATCGCAGGTGATGGAAACAAGGCATGCTATTACAGCACACCAAAATCTCCAGGTGTCCCTACATACCAACACAGCCTTATCCAATTCTGGATCAACAGAATGGTAGGTGTTGCAACACAAGCCATGCGCAAGTATTTTGATTCATCTTGCCCTCCAATCAGGGTCAAGCATTTCATTTCTTGCAGTTATCGTGACTTGGATTTTCTTGCAACGCACTTGGATGGCATTACAACAGCAACATACACCGACGAGCTCATGAACAAGACAAATGGTAAAGGTGATTGTTGTATGTTAACAGTTGTTGAGTGGGGTCATTCACGTTTGATGTGTGAGGAACACCCAGAAGACTTTGAGGATGAAGATCACATGAACTATGTGGGTGAATTTTACTTCAAGGTAAATGAAACTTGCTTACATGGTGATCACAACATCTTCATGGTTGCCCCAAATGATCGCGATGCTCATAATCCAATTCTTATCCATCTTGATCCTTCTGATATGTCATGGAATGAACGACATCATTACAAACAGGCCTACAAGAAGAAGCAGTATGCTGATACAAGAAAGGAAAGACAGAAGGAGAAAAAGAGAAAGGCATATGAAGATCAAGCATCGACGTATCAGGGCAACACAGAGTGGGGTGGATCCTCATCTTCTTCGTCCAGACCATGGAGATCAAGCTTTTGGCTATGAGTGAGTGTATACTTCTTTAAATGAAGATAACACAGCATGAGAGGCCGTGTACAGTTTTTCTGTGCGTTCAACTTATTTCACACAGATGGCATATACTCTTTTAGATAGAGATAATGCCACAAGTGTCTGAACTTCAATTTAATGTAAAATAGAGACTCTTGTAAATAGAGATACTATATACATTTATCTCCATGAACCATCCGGCGAGCAGACCACTCCGAATGGAGCGAACTCCAAAAATTACCAACTTCGATTTCAGTCCATTGTTTGCTTGAATGAGCAACTTTGGAGATCCGCTATTTCCGTTTATTTCGTGATTTGGTCAATTGTTTTTCGTATGACCTGAATTTCTGAATCTTGCGAACCCGAACTTTTCAATTCGAACTTTCACCGGTAGAGCAAGGCATTTTGCCTATGGAGAGACCGTGCGCGAAGCACCATTGGTCGCTACTGGAAAAATTAGCGAATCCGCTGTTCTTTTTCGACATGTCCTTAGGACATTCGCTGCTTTCACGTGTTTTTCAATTTGAAGCCACTGCGTAACTCCGGTTTCTTTTGCTATTTGCCATTGTGTAGAGAAGTCAGGAAGATACTCTTAATACCAATTGGGTACGGCAAGGCGTAGTGCTCTACTCATTGCTTTTGAATTTGTGCCTGTGTTTTTGTTTCGACCTAATACCTACATAGGTACATGCATGAGTATTGAGCACATTTATATGCGCCCTTCAAGGCTCAAGAGGTATATAGAGTAACCCTGTAGACAAGCACAGACCGGCAACAGGCTGAGTAAAACAAGTGCTGTCATTGGGGAAGACGCCTTAGCTGATCTTGAAGTAGACGCTAGGGCCCCTCTTCAGCCCTCCCCCCCAATCCCCCCCCTCCCGCTTTTTTTAATTATTTAAATTCAAACTTGCACACTTTTCAATACACTTGTTTGATTCGACTATATTAATTTATTTTGTTATATATATATATATATCTAGACATATATATATATAGACACACGTATACATATATATATGTATATGTATATGTATATATTTGCATTTATATATACACTTATATTTATATATATTAATGTACTTATATAAATGTATATATATATACATACATATTAATATGTATATACATATCAATGTATATATATTTATATAATTATATAACTATAAGTATATATATATATTATAAATACACATACATATTTACTTATAGATATACAGACGTATACATATATATATATATATGACATATTTGTGGTTGTTTTTATACACAACTTTGATCCCAACATAAACAACAAATAATCATGTAATTATACCTAATTACATGTTGTATCCCTAAACCCTAAACCACACCCTGCATATACATACATACATGCATGCATGCATACATACCTACCTACCTACCTACGTACATACCTACCTACCTACCTACCTATACATACATACATACACACATACTATATATATATATATAGATTGATTGATTGAAGAAAACCAAAGAAACCTTGCAGAAAACGATGGAAAATTGAAGAAAACCATGGAACAATTGAAGAAAACTATGGAAAAATTGAAGAAAACCATGGAAAACTTGCAGAAAACCATTGGAAAACCATGGAAAAATTGAAGAAAACCCGGGAAAAATTGAAGAAACCAATGGAAAAATTGAAGAACACCATGGAAAACTTGCAGAAAACAATGGAAAATTGAAGAAAACCATGGAAAATTGAAGAAAACCATGGAACAATTGAAGAAAACTATGGAAACATTGAAGAAAACCATGGAAAAATTGAAGAAAACCATGGAAAAATTGAAGAGGCACGAACCCCAAAAAAAATTCCAAAACTGTAAAAAAAATAATACCAAAAACAATTCTGCACCCTTTTTCCTATTTTTTTTTCATGGCGAAATAGAAATCTCCAAAGATTGGATAGCCCCAAATGGCGTCCCACCGCAGCCCAGGTTGGGCGTCACCTCCATGTGCTTGGGAAGCGGCATGGGTGCTGCCTCTGTGATCGAGCTGGAGTGATGATTGGTTAGCTGATTGGTTCAACTTGGCGACGGAGACCAAGCTGCCTTGATATAATATATTTATATATTATACACAGTGTATATATATATACAATTATTGTTGTAAATCAGTGTATAACATATATATATATATACATATTATATATATGTTATATGTATAGGAAAAATACTGCTTGCAACGGCTAAAGGAGATGCATATTGCCCGGCATGGCTATTGACCATGAGGTCTATTTATGAGGAGACAGCAGGAGGCAACTTAGTGAGGAAAATTGAATAAAAGGCTGATTTATGGTTCACGATGATGTGTTCCAAAACAAAAGCAGAACCTCTAGATCTTAGTTCATGTTGACAAGTGACCCGCGTGCAGAACTGGCTTGACTGGTGAAAGCAACCATGTCCACCAGTTGTTGATGACATGGCAAGTTTGAGAGAGAGAGAGAGAGGCCTAGAAACCATAGAGAGTAACAAACCTCTCATTGCATCAGAATAGGGGTGTCTCAGAAAAATCCTGATAGTAACAGGTGTGACCGTGAAAGGTCCCCGATATTCATGAACCGCTCGTCTTGAATCCAAGGACCGGTTTTACATTTGAAGAAACACCAAAATGATGACCATTGGTTCGCAGGGATGATAAGAACCAGCAAGATTTTTTTCTGAGATCATGTCCAGGCAATCAAGGCAATCCGAGAGTATATCATTGGCTCTTATTAATGGTGTTTTATGGTTTATGCATGGTAATTTATGTTATTAATAAGGTTCCATTGGCTAGTCAGGCTGTCAGCGTAAAACATGCGTGACGTCGCCAAATAGTCATATGCCTCGCTACGAAGGAACCACGGTTTCGGATGCTTCGTGCGATTTTGTGAGGCTGTTTCAAGCCGCCTTCGAAAAATTTCTCACGAGGGCAGGCTATATATTTTGGCTGGGGCAGGCCAAGGGGCTGTGGTTGAATCCAAATTGATTTCACAAAAATCTGCTGAATCATAGCCATTGTTGTCCAGCTTTCTGGTGGTGATACACCCTCATTGGGAATGACAGGAGCATCTACAGGAAGCCATCTTGATTGAATCATCAAGTACAGTATGATTCAAGTCCTGGAAAATTCGACCCGAACACATTTCTTGCATACCTGGTTCCAGTGGATAGCTGGTTTCATCTCTTTTTTAACCATTGAACATCAGGTTGCAGCGGCAAAACACAGTTTTTTTTTTCCCTGGAGAATTTTGCACCAAAATTACCCCGACTCTTCCTGGCTGCACCAGAAAAACCAGCTGTTGCCTTGGTGGCAGAACCTGCCGCCGGGGTGGACCTGGAGCATTCGCTCTTTGGTTTCGGGCAAAGATGTGCGATGTTGAAACCCGTTTTTCTGGAGACGACATTTTTTGTGAATTTGTTTTGGTTCCTATTGAGGCTGACCTTTTTGTGATCGTGTTGAACGCTGAATTTTGCCACCTTTGGATGCCCTTGGCTCCAGTGAACTTGCTCCCAGCCTTTCCCCATCGACTTGCCACGTTCCCGTCTTACCATGAACCGCATCGCGCGCATCGCCGGCCATGTGCAGTCCAGCGCACAGGACATGGGCCTTGGTTTCTCAGCTGTCCTAGGGTGATTTTTGATGTTTTTCTTTCCACTTGGTTGCTGGGGTAGTTTGGGCTAAGTTATGATCTCCCTGCAGGGAATTTTTGGATTTGGCCAATTGGATGGTTTTCAGTTCAGGATTTCCCGGAAGAACTCCAGTTACAGCCCACCTTGGCAAAAAATACATCTCTACAATGTGGTGCCCCCAAGATAGCTAAGTTGGTTTATAACTCTAATAACTAGGACTTATGGTAGATATATCTATAGTTAATGGGATTATAAACCAACTTATAACTGGGGGGCACCACCTTGTAGCTGGTTAAACCAGGGAGAACTTCCCTTGAAGCAATCCAGTGATTCAGAGCTGGGTTCAAAGGTGCTCAGCCTACAGCTGGCTACTGCGCGGCAGCGAAGGGCGAGGACGACTTAGGGTGTCTCAAATTTCAAGCTGGTCATGGGGACATGGATATGTGGTGGGCAAAAAATATGGGCATATCTAGAAAGAAGAATATGGATGTGGATATGGATATGGATACGGAATGGATAAACCCTGAGTTTTTTTTGTGTTGAGGACATGGCCGGCCCCCAACCAGCCTTGACATGGCATGCGAAATCACGCGAGCCGCGCAGGACGATGTGGTGATCTGCTGCGCGGTGCGCACCCCACTGTGCAAGGCCAAGCGTGGATCCTTCAAGGACCAGATCCAGAGATCCCCAGATCCCCAAGTGCAAGGCTTTTTATCATATAGGGATGGGATGGGATGGGTATTTTATCACCAATTTATGGCAACAAAAAAGATGGGAAATTGGTGATTTTTTTCCATCGATTTTTCGATGAAAAGTGAGTCCCTAGATTTGTTTGGGACCAATTGGAACGAGTGATTTTGCAGACCAAAATCTTGCACCAGCTACAAGAAAACACCTGTGCAGGGCAAGTTGAGACTTGTTTTTTTCTCCAATACGGCTCCTCTTGCCAGTGGATGCTTGGTAAATAGAGGTACCCAAATTTTACGCTAAGTTCAGATCCCGAGTTGGTGGATCACACAGAAGTTGTCACTTAGTCAAAAGTCGTATTGCCAACAAAGCCAATTGGAGAGTACTGCCACAAGCAAAAACTTACTGGTGCTGAACGTAGGGAATGGATGGGAATGGGGGAATGGGATGATTATTGATAGTTATTGTGGATCATTCCCTCATTCCCTACTAAGCACCAGTAAGAAAAACGGTGTAGGACACTGCCCCTGAGCTCTTGTTGGCCGCTGTCTTCAAGGAGGCCTGTGGCAAGTCCGGGTTCTTCTCCAGGGCATAGTCGCACCCCCCAAAACCAACTTAAATCTTTGCCAATGAGAGAAACATAAATATTTTTGGTTGGTGGTTTGGAGCATTTGGATTATCTTTCGAACTATTGTGAATGATCATCCTACCTGACGAACTCAGATTTTTCAGAGGGGTTGGTTGAAACCACCAACCAGTAAAGATTTTTTCACCCAAGGTTTTTCACCCATGGTCATCCCTTTTAGAACCCCCCTGAACCCGCTGGCCAAGTTGTTCAGGTCGTGGCAAGGACCAAGGTGAACCCCAAGGACATTGGCGATATCCAGATTGGTACCTTGCCCAGCCGGCTCTGGCTGAGTTAAGAGACTTGAAGATAGCTTGAAACCTCGAAAAAGAGGAGTAAATATATACAATATGTATATACCTCAAAAACTGGACTAAGTTGTTTTTTGAATATTCGGACTAGATAAATGATGTACAGATTGAAGCCGAGGACATTCACAAGATCTTCAGAATATGATATGTTGCCCTTGCTTCTCCCCACCCCAAGTCGAACATCAAGCTTGCTTGAATATACCAGCAGCTAAAACCCCCACACCAAACCTCATGTGTATATATATATATAATGTATATATATATAATATATATATATAATATAATATAATATAATATATATATATAATATAATATAATATATATATAATATAATATATATATATAATATAATATAATATATATATATAGAATATATATATATATAATAATATATATAATACTGTGGTGTTTTTATCATAGGTGAATAGTTGTTATAGGGTTATACATAATATATATATACTATGCTATCGGGCCACCCCCACATATTTACATATATATTTTATGTAATTATAGTATATATAATATGTTATCCGGGTCACCCCCATATGTTTACATATGTATATATATATACTATCTTATCGGGTCACCCACACATACACACATATATATATATATACTTTAAACCCCACAACGCTTCCACTCAGCTATCACAGCAGCAACAGCCGGCTTTTTTCAAAAATTACCCATTTTGACAGAATTACCCATTCACTACCGGTAGCGAGCGTTCTAATTGCTCCCCATCATCCCAATTCTTGACAGAATTCCCCATTCACTACCGGTAGCGAGCGTTCTAAGGAACCCCAATCGTCCCAATTTTTGAAAGAATTCCCCATTCACTACCGGTAGCGAGCGTTCTAAGGAACCCCAATCGTCCCAATTTTTGAAAGAATTCCCCATTCACTACCGGTAGCGAGCGTTCTAAGGGCCCCCCAATCATCCATATGTATAATTGCTGCTTTTAAGATAGATAGCGTTCTAACAGGGAGCGACCGTCGCTCCCTCTTAGAACACTCACTACGGGTAGCGAGCGTTCTAAGGGAGGTTTCCTGTCGCTGGAGCACCCTCAATCTTGCGTTCTTCTCACTAAGACCCCAGCGAAAACACAAGATCATCCCTGGTCCGATGTTTGCCAACCCCCCCTTAGAACACTCACTACCGGTAGCGAGCGTTCTAACAGGGAGCGACCGTCGCACCCTGTTAGAACACTATCTATCTTAGGGAGCGTTCTAACAGGGAGCGACCGTCGCTCCCTCTTAGAACACTCACTACTGGTAGCGAGCGTTCTAAGGGCCCCCGATCATCCCAATTTTAGAAAAAATCAATTCAAACCCCAATTCACTACCGGTAGCGAGCGTTCTAAGGAACCCCGATCATCCCAATTTTTGAAAAAATCCACTCAAATCCCAATTCAGCTGCTGTTGCTGCTGTGATAGCTGAGTGGAAGCGTTATGGGGTTTAAAGTATATATATATGTGTATGTGTGGGTGACCTGATAAGATAGTATATATATATATACATATATGTAAACATATGGGGGTGACCCGGATAACATATTATATATACTATAATTACATAAAATATATATGTAAATATGTGAGGGTGACCCGATAGAATAGTATATATATATATTATGTATAACCCTATAGCAACTATTCACCTATGATAAAAACACCACAGAATATAATATATATATGAATATATGACTCACAAGGGATACATACACCCCAGAAAATGAATTTTGCTGGAACAACGCCCTTGCCCACTCTTTTTTGCCGTTGTCCGTTGTACCCAGTTTTCCCACCGATGGCTGTTGAGATCCCCGTTGAATCCCACAGGCAACGTGCTTCAGCCCGGAGCCAGCGGCCTCACCTCCCGGATGGGCCAGTTCATCGCCGAGCTTCCCTACGAGATCCCCTTGAGCACAGCAGCTCGTCTTGCCCTGGCCATTTCTCGGGACCAGTATGGATACCCTCTGGTTATGTCAACAGTTTGCTATTGAAAATGGCCATTGAAATAGTGGATTTTCCATTAAAAACATGGGGATTTTCCATAGTTTTTTGTATGTTTACCAGAGGGTAGTAGATGATGTAGATGTCTTTCTCAGCAAGACTCTGGTGGAATCACAGCACGAATTTTTGACGGAAAATTTTCTCGACTTACCGCAGGTCAAAATTGAATCACCACCCGAAATGGATAGTTGCCCATAATTTCTGCGGGTCCATACCCCAATGTTTGGTTCATACAGTTCATACCCCATAGGATCCATGTATGCTATATATGGTAACATTTACCATCAATATACCCCCCAATGTTAGCATATATACCATACATGGATCCTATGGGTACCCATTTGCTGATCATATTCCCCATATATTCCCCATATTTTGCCTGGTCTCCAACACACTTCCCAGGTGAACCGTCAATGTAGCAGCAGCTTGCAAGCCACCGCAGCCATTGCCGCGTTCATCAAGGTCATGGCTTCAGCTGGTCCCTGAATGGGGCAGCAAGAAAGGAGGGAATGGATGACAAGCCAATAACATAGCCATGAAAAAATCGCCAATTCTATCGGAAACATGATGAGGAAGATCTTTTTCATTTTTGAGACATGACAAGCCCGTTAGAGGTCAAGACCTAGGATTATATGGAGGAATGAACATCCAAGACTACTAGGCTCATCTGAGCCTCGAAATCTGGATCCAAGCTTCAGAGTGTTGGAACGGCGGTTGGTGGTCAGAAATACTGTAGATATGGGTCGTTTTGGCATCTTGGATCCTTCCTGGGATTCGATTCCAGTTTTTCGTTTTTCTTCTGGTGACCGAAGCACCCAGGGTACTCTTATTGAGCTATCTTGATGTTGAGACAACCGCCCTTGAACAGTAGTCAAACCACAATCTTCAGTCCACAACTAGTTGGTGTATCCAAATATTCCTCAAATATTCCTCAAATATCTTCAAATATTCCTCAATTTCATCTCCTTTCACTCATGAAGATCAGTCCAAGTTGCCAATCACATGATTTTTTTTGGCCCCTGGCCTATCCGATCGCAGCGAAACAACGGCCCAGTCTGGCATCATTGATGTGGGCCTTGCCGGTGGTGTGGAGAACATGAGCATGTGCCTTGCGCAAGGGTGGGACAAGGGACATACTGACATATGGGTTGGTGAAAAAAAGGGAAGATCTAGAGGATACCCAGATACCCATGTTTTTTTCCATGAAATTTAGGGTTGGATTCGTTTAAGTTTAATGACTCTTATCCTTCCACTGTGAAGGTGTATGTCTCTGCACGTCGCTGAATTTGAGTCGTTGAGCACCTGCTGCTGCTTTCTGCTAACTGCTAACTATCCCCTTAGTCCCCAAAAAACTACCCTGGATCTGGATCACAAAAGCACGATTTATTTGGGTTGGACACAACATGTTTTTAGATGGTTTAAGTGTTTTTGGGGATGCCAGCAGAATTTGGTTTGATGTGGTAAACCCAACGCCACAAACCTCCAAGTGTGGATGGTTTCAATCCAACCCAATCCGGCCCATTTCTAGTAAGTCTTTGGGATAGTTCTACACGGCACTGCTGAATGGCTATGGCTCAACATCATAGGGATCCCCCCAACTTGGATGCTTGAAGATATTAACTATCCCCATTTTCACAGTTTTTCACAGTTGGTGTAGATTAGATGTTGCGGACTTTCCTTGCTGTCTGAAAAAACCCTCAAAGGATAGAAATGCTGTGCGTGACGCTGTGAAACTTATCTGTCGATTTCAGGTGTTTTTTTTCATTTCTGCATCTTTTTCTTGGCTTACTTATATACATTGACCAACCACATCCAGGTTTCCCATGATGGCCACCATCGACATCACCAAGCTCTCCAAGGATGTCTTGGACTACCCAGATGCCGAGGTCAGACCTGAAAAAAAAGACCTGGGGACAGGAAGTCCAGCACTTTTCTGTGCAGTTTGATGAAAGGTCAGGAGTCAGGACAATTTTAAAGTAGAATTGGATGTAAGAACCAAGAAAAAAAGGAGGTTTCCTAAAATTCAGGATCCCCAAAACCCATGGCTTTTCAAAGCATTTTTGGGGAAACCTCCATTTTGGATCCTTGGTGTGTCTGATGCGGTCAGGCATGCCTCCTGCCCATGGGTCTCACCAGCGAGAACGTGGCGGCGGCCTATGGCATCCCCAGGGATCGTCAGGACATCATGGCTGCGGATTCCCACAAGAAGGTGGGCTCTGGGATACCTTCAACCGGATTGTTTGGGATATATGTTTAGACAAAAACAAACATTTTCGGGATAAAATGATAGACTCATCAAAAACGGCTATCGTATACTGAAGGTACATGGCGGCTTTCAAGGTGTTTTATTTTAGGCGCAGCTGCGAACTGAATGTTGGGCATATAAATCTGTGGGATTTTGTCCTCACAGACCCCCTGTTGACATTGACAATTGACAAGCCAATTTTGACTTCAGACATTATTTTTCGAAATAGTGTGGAATGTCAGCCCCAGATTGACACAGCCCAGGAGCACACTTATCACTTTGTTAGGGCGACCACCCCAGTCAACCAAGGGTTGACGATAATCCATGACTGAAATTCTTGAAACAAATACAACAACATAGAGGTGACATTCTCCAATTCATGAGCAGTTTGCTTTACCCCTAGGTAATCTAACATAGCTATGGTGATTTTCCAAGGCTTTGGCGGCTCAGAAGAACGGATGGTTTAAGGAGGAGATTGTTCCTGTGACGGTGGAGACCAAGGGCAAGGCAGGGCGCCCAGGGTGGCTGAGGATGGCTGAGGTTATGGTGTTGATGGTGGGGGAAAGTCCCATGAAGTCTAGTTATTCGATGTTATTGGAGTTACAAACCAACTTAGCTATCGAACGGGGACCCCACATTGTAGGGATTGTAGGGCTGGAGGATCATCCCAGAATTCGTGATTAAGAACCCTGGTAAGTCCCCAATTTCTGTGCTCATCCCATATGCAAGTGGCTTGTAATCCCAGTTGCGAACCATTTCCTAAGTGGGATGATCGTCCAAGCAGCCCCAGTGGTTGACTGGAAGTATGAGGCAACTATCATCGAAGTACCACCCTGGTTTCCCAAGTTTTGGCATCTTTTTTGGGCTTATGAAATGTTATGAATATCTCCAAACATGATTTTTACATGTTATTCATGAATTGGTGATGTAAATTGCCCAGATCTATTGATTTTTGATGAGATCGTACAAAAAATCCCCTGTTTCTTTTCCTGATGTCTCCACTTCTCCCTGTTACCAGACGAAGGGAAATTCACCGGACCGCCCTGACTACTTTGAATGGACAAAAAACAGGGTTTTACAATGTTTTACGTCTCAACTTTCCCAACTACCCTCTGGTAAACAGCCACATAACTATGGAAAGATCCACCATTTTTCATGGGAAAACTCACTATTTTTATGGCCATTATCAATAGCTTTTTCTATGTTTACCAGGCCGGGTACACCACGCGAATGACCTGTAGGACCTGTCCAACCACTTCCCCCGACCCGGCAGACCCGCCCCGGCCAGGACGGCAAGATCCAAACGAAGGTCATCAGCGAGGACGAAGGCCCCCGCGCCGGCGTCACGGCCGAGAGCTTGGGGAAGCTGAAGCCGGTGCCTGGGACGAAGTTGGAGAGGTTGCCGGGGAAAAAATCAGATCTTGGAGGGGAAAATATGGAGAAGAGATACTTTTACCAGGGGAGATGGAATAAGTATGGGGTTGAACATGGAGTTCCCCATTCCATCCACTGGTTTATATTTATTTTCCCTATTTTTTGATGGCCCCCATTGTCAGATACACCCATATGGAGATTTCAATCAGGTGATTTTCACCAAAGTGGATCGAAATCGACCATATTTGGGAGATTTACCCTCTGGATCCTCCGGTCATCGAAAGTGGCTTGCTGGAAAATCCACCATTGATAGATATTGATATATGATTTACATGATTTTACAATTAAAATCAGATGGAAGACTGTGGAAAGCTCCATCCAAGGCCTTCAAGGCGGGTGGCAGCACCACTGCTGGCAACAGCAGCCAGGTGACCGATGGAGCTGCCATGGTGCTCTTGGCCAGGCGGGACTGTGGGACTTTTCGCTGGGATTTTCACGTTTTTTTTTTGGGTTTCAACCATCATTTTTTAAGGGGGGAAGATGAAAAGGAGAAATATGGGGTGAGATTCGTGAGATCATTGAAAAATGATGGCGGATGGTCAGCACTTGGGGTGGAGTTCCAGTTCAGATGTGGGGTACTGTACACTGGGTAGTGTCCCTTGGAAACGATCTGGAAATGATGAATCTCCATATATTTAGGGTCATGACTAGCGTATAGTCGTGGAGAGTTTTCGCCCTTAGTCACTGGATATTGGGGTTATAGTTACTTAGTTTGTTCTATCTGATTCTATCCCAACTCATGATGCTCGCAGCTATGGCTATACCCATTCATAACCTTGACTTTTAACAATCTGTGACTTGTACAGTTATCGCCCAAGGGGATTATAGTTCCTGCAACTAGTTGGTTACTGTATATATCACTTAAGATGAGGTCATATGCCCGATTAGGCTGTAGGGCTGTAGCCGTAGAACACATGTTTTTCTGCTGAGTCTTCCAGTCACTTCAAGTGGTTTTCAGCCAATTTCTCGCTAGATTTTTACTTCAGCTTCACCATTCTTGACCAGGTGAGCGTTGGTGGATGAGTTCCGGGGTTATATCATATTTATCCTTTACATTACCTGGGATTTATAGCAATGGGATTATAGTGGGTTTTCATAGATTTGGTGTAAATATGTGTAAATCATTCTTAATCCCATCCCCCTAATATGAAAGACCCCCAAGAAACCATGGTTTGATAGGGAATTTACACATATTTACGCATTGGGACCGAACTTGGGTCGAACTATTGCTGGAGGATTTTCCAGCCAGGTTTGATGACACCATTTCGGAATATCCCGTTATCTCATAAAATCCCTATTAAATCCCAGCGTTATTCTCATAAAATCTCTATGAAATTCTGTTCGTTTTCTCTTTTTCCCATTTTTTCAAGAAGGGAATTGACAGCGGGCTGCACCTTTTGGATCAGGCGTTCCGTGGCCAAGAAGTTGGGTTTGCCCATCGTGGCGCGTTTCCGCAGTTTCGCCTGTGTTGCTTGGGATGACAAGTGATGACAAGTGATGACAAGCAGGGCATCTGCAGACGGGGACGTATCACAGGTCATGGATATTTGATGATCTTTGGATCCAGAGTAACCAGAACCTGATTCAAATATCATGATCTTGATCCAAATATCCATGATCTTGATCAGATTGGAACATTTGTAACCAGAACCTGGGTGAATTTTCATGATTTCGGAGCCAGTTTACCACATGGCTGGTCACATTGAGACTTTTCAACCGCACCCGGCTTTGGAACCCGGGACCAACAAGGGTGAATGGTATCACTCAAGTTTGGAGGACTTGAAAAAAAACTAAATTTCACTCTATATATATATACAGTGTATATATAATTATATATATACAGTATATATATATATTCTATAGAAACTGTTTGTTTCAAGAACAAGAGGAGTTGGAAGCTTGAAGATCATTGCAGGTCCACTTTGACGCTTCAGGTGGGTGTGGATCCTAAGCTGATGGGCATCGGCCCTGCTTTCGCCATTCCTCCAGCACTTGAGAAGGTGGGTGTGGACCGAAGTCACCAAGCATGGCTGGTGGCTATAAATCATCCCATCTTGTACAGTGTACCCCATGATAAACCCGAATTGGGGATGGTTTTTCTGGTTGGGTTTAACGCAGAAACTGAGTGATCCGGTTTCACGAGACGAGTTGTTACAAGTTGAATCTTGACTTGGAATTTTCTTGCCTCTTTCTAACTAGCAATTGGCCACAGGAATTTGTTGCTTGTATCCTCACTATTTTGGACTTCTCCTGATTCTCCTGCCACAATTTTCTTGGTTCTGATGGACCTTAGAAAAGGCATCCCCCCTTCGAGCTGCACCATGGCCGTGGACGATCTTCCAGGCTGGGCTGAAGGTGGAGGACATCGACATCTATGAGATCAACGAGGCATTCGCCTCGCAGGCCACCATGTGCCTTGGGCAAGGAAGAGTGGGATCCAAAGGAAAACAGAGGGGCACCAAGCAATGACATCTGGATGTAGCTTTGATTCATAGCCCTGGGCATGAGAGTCAGGTGCGAACCCGCAATGGTCAACAGATTTGGGGGTGCCATAGCTCCAAGACTCCTCCAGGGCGCATTCGGATCTCAGGTCTGTGGATCATCTCAAGATCCCCATGGAGAAGGTCGCTGCAGAACGGGGTTCCCTCGGGGTCAGTGAAGATGGTCACATTAAGAACGGCCGGTTGGGATTTTTGGGTTTCCAGAATCACAAGAAAACTTGTGATGCTTCGGGCTTTGGGTGATTTTGTGAAGCCGAAATCGGGCCTTGAAAGCACTAAAGACAGATTTTTCTTCAGCGAGAAGGTGAGAAATGCTATGATGAAATGGGCCAAATTTTGAGATGACCTCATCTGGTGATCCACGGTGATAGGTCACCATTCGGTGCCCAAATTTCATCAAATTTCCGGTTGAGGGCCTCACAGTTTCACCCATACAGACCTAAATTCGGGGGTTCATGGCCGGATTCCGCACCCTGAGGTGAACCCCAAGGGCGGCGCCATCTCCCTGGGACATCCCTTGGGAGCCACGGGCGCGCGACAGATCGCCACCTTGTTGCCCGAGTTGAAGCGACAGGGCAAGAAGTGACTTGGACGACTTGGCTCGGTGTTGGGCTGATGTGTGGAACGGTTTTTTAACCTGTGGTTGGAGCCATGAATCAAACATGGCAACAGACCATTCAGAACGCAGTCGATGATTTCCCTATCATATTTACCTTAGGAAAACAAATAGGTGAATTTAGTTCTTGCTTATGTAGGTATCTCCCATCATTGTCATACCATGTCATACAAAAGTAGGATGAGTCGTTCCAGCCAGGTTCGATTTTGTTGGGACTCCAGGGCAAATCCACTCGTTGTGGCAACAGAACCTGCTGAAGTGGGGTTTCAGGTCGAGTTTCGAAACTGGAAATTCCTGTTTGAAAAAATACGCCTGAGTATACTCAGGATATCTCAGGGATGTATTTTGAGCCTTATAAGCCACCTTGTGGGGAGGCCAAGATGATTCATTTTTGTGATCGCCCTGTGACTCATCCCTGTGAAGGTTGGGCGTGACCTCCATGTGCTTGGGAAGTGGCATGGGCGCCGCCTCAGTGATTGAGCTGGAGTGAGTGGCTGATTGGTTTCAGTAGAATCGGACTGTAGCTGGAATGGCTCAAGCGGGTCAAAGCGCAATTTGTGAAGTTTGCCATTCTTGGGGTATTAATTTCGAGGACAAAGTATCGAAGTTTCATGATTTCTTTTGGGTGCCCCTGGGTGCCCTGCTTTGACCCAGAACCACAATGCGTACAGTCTTACAGTGGATGCTTGTTCTCAACATAGTCAGAGGGTGTGCCCATTGACAGGGCACCGGCCATCTTCGGCACGAAGGAACCCCATCGGATGCTTCGGGCTATTTTGCTTGGCTTTGTTTGAAGCTGCCGAACAAAGAGGCAGAAGGACACTCTTCGACTGGAGAAAAGGAGGCCAGGAATAGAATCCCACCTGTTTGGGGTATTATAGGGGATGGTTACTTTGGTGAACGGCTGCCCGGCAAGCGGTCCCCCATGTCTTGGGCTTGATCAAACCTGGAGAACTCCTGGAGATATTATTGTGGCTCAAAATCATTAAGACCCCTAAACCTGGATACGGGTTGATAGTGATGTCAAATGACAAGCCATTTCTGGTGCCATTGCTTTCCGACATGGCGACATTCTATGGAGAGGTGGTTCCTTTCTCCAGTCGAGACGGCGCAGTCACCAGATCTGCTGCTATGGATCCCTGATCCGCGTTTCAGAAATGCCGAGCTGTGCTGCGGGGGTGCGACTCCTGAGTTTCTTAGGGTCAAAGAGGTTTTTGTGGAGGGTTAGCCCAAAGAGGAATACAGCGACTCCAAAAAGGGGCTTCTGGATCCGAACTTGGAAAGCGCGAAGTTTTTGGGTTCGAAATGGTTCGATGGTTCGAAGTTGTTCGGTTTTTCTTAAACACTGACCAATACCAGGGATGCCGGTGCCGCACGGTTCAAGGTGAACCAGCTCACAGCCATCTTTTCATTGCGCCCCAACTGTCCGAACGACGCCATGAACCGTGTGGCACGCATCGCCGGGCATGTGCAGTCCAGCATGGGAGAGCAGGAAAGCTTCCTGGGTATCTTGGATGATCTTGGATGATTGATGGGAAGTTGGACCCCAAACTTCTTTGGGGTACCTAAGAACATCAGGGTTCCAACTCCATATACTTGAAATCATTCAACCAAATGATCCACTGAACATCATTGAACTACCGTTTGGGCTGATGGCTTTGCGGCTTGGGGCCCAAGGTCTTTGGTGTTTTTTGAAGGTGGCTCCACCCCCTACCCGCTTACAGCCCACAAACTGGGCCAGAAATGCTCGCATAATGGACCCCTGCCCTGGAACCGCGTTAATACCATTGCTGCTGTTGGGTTGCAAAGCTGGGTTCATATCTAAATGATGGTCAATCTTGTGGGACCCCCCAAAAACACAGCATCAGGTTAGGAAATTGGAGTCAATTGTCAATGACGGTCCGCATTGGTGACTTTCCCAATTTTTCTGCGCAAACTCCAAGCCAGATTGATGACCCGGAATTGATAATGGAATTATTCCAATATTGACTGATTTATCCATTCAAGTTTTTTATTATATTCTATTACAATCCCACTATCATCCATTACTTGTCAGTAATTCCACCGTTTCTTCATAAGGTCATATCATGCAATCAATGATTCCATGGTTAAGTAGGAAATTGGACTGACTTTATGAATAATGGCATATCATCAAACAATAACTATACTGCCCTTAATAACATTTGTGTATACACATCTCTCTCTCTATATATATAATATATATATAATATACATATATATATACATACATATATACATATACATACATACATTACATTACATTACCTTACATTACCTTACCTTACCTTACCTTACCATCCATGCATGCATACATACATGCATACATACATACATACATACATACATACATCGAATCATAATAATGATAGTAATGATAACAATTCCATCAAAATTCCAATTGAGATTCAATATTTTCCAATTGAGATTCACTCTTCATTAACAGAGTTATTTCCATGAAAATGATCGAATACCAAGGAGCCCAGCCGACCATGGGCATTTGCACACCCGAGAAGTCGGAGGCTGCTGTGTTGCTCATGGGGAGAAGTCACCTGGACTTCAGCAACCATGGGACATCATGGGACTGTTTTGAGCCATCCAAGCCATCCTTAAATGGTGTTTTGTGTATATGGGGATGGGTCAAAACCAATAGTACCCCTGTAGTTCACATCAAAATAGCTGGGATTTATGGATGTGAATAACCCACTAAAAATGGTATTATTAATAGGTATTGATCCATACCCATATAACAATAAACACAACACCATGCTAGTTATGTCTCTGGTTTCAGCGTTCTAAGTTCCCGGTGATTTTAGGGTGGACAATTGGACAATGGTGAGATACAATAACTTTTAGACATACCTAAGTAATCCTAAGTATGGTTTCAGTCACTGGGTACCCCCTCAGCATCTTTTTCTCGTCAACCCTCGATCACCAGGAGGACGTGGTGATCTGCTGCGCGGTGCGCACCCCACTGTGCAAGGCCAAGCGTGGGTCCTTCAAGGACCGATGTTTCGGGGAACGTGCCATGGTCGAAACGCCATTTTTCGCAGTCCTTGGAGGATGGTCAAAGTTCAGCACTCGAGCGGAGATAGGTTGAGATTGCCTTGGCCATTATGATGATGGGGAATGGATGTAGATCAAATGCAGCTCATGTTTTTCAACGATTTTCCGCAGATACGTGGACTCAATCCCAAAGGACCTCCGCACAGCTGCTTCTTTGAATGGTTAACAAACCGTGACCTTGCGAAAACACTCTTCAAAATCTCCTATTTGTCTTGGATTTATTGTGGCATGGCACTTCTTAAGCGCCGGTGCGGCAGATTCTGAGGATGCACAACTCATGCAGTTTTTTGGAGTACTCTCGATTAGTCACACATGGAAGGCTGGAAAGATGATGGTCCTGGTCCTATTTCCAATGCTGTTTTCCGCTGATTTTCCCAGTCTTCCGATGATGTTCGCCAGGACACAGCCCCTGAGCTGCTGTTGGCTGCTGTCTTCAAGGAGGCCCATGTCATTCCGAATCGCTTGGATCGGTGGATTCCTATGGATTTCTCCAGTATTTTATCCAGGATTTATCCAGTCATGGGGAAGTTGTACATGGAAAATATGGGGAAACCGATGAGAACCATGGTGATCATGGTGAACTGGGCCAGGGATGTCCTTGGCAAAGAGGGCTGTTTTGCATGGCGCGAAACATGGTGACAGTGTGTTGATTCCCAGCTTGGAATCATCATCCTTGTGACTGCTGTATCAATATTACTACATAGTGATCATCATGATTAAAATCAGCATCAGCATCAGCATCAGCATCATCATCATCATCATCATCATCATCATCATCAATCGTTATGCCTCTTCCTCTTCATCTCATCTCATATTATTTTCTTTTCTTAAATCTTCAAAAACATCCATGTTTGATGACACCGGAGTGTAAATTGCTTAATTGCCCATGATATCCCATGATTATCACTGTTAAACCCATATAAAAACACCATTTCCCATGCCACGTCCAGCCCATCTGCCGCGTCCTGCAGGTGGTTGCCAGGACGAAGGTGAATCCCAAGGACATCGGAGACATTCAGATCGGTGCCTAGGATTTCATGGGCATTTCATGGGCACTGTGAATGGGATTGAATGGGTTTGCATGGGATTTTGTGATGCGATTTAACTGAATGGGGATTTAATCATATTCACCCCGCTTCGCGTGGGGTGGCCGCCCACACCGCAGGTTTATTTCGGTCCGTGAGAGGGGCTAAGGGTGGTTTTCCCCCGTGGGGGCTCCCCAAGCTAAGACCCCCGTGGGGGCTCCCCAAGCTAGGGAATTTTCACTTTTCCCCCCCGTGGGGGCTCCCCAAGCTAGGGAATTTTCACTTTTCCCCCCCGTGGGGGCTCCCCAAGCTAGGGAATTTTCACTTTTCCCCCCCGTGGGGGCTCCCCAAGCTAGGGAATTTTCACTTTTCCCCCCCGTGGGGGCTTCCCAAGCTAGGGAATTTTCACTTTTCCCCGCCGTGACAGCTTCCCAAGCTATGGAATTTTCACTTTTCCCTCCCTTGGAGGCTCTCCAAGCTGCGGAATTTCAAATAGCTAGACAACGACGCCTAGATAGTCCCCCAAATCCCGTGTTCTTTGAATGTGTTTCCATGTTTTGCAATGGTTTCCTTCAAAGCACGGTACTTTACACTTTTGTCGCCATAAAACCGGTCGAAAACATCATGTTCGACAATGCTTCCAATTTCCTTATCTCCCCAACCGGTGAAAACACCGCTATTTACAGTGTTTTCTTCAATTTTTCCATGTGCCAATGCCGGTAGCCAACTCCAACATATATATAAGAAATCCTTCCAAAACATTGTTTTTGACAGACGGTAATTTACACGTTTTTTGCCATAAAGGCAGTAAATCCTTCCAAAACATTGCTTTTGACAGTGTTTTTGTAATGTTTCCAGTCAAGCATACGGTAATTTACACGTTTTTTGCTATAACGTCAGTCCAAAACACTTGTTTTTGCAGTGTTTTCAATGCTCTGGCATCCAAAAACCCTGCAAAATCTTGCTATGTACAATGTTTTTTTCATTTTTGGCCGTTTTTCCATTGCCGGAAAGCTACCAAAATGACCCAAAATTCCATTTCAATACCCTCTTGCGCTCAGACACCCAAAAATCCTCGAAAAATGTCGAAAACACCACCGTACCGTATTCTGGTCTCGGTGCGAAACCGTTTTTGGCCCCCCCCCCAGCTAAAGCTGATATAGCGACTGCTATATTAACAAATGTCATTGAGCATTTAGTGTTGCTGTTGCCCCCCAATAAGCACGCCTTCACCGCCAAAGCGGTGTGGGCGGATTTAATCCACCCAAATATCAGGTTGATTGTGATCCATGAGGGTCAGATATCGGTCAGATATTTTTCTGATGAATCTGATGATTTAAACCATGGTGGGTATGGTGGGTGTTTTTTTTTTTCCCTTGGTATTCAGTTGTGTGGCCACGGCCACCCCAGGAACTGTGATAGGGGAGATTAAATTTTTCATTTTGCGGCTATTTTGGTGTTCGCCAGGGAGAGTTTGACTCACAACCGAACGTCCCATTTTTTTGTGGGACTTTAAATGTCACCTTCAGGTGTTTGTTGAAGATGGCCCTCATCTTTTGGCTGATTGGCTATTGTCACTGAAAATAAGAAGTGACCAAAGGGTTTCCAGCAATTTCCCACCAGTCCAATCTTGACTTTTCGATGCTTCAAATCCATTCAACTCTCCTTCCCCCATCATGACTGCTACCCCATTCTTGTTGGTGCAATCCCTTCTTTGAATCCTCGCCCTTCTCAAAAAATCTGATCCTTAAACTCTAAAATTTGGGGACCGCAGGTCCCCAGATGGTTGTTCATTTTTTTGGGTGGCAATAAATTTGTTCCATATATGGGTATGGATCAATACCTATTAATACCATTTTTAGTGGGATGAACATCCATTTACCAGCTATTTTGATGTGAACTACAGGGGTACAAGGTTTTGACACACTGCCATATCGATTCGAATTCGACCACATTGATCTTCGCCATCGAGGCAATGTGCTGCAGCCCGGAGCCAGCGGACTCACCTCCCGTGACGTGCTGATGGATTTGTTTATTTTTTTTTCCATGGCCTCGAAAACCCAACAAAAAGTATAGCGGGGCCTATGATGATGGACGACTTCTTGGGAGTTTTTTTGGGTATACCATGGTATTCAACCCCCCCATTTTCTGAGGAAAAAATTGATCCCCAAGCCTTCAACTGGCAAGGCATGGGCCAATTCATTGCGGAGCTGCCTTGGGACATTCCATTGAGCACTGCCACTGGGCCAATTCCTGGAAAGTGGTTGGCAATCCTTTCCATAATAACTATAGACATCTATAGACCATAGTTAAAACACAGTAACGGGGTCCCCTTAATAGATAGAACCATGTTTCGATGTTTTTATGCCATAAGTTCCAAGTTTCGGACGTTGCTATACATGGAATATTGCCAGGTAGATCATGTTGTATCCCTTTGGTCAAACGACAGCCTGGAGGAATGTCGTGGATCCATTTTGTTCGGGTGAGGTACAACCCCAAAACGACAGGCACTACGTTTATCAGCATTTTGGGATTGATTTACTCTCTGGTAAAGCAACATAACTATGGCAAACACGACTATTTTAAGAGGTACATCAATTTTTTCAATGTTCAATATTCCATAGCTGTGTTGGTTTACCAAGACGGTAACCACATTCTATTTTTTTTGGCGGCTTGCTGTAATCTTTTTGTTCACGAATTCACGCGACAGTTTAAAGCTAGCGACATGGTTGATGCAAACGACTTTGATACTTTTCTAGATGAGTTAGTTCACGAAGACATAGTAGTAGAACAACCTTTCGAATTAGATACATGTTTTCCGTTTTCAGCAAAGTATGATGACATGTTTTTTAAAACTATTGCTTTTGTTTCAAAACCATTACCCACAATGATATCCAGAGAATTCCATACATCATTTCATATATATATATATGTAATTATATATATATATGTAATTATATATATATAATTATATATATATAAATATATATATAAATATATATATAAATATATATATATGACACAATCATATGTATGTTTTTTTTTTAAAAATATCCCCATGATATCCTGGCCTTCCCCCTCGGCTGCTCGTCACCATAGGTGAATCGCCAGTGCAGCAGCAGCCTGCAGGCTACCGCCAACATCGCGGCTTTCATCAAGGTTCGGGTCCGTTGGGAGATTTTGATGCTGAGATGTGGAGGTTTCCATAGGTTTCCTACGGGGTACCATGGGGGTACCCCAATAGCTGGATGGTCAATGGAAAATCATAGGCACTCCGAAGTTATAACATGGATGACTGGGGGTACATGGATTGGAAAGCTCCATGTGTCGCAAAAGCCAGAAAAAATGGTCGTTTCATAGAGATTTTTATGTGGTTTAATAGGGGTAATAATGGGACAATTATTATGAATGATATTAAACCACATAAACATCCCGGCGGAAGGGAAACCGCGCGAGCGTTTTGATTGGTTGCTTCCAGGAGAGTCACAATCACCTGTAATTTACAATATAAAATGCTCTTCCGATCAGTTTGGATAACTGAATTTGGGTTAAAAAAAAGTGGATGCAAAATCTATTGATTTTTAACAAATCCAGGTAAACATCATGTGCATCAGACGTTGTACCTTAGTAAACGATCTCGGAGATACGAACCGCGTAGCAACGTGTAACGTAGTAAACGATCACAGAGTCAGCAGCGTAGCAACCTGTAACGTAGTAAAAGATCCCAGAGATCTCAGCAGCGTAGCAACATGTAACGTAGTAAACGATCCCAGAGATCTCAGCAGCGTAGCAACATGTCACGTAGTAAAGATCCCAGAGATCTCAGCAGCGTAGCAACATGTAACGTAGGAAACTATCTCAGAGAGCAGCGTAGCAACATGTAACGTAGAAAGCGTAGCAAGCAATGTAACGTAGGAAACTATCTCAGAGATACCAGCAGCGTAGCAACATGTAACGTAGTAAAAGATCCCAGAGATCTTAGCAACATCGCAATATATCCTGTACGAAGTACAAGGAACGTTAACATGCCCCCCCACCCCACCCCATCCCAACCCCAACCCACACTAACATGGCAATATATCCTGTACGAAGTACGAGGAACGTTAACATGCCCCCCCACCCCAACCCACACTAGAGATCTCAGCAGCGTAGCAACACGTAACGTAGTAAAAGATCCCAGAGATCTTAGCAACATGGCAATATATCATGTACGAAGTACAAGGAACGTTAACATGCCCCCCCACCCCACCCCAACCCCAAGACAAAGAGCAATACTCAAAAAAGAAGCAAAACGCACGTACGGTTTTCCTGCCGTAGGCATAAACATCTATTAAACCCCTATTAATGATGATTAATGGTATTCCCCTATTGGGTTTTTTTCATGATGATGTGCTAATGTTATTTTGCAACAGGATCCACCATCCCCAACGGCTTAGAGGTGGTCAATGTGAAACGGAATCCTAGGTGAAGGCTACTGCACTAACTCGACTGACTTAGATCAGTGTTGATTTACCTTATTGTTGTAGCCAGAACATGTAGCCTCTGGTTCTTTCACCAGAGGCTATGAGATTTACCACCATGTTTTTCTGGGGTGCCTTGGTTTACCATCCCCAGTCATGGTCGGTTTATGGCAGGGTTTCCCACAGCCCAGGCTGGAGTCATTGATGTTGGTCTTGCTGGCGGTGTGGAGAACATGAGCATGTGGGGGCCCTGGGTGAAGTACCAGAACTGCCTGGCAGTTCCTGGGGGATTGGAGCGATCCCAAAAAAAAATCCGCCTAAATTGATTGGGGACCATCCATGGTGGCTTCTTTGGAACTACATTGTTCTGGGTAAATTTCATCACGACCTCACTGTCCTCCCGAACCCTGGAATCATGGTTAAGAAGAGGAATTATCCCAAAATGGCCCAACTATTCAGGGTAGTGAATTATTATAATTTACCCAGATTGTTGAAATGGAATAAGTCAACAGATCCTATGCCTGGCCATTTTTTTTGCTGCATGGTCACCTGGATGGCCATCACACGGAAAGAAACGCCGATACGCCCAGGTTCCCCATGATGGCCACCATCGACATCACCAAGCTCTCTGCTAAAGTCTTGGACTACACAGATGCTGAGGATGGGACTGACCTTAAGGTGATGTTTTTTCTGTAAAAATCTCCACCTCTGCCAGGGAAAAGCTGTTCCAGGCTATAAGAATATCTAAGTCCGCAGTTCTAGATTATGGATTCAGTCACTAAGTATCACTAAGTCCATGGATAAAATCCATGATTTTCCTATACTTATGACATTTAGAGCTACCGGTTCCTCCATTTTGCCAGGCTTGCCTCCTGCCCATGGGTCTCACCAGTGAGAACGTGGCGGCGGCCTATGGCATCCCCAGGGATCGTCAGGATAGCATGGCGGCAGATTCCCACAAGAAGGTGGGAATATGGTGAAATATGTGGTGGTTTAAAGTAATTTCATCATCAGAAATAGAAGATACAGATAATATATATATATAATATACACACATATGTAATTATATAGTTATATATATATATACATATATCTATATATAATTCATGAATAGATGATATGGGTGCGTTTGAAGATGGTGGATATGATTCCAGGAATCTTTTTCCGCAAAAAGGGTGGCCTGCAGTTTGGGTGGAGTGGCGGTCCTACTGTGGATGGAAGAAATCCTGCACCACCTGGGATGGTAGAAAGCCTCTGAGAAATGGGAGAAACCACCTATTAACTGGTGCAGGATTTCTTCCATCCACAGTAGGAATGGTTCAACGGAAAATTAACAGAAACCATTTGTGTTTGCGCCCGGCCCACTGGGGCCAGGGTGAGCCTATAAGACAAGCAAGTGGCGCAGTTGGTGAAACAAATTCTTGCTCGTGCTCGTCACTTTCTGGTTATTTAAGGTAGCTATGTAAAATCCACATAAATCCACCATTCTCCATAGCTACATCATCATCTTTATATATATAATATACCACATAAATCCACCATTCTCCATAGCTAAATCATCATCTATCTATATATATATATTTATCATCTATTTTCATGGCCCCTTTAGCCTTTTCGATAGTCAACCGTTACACATCACCAGACCCGCGACCGTTCAACGGAAACGTTTTGTGCGTCGCTGGTCGCGCAGGCGTTGGAGGCGCAGAAGCAGGGCTGGTTCAAAGAGGAGATCGTCCCGGTAACCATTGAGACCAAGGGCAAGGAGCGGCGATGCGGCGATTCCGGGGGACTGTCCGTGGGCCCAGGGCCGAAACGGCGAAAAATTCGGCGATTTTTCCAGAAATCCCATGGGGAAATCCATGGGGAAAATTCCAATGACTCAAAGATGGCTGGGAAATCCCGGAACGAAATCCATGGTACATCGAGTCTTCGCTGCAAAAAATCGAACAGCAAATCGGTAGATTGCTGGATTTTCCAGGGCCACGTGTGATTACCGGGTACACGCCCGAAATCAGCTCCGGAGCGACCTATGGAGCCAAGCTGGTGCTCCATACTTTTTGAAGTTGGTTTATAAGTCAAATAGGATTTTTGCTAGATATATCTGGAGTCAATGGGGTTTATAACACTTATGACAAGGGGGCACCAGCTTGTACCAAGCCAGGTAGTCTAGCCCTGCAGCCACATCTAGGACGTCAGCGTGAAATAAACACAAACCAGTAGATGAACAAACACATGAACGAGTAGATCTAATAAATCAATGGATAAAACATACACAAAACCCAAGTGGTTTTTTCAGATCCAACTTTTCGAGGATGGAAGCATGCAGAAGAAGGTCATCACCGAAGACGAAGGCCCTCGTGCCGGTGTCACCGCTGAGAGCTTGTCCAAGTTGAAGCCAGTGCCTTGACTGATCTTGGTCAGTGGGTTATTTTATCATATTTTATCAGTTGATCGCCTGATTTCTGAGTTTTTTTTTCTTATATATATATATTGTATATGTGTATATGCATATATTTTATAGATCAGGGGGATGATCCTGGAAGTCTTGCCTGAGTACTAGAATCATTCGAAGCTCCAAACGATGGGAATGCAATGGGAAAGATTAATGGATATATACAGTATATATATAATGGCATTCATGTAGCCAAGAATCTGACATTTGGCAATTTGGGGGATTTACCTCAAAGTTATGGCACTGAAATACTGGGACAACGAAGTTTCAACCCATGTCAAGGGATTGGAGTTGGGATATGATTGCATATATGCATGACATAAGTGACATTTGTAGATACTTTGGATTTTTTCACGATGATTCTTAGATATTTTTCTGACCATTCAACATTGATCACCGAAAAATACCTCAGTTTGATGTTGAAAAACTTTGCTGGCGATCCTCAGGGGATCACTTGGGGATGGTACTTTCCCATTGTTTGATAATTAGCCTCTGGTAAACTAACATAGCTAACATAGCTATGGAAAATGGGTGATGTACGTTGGTTTACCTAGAAAAAACATGGTGATTTTCCGTAGCTATGTTAGTTTACTAGAGGGTAATCCACCATTGTTGATGAATATACCATGGTCAATCAGCATTTTGGTGTGTCCAATACGGGTTTGTCTGAAACTAGGGTGTACCCACATTTGATGGCCTTTATCATTTCTCCTATTAAGATGGCCCTTTGCGAGTGTACATCCTCCATTTTCAGAGACGCCCAGTGCCTCCGTTGTTGATAATTTATCAACTTAAATCGTATGAAATCACGATTCTAGCTAGAACTATGATCAACAATCAGTTGAGGTTGGGATTTCGGTCATGGATCAGCAATCCTCATCAAATCATGTCCGGTGTTTATTATATATATATATGTATATATATATATATGTATAGCCATTCCCATCTTTTCCGGACATCAAATCCCAGACGTTGAAGGCCAAAGTTTACCGAGGCCTTCAAGGCGGGTGGCAGCACTACTGCGGGCAACAGCAGCCAGGTGACCGATGGAGCTGCCATGGTGCTCTTGGCCAGGTGGGACTGTGGGACTTTTCGCTGGGATTTCACGGTGTGTTTTTTTTTTTTCAGCATTTATATTGGAAGATACAAGGAGAACTATGACATTTTGGAGGAGATCATTGCCAAAACATGGTTGGTTCCGTGTTTTTTTGAAGGTTCCGTGTTTTTTTGTGAGTCAAACGTGATTCGATCCCAGAGTTTTTTCAGTGATGGCCGTTTCAATGGGGAGGAGGATCAACTGGTTGACATTTTGGGGGACCCTATTTTGCCACAGGTATCCCCAGGAACAAAATTACCATGAACTTGGACATCCAAAATTGGTGGAATGCAGTGGGAAAAAGAATATAAACAATTGAGGGAAACGAAAGTCATGGATAGTTCAGTATTTTGCATGATATTTTAGTTGCCATTTTTTTTCGGTCCAGTACCATTTGGGTTTGTGGCTGGTTCGTGCTTTCGCATAGCCTTGGATACTAGCCAGCTGCAAGCTGTGAGGGGTCAAATGCCTACAATGAACGTTTGCAAATTCAAGTCTTTGAAAGGAACACCTTAAAATTTCTTGATTTTTCCACGATTTTTCCACGATTTTTCCACTTCAACCCGAGTTTTTGTCCAGCAAAAAGCCCCTGAGCCCCATGGAGGGGTTACCATCCTGTGGGGGCATTGCAGGCGTTCCGTGGCCAAGAAGTTGGGTCTGCCCATCGTGGCGCGCTTCCGAAGCTTCGCCTGCGTTGCTGGGATGACAAGCAGTGACAGTTTTGTGGAACTGGAAGCCATGATGATATTTTCATTATTTTCCTATCCATAAAAAGGGTTGATTTTCCAGTTCGCAAAGTGCTAAAATTACTCAGGGGGAACAGGGGAACATATTTTTTTCAACCTTTTGCTCGGGTTCCTTGGGTTGTGAAGGAAAGGAGGGTTAGTTTTTGCGCAGCGGAGGTTGGCGTGGATCCTAAGCTCATGGGCATCGGCCCTGCTTTCGCGATTCCACCAGCACTTGAGAAGGTGCCAAACGATGTTTTCATGGTGAAGGTTTGCAACCAAATGAGGCTTTTAACCAACAAACATGTGGGCTTCAGAAGCACAGAATTTCAGATTTGTACCAGAGCTATATTCTAGATTCTGGCGATGCAACCAGCAAATGCTACAATGCCAACAAACATTCATTGCAACATGTTGAAAGAACCAAGAAAACGAGACAAGGCACTGCGCGAAACAACACATGATCTTCAGTGGCTTGAACTATATTCTCAACAGATAGCCTTGATTTAGCACAGATCCTATCAGCATTCAATCCATTTTCCAGGGGCTTCTGTTCCAGATTTTTTTTCAATATATCAGGGGTTTAGTCTGAGTGTCCCAGTCCCCATTTTTTGGGGATCCCTCCCGGCTCAAATTTTTAGGGGCTTCGGCAGATCTGGCCAGGCTGGGATTAAGGTGGAGGATGTCGACATCTATGAGATCAACGAGGCCTTCGCCTCCCAAGCCACCATGTGCCTTGGCCTTGATATCTGGCCGTACTTGGCTCAGGTTTCTTGAGTCATGGTTCAAGATGAGGTTGCGCTCCCCAAAAAAAAGTGGAGTATGCCATGATATGATATGGATCATTCATGATCATTATGTAATATTACAAAAATAAAGATCATTGGTGTATTTTGACACATGTGTCGTTGAGACAGCAACCAAACCTCATGATAGGGCATCGATACGGAGTTTTGCCACCTAAATTGGGAAGAATTGGACCCAAAGCAGCCCTAGCATGGACCAACAAAGAATCCAGTGGTTTCAGAGGTCTAACATTTGAAGGAAACATCCTACCTTTGGATAGTGAAAGGCCATCATTCTCTCATTTTCCACCACACATGACAACTATATTCCATTTTTCCCCATGAAAATAGGCTCCCCAAGTCTCAATCAGTTGAATGCCTCATTTTTCCCCTGACATGCCGTATTGAGGTCTGTCGACCACCTGAAGATTCCCATGGAGAAGGCCTTTCAAGGGCTGGAGAGGGTTTAACGAAGGATGGGGGTTCGAAACATATCCCACCACTTTTTTTTTTGGTGTGAGACGTTTTTCTTTACACATTAGTAGTTTAGTGGTGATGAATCCAGCCAAAGGTGATGTTTGTTGAAGCTATTTGGGTCCGTGTGAAAGGTTGACGCGGAATGATGAATATAACTAGCTGGGTGCAACGGATGCTCACTGAGAGACTGAGTATACAGCCGGGCTGTGATTGACAAGAAAACCTTGAGATGGTTCGGTGCAAGATTTGCTTGCGATGCCCAGGTGTCTCTGGTATCACACAAAGACTCCGATCTCCAAACCATTTATGTTTCCCACTGCCATGCGATCAGAAAACGGTCAGAGACAAATCCTAAGGTTTTAATCCAAATCATACCAATCATGTAAAATCATGTCCTAAGTCCTTAGATCAGCCAAATCATACCAGAAAGGACAGTAGAAATTGGAATTTCCGTGGAAATCCCATGGAAATCCCATGATTTCTGGTGCCCGAGGTGAACCCCAAGGGCGGCGCTATCGCCCTGGGACATCCCTTGGGAGCCACGGGCGCGCGACAGATCGCCACCTTGTTGCCCGAGTTGAAGCGACAGGGCAAGAAGCGACTTGGACGACTTGGATTGACTTGGCTTTGAAGTGGCCTGGGTTTTGGCTGCTGGTTTTTGGTGGAGTCTGTTGGGCATTTAATCCAAATAGAGTTGGATGGTTTCAGGAGATTTTGTTGATTTGACATGAGCAACAACTTTGTGAATTCTGGAGCTTTTGGGGGTTTGTAGGGTGTTGTTGCCTTTCTGTTGGGTTCAACCGCACAAATTTTCGACGGCCTCCCTCCATAAAAAGTTGGATGACATTGGAGGGTCATCCGAAAAAAAATACCCAAGGGAAGTCCCCATGGTTTGGTTATATATGATATCTCCATTCAATGACTCAAAAATCCCAAAAATAAAGTCCTCTGATTGATGTCCCAGTTTCCCCAACGATTTTCTCAGGCTTGGTGTGACCTCAATGTGCCTGGGCAGTGGCATGGGTGCTGCTTCTGTCATTGAGCTGGAGTGAGGTGCGTGGCCACTTGATGTGCCTCGCTTGACTCCGTTGGAACACGAGAGGGGACGACCCTGGAACACCATGGTCGGGTGATGGTTGAAATTAGGAGATCCCATTTTTTCGGCGTCCAAAGCATAACTGGTTGGTGGTGACTGGAACATTTTTTATTTTCCCCAATAGTTGGGATGATGATCCAATCTGACTTTCATATTTTTCAGGGGGGTTGAAACCACATAAAGACTGAAAGATGAAATGTTCAGATGCCTCTCAGACTGGCTGTTGCAAGGAGTTGCAGTTTTCCTTGTTCGCGGCAATGATTTCTTGTGATGCTTTCATGACTGAAGATTTTCGTTGATTTGAAACTTGGGTAGGAGATAAAAAAATATCTTCATGCGGGTTCGGGTGGCTTGGCTCCACTTTGGAGCGCCAATGGGTCAGGGGCATATCACTATAGATTGGCCCTTCGGAGCGTGAAGGAACCGCAGAGGATGCTTCATGCTGTTTTGCACGGGCCTTGTTTGAAGCTGTCTGAAAGTAGGCAGGAACATACCGACTGGGGCGGGCTGTATGTTGCAGGGCCAGTTCCCATGGACTTAGGTGGGATTAGAACCTTAAGTACTTAAGTACTGCTCAGCAAAGTACAGACTATAGTCATCTTCTGACTAAACCGACCAGGACTATTGGACTTCCACTGGGTTGATTTTTTCAGGACAATCACAATGGTTATTTTTACTGCACCATCCAAGGTCCAAGGACTTCCTGGAAAGTTAACCCAAGTGGAGCCACATCAGAATTGGTCCCCAAAAATAGGTTCCACCAAGGTTCCCATTACTGGGCTCCATATGGGGATGGCTCGAAACCAGCTATTTCCTGGCAGGGCACCTAGGGTAGGGTTTTGACTTTTGACTCATAGCTATATCCCAAAACCAGCTCACATTCTGGACTTAAAGCCTATGTTTCGCTGCTCCAGTCAACGGCGTTAGTCACCAGAACTTTGCAGCGCCGTGATCGGCCGTTGGATCCGATATTCCGTTTCAGAGGCGAAAATTGGTGCGAAAGGGTGCGTAACTGGGTGCCTGCGGAACTTGTTCTTCAAACAAAGGGGGATTTTCATCAACTAAAATGGGAAGTTCATCAATGGGAATGGGGGAAACCTGCCATTTATGGATGATTTATACAATTTATACATATTTATACCATCCATTTCTGGTGATTTTGAGGGCCCGGTGGATTATTGGGTTTACCACATACCATCTGGTTATTTAACATAGCGAACTGGAAAATCCCTGGCCCATAAATGGAGGTTTTAATCTTCGCTGGGAAAATCATCTATTTCATTCTATTTCTATGGACCATAAATTTACCATGGCAAACTGTGAATGTCATATATAACCAGGACATTTACCAGGCTGGGTAAGGTGACTTATGTGATTTATGTGATTTTCCCAATGGAACATCCACCAGACACGGTGCACTCATCCAGAAATGACTGGCAGAACCCGATGGCATAGGGTCATCCCATGGTGCTTTGTTGGGAATCCTGAAACATTGGCCATCAAAAAGTGCCCTATTACCCGGCCTGGTAAACAGCCACATAACTATGGGAAAAATCACCCTGCTATTAATGGGAAAACTCACTATCAATGGGCCATTTTCAATAGCTTTTTGTATGTTTACCAGAGGGTAGTCATGGTATGAGCCCCAAATGACTGCATGAATCTAATCCAGCTTTTGATCATGGCACATGTGAGTCTGCCATGTGTCTGCCATCGACCGCAGCGCTGGCTCAAAACGGGTGACCGGGGGACCGTTGTTTCAGACCTGGGCTTGCGCCCGCTGGGCCAAAGTGTAAGCACCGAAGTTGCAGAAGTTGCAGATGGGGTTGGAAGGGCATCCCTGTTTTTGAAAGGAAAAGGCATGTCCACATGGTCTGTAATTATCATGAAATGGTTCTTTTTGTTAGTTGAGACCAGGTTAGATGACCAGGTGACGCATTCAGTGGGTGTGATAGTCCACCAGTCCACCAGCAACCCACCGTGCCAGAAACGGGGTAACCATCAACACATTGGCGTGTTTGGCCTCCTCTGAGGCCATGGGGAACACGTTGTCTTCGGATACTTTGCCGGTGCTGTGCACCATGGTTGATGTACACAACCCCAAAGCGCAGGACGGGAAAATGCTTTGATCCCGGAAGTCCATAAACGATTAGCAACACAGTATCTCCCATAAAAAATACACATGATCAGGGGTGAAAAAATGATAGCAACCCACAAAAATCGCTTCAAAAGTTGACATTCTGGGGGAAACATGAAACATCAGTCATATGTATATATATATATATGTACCATCCTGGAAAAATGTTTCTGATTTTTTTTGTGGACCCCAAACGGTACTATGTTAAAAGGCTTATCTCGCCATGTCCAACAGGATACGTCCAGCCCATCAGTTGAGGTTGGTGTCGGTTGGTCCATCTCCCTGTGTCATAGGCATCTCTCTCTCTCTCTCTATTTGTATATTATACATAGATAGTTGGACCATCATATTGGAAATATGTGTCTATATATACATGATTAATATAGATTAATATAGATGCGAAGATATAGATATAATATGATATAATTTTATTTGATTTTATATCAGTCACAAACTAAACACCCAAAATTGAGTTCCTCCAGCGCCAGGATATGTTCTACTTTTGCAACGTTAGCAGCGGAGGAGCAGCCACGAAAGTCATTGGCAGATCCCAGACGCTAAGTGTCGAGGCGGGTTGCCGACTTTTCCCGCCTTGGAAGGTTGGGAAATGCGATGACGGGTATAAAACCCATAGGGAAGCCAAATATGTCATGGGTCTATTTACATTACCCTCTGGTAATTTAACATAGCTATTGAAAATCACCATTTATAGTGAATTTTCCCATTGAAAATTGTGATTTTCCATAGCTATGTTAAATTACCAGAGGGTATTTCATATTCATATTTCTTATGCTTAGCTGCTGTATAATCACCTCTTAGTAACATGTGATTTCATAACCATTGCTACCTTGGAACATCGGGCCGAGCCAAGCGCGGGCGCTGCGCTGAAAGGTGAGCATCAACACAGTTCTGAGCTTCACGGTCTACGAGTGTCCTGAGCCGGTGGGGGGGCCACAGGAATCCACAGGAGCGGGGAGATGTGCTGTAAAATCTATCCATGAGGACATCATACAATGTGGGGCCCCCAAGATAGCTAAGTTGGTTTACAACTACAATAATTAGGGTTTATGGTACTTATAAGTATAGTTAGATGGGGTTATAAACCAACATATAACTAGGGGGCCCCACATCATATGGGACATGATCATATTTGATATGGGATTTCATCAATCTAATAACAAACCTGCACGATCCGGTGTCTAAAGCGGAAAACCCGATCTACCCGATCTACTTGTTCCGTCAATTTCATGACGGAAAATCATGATAAACCATGGGATGCGCCGGTTTTTTGCCCTCAATTTTCAGACAAACCCAGGCAAGATGTACAAAGATGATGAAATCTCTGTGGTTTTGAGGGCATAATTTTTTTGAGCCACAACCAATTGGACCCTTAGACAAGGCATTGATTTCAGCGCCCTGGTAGGTGTTCACTCCCGAGACAGCTCGCTGCCTGGGATTGCGGCCCAGTTGCACTGGTTACACCTCGGCGGAGAGTGGGAGACCAATGGTTTGAATGGTTGTAGGATACCCAATTTTTGATGTTTTTTTTGATGGGAGAATGGGGCATCCTAAAAGTTTGTTGGTTTGCCGTTAAAAAGGAGTAATGGCCTGGATGATTTTGGCATCCTCGATTTTGGGAGAGCCTGACATTTGGGGTTGCAGCTTGAAATTCGTCATTCATATTGGTATGCCACCATTTGAACTTTGTGCGGTGCTTGAAAAGTCATCACTCGAGTTTATGCGTACCCGCCCACGCTGCATCCAATTTGTTCACTTTTGAAGGGATGTGAAGCCAGGGTAGCACAACCAAAGCCTGCAGTCTACCACCTATAGACGAGTGCTTTCCCCGGTTCCATGAGCACCCTGGTAGTGAAAACCAATCCCCAAATTCACCATTGCCGGCCTCAGGTTGCGTGTGCCTGTTGAGCGTTTGGCCGAACGTTACTCCTCTGGTGCCTTGAAGGGTGGCACTAGTGATCTCCTGGGATGAAATTTTCAGTGGATCGGTAAGTTGGTTTAGGATTTATGGTGGAAGACTTCGATGGGGCTTACAAACCAACTAACCACTTGGAGCAACTAATCTGAAATACCAGCCTGCAAAGCATGCTTTGGTCTTGGGGATCTGTTGGGAACTCCATCAACTCCAGGATGAGGGATCCTTCTGGGTCGAAAATTCCACTTGGAAAAATGCCGCTCAGCCAGTGGATTTACCATCTGGTTATTTAACATAGCCATGGAAAATCACCATTTTTAATAGGTAAACCCAGGTAAACCATCTATAAATGGGCGATTTTCCATGGCTATGTTAAATAACCAGTGGATTTAGGGCTACCCTATTTTCGGACTAAAGAGTCGACTCTTCGCAGCTTCAAACGTCGCCAAGTTCGGCTGTCAGCAAAGAACCTGTGGAGCATCTGCCACGTGACCCAGTCTGGGTCCACAATTCTGGCCAGTAAAAGTTGAGAACCACAATATTTCTGTTGGTAGATCCTAAGGTTTATACAACGCGACTTGGCACACCAGCAGAGTTGGGAAGAGATACACTGAAAAATCACCCCCAGTGATTTTTCTGCAGATACAGTGGGTACACAAATCAATCACAAATCAATTAACCATAGCTATGGGACTTCCCACCAACCTATCTTCACAAGGCCGCTGGTCCCCAACCGCCCATGCTCTTCCGCCATGTGTGACACCTTTGGCCTCTGCATCCGTGGTGTGGCCGTGACTCCGGCGCCGCGCCGGCCGTCGCCACCGCCCGAAGAGCGGGGCGTGGCCGCCGTGGCCGCCGTGGCGCCGGCGATGAAGGCAAGGTACTCCAAATTTCTGGGCATCCTCTTGGGAATATATGACACATATGACACAATATGACACAATATGACACATATCAGCACAGTCTCAAAGTTTTTGAAGGTACATGAAGGTACCAGTAGCTGATGTCAGAAATTGGGAGTGGCTCAGGAATCTGAATGTCAACCTGTACATGTTTATATAAATATGAAGCGTTTTCAACATCGAACCGTTGAAACACATTTCAAGCTCGCGTTGAAATGACCATTCAAGCGCATTCATCCGATCGTGGATATGGCAATGCAGATTTTTGGGGGTTCGGATCCTGTGACCATCTTCCGGGTCGCTCTGGGAGGAGCAGGTTTGGTAGGACTTGGTCGCCGCAACCGGACCAGATCACATGGCTCAGATCCCTATCACTCAGAATTTTTGTTTAGTTTAAATATATCTTTGCTATTTTGGATTGGCAGGTCCAGGTGCACCATGCAACATTACACTTCAGATCATGCAGTGTTTTCTTTTCGTCTCTTGGCCATCCGATTCTCAATTCCCACCCGCAGCCCCCGTTCTGCCACAGCCGGGGCGCCAGCTGTGGAGGAAAATGACGATCCATCTGCATCTGCATCTGGCTGTCTGCAAGTCACCGTGTTGTTGATTTCCCATCAGCAAGAAATTGCCTTGGATTGTTTTACATTTGGTGTTTCAACATCGTTTAAAAATCAAAATGTTTACCTCGTTCAAACACATCGTCGGCCCCTGGCAGCAGGCACCGCCCAAAGCGGCAGGTTCGAAGCCGTTGGTGCACTATGGGCCGTGGCAGCGGGTGTCGACCGCAGGGGGCGTGCACAGCATGTTTCTAAGGGAAGATGCAGAGATGAGCGCCACAGCAACTTGGCGCCGATTTTTCGCGCGTTGAACTTTGTTAGCTATGGTTGCATCCATATTCCCAACTTAAAATCGGGAGCCGAGGGACCAGATTCCCAATCACTTTGAGAGCAATTTTTGGATGGAAAGGGTTCTTTAGGTGGAAAAATGGTGGTCTAATCAAGAAGAATTGGGGATTCTATTGGGATTTACTCACTAAAAAATGGTAGGATCCTTTTCCTGGATCATATTCAATACGCTGAAAATTTGGGACCCCCATGACAAATAGATCCGATAGGAAACCAAGGTTTGGCGCAGGAAGGGGCTAGTTGTTAACTCGTTTGTAATCCGGATACGACATGACATACCTGGCAAAATTTCATAACTGGCCTTGAAAACTATGGTAATTCAATGTAATTCACCACACAATGACTGGGGTGCACATCCAAGTAGAAAAATAACATATTATTCCTAGGGGACTGGACATTTTCAGGGATGGGGGTAGGGTTCTCCTCTCAAAAGTTGCACCATGAACATTTGCAACTCAATTCATGCCCTGGCCCTGCGAATGCATCAGAAAACCTCGGGCCGATCTGATTTTGAAAGAATGTGTGTCCCTAGTGGTTGTATGTTCCTTGTTGATCCTTGTTGTTTTGTTCCCAAGTCTAGTGCTTTGTGCGAATCCATACCCAATCTCGAGTGGTCAATCCCGGTAGCCTTTTGAACAAGTTCTTTGGTGAACATTTCCCCAAGTGTTTCAGTCGTTTCTGACTGTAACTATTTTGCTCTTCCATTCACAAGTATCTTTATGTCCAAAACCGATTGTGCCTTTATGTCCGCATCCAGGATATTTTTGTTCCAAGCATGTGGGATGAGGAGTACGACGTAACTCATCATGTCACTTGGCCAAGGGTTGGCCAAGGGTTGGAGGATCTGGGGTGGTGATCAAAATCTGCGCCTCCCTGCTGGCCATCATCACTATCAGCATCCTCCTCTTCCTCATTCTCGCCGTCATGATCATCACATGATCATCATCACCATGTTGGTAACCCCAAAATGCCAGAATCTGTCACTCCAAAGATTCTGAAAACATGACCAAAACCCAGGTGGAATGGCGAAAACGAGAGCTGCGCTGCACGCCGGCGATTGGCTTCTTTGCTGGACAAGAGCTGCTCTTCGTGTATGATGAGCATCCGGAACGTGTTCCTTGGATGTGCCACAGGGATTCTTCAACTCAGCTTGGAGTCCTTGACTGAAAAACGCGGGTTTTCATGATGATTTACATGTTTAGTTATCTTATTTGGGACACCTATGCTCAGAAATGGGTCAAAACCCTCAGACTCTGGTGTTTATACCAAAATAGCCAGTTATTTGGATGTCCATGTTTGCATTTAGGTGCCTGTGTACTTTCGTGCTTCATGCTGACCTACTTTCAAAGTACCTGCGTAGGGGATAGTCACGCCAGTGCCTCCGGCAAAAACAACATGCCTGTGTCGGCTTGGTCGACAACTGATTTTGGCCGGTAGAGCAAATACGCGAAACATATAATATACTGTACATCAATGACCATTCCAGGTACCTAAATTGGAGGTACCTACCCTATATAAGGCCTATGTAAGGAGATTTGCCCCAAAATATGGCTTTATATGGCACAGTGCCTCCATTTTTGGTCTTGAATTTCCTATTGATACATACAAGATGTTGCATTCGTCGAGCTCATATTTTGCACATGAGCCTCGTTTCTGGACACATGGGGTTGGGTCACTGCCCTTTGACACAATATTTGAATTGGATGAAGGTCCACTTTCATGCAATTTTACCATCCATAGCAACATCGACACCTGCGCACTTCCGGGAAAATCTCGGGGAACCCTCCGTCATATTCCCACCTCACGGCGAAGAGGTGACCCTTTGTGGTGAAGAGAAGCCCTGTGGCCGCTGTCCTCCCGACCGGAAGGGCTCTGAGAACTTCCTCCGCTGCTGCCTTCAGATTGCGCTCCGGCCGCGGAAGATGTCGACGCTTCCGACGGAGGCCTTGTGGCTTGGAGAAACCATGGATGGTCCTGGGGGAAAACTTGGCGCGAGCCCCCTGAGTTGGCTGTTGTTTGTTGTGGGCTGAATGGGGGATGATCGATGACCGGATGACAGCTGCAACTGGTTAGCGGGTACTGTATTTGACGGTATGACTCGGTATTATCCATTGAAATTTGTTGGAGATTCAGCGACCTGGAACCGCATGGGTTGATATGGGATTGATGGGGATGGGAGAAGCCACCTATGGCTTTGAACATGAGAAGATCTAGCCCAGCGGCAGCTATTTTGATGTGACTGGGAACCAGGCTTCAATCCGGGAAACCCACCCCAAATTAGATGGCTTCAGACGGACCCAAAACATATTTGTTGGACTGTTGGAGGTATATCCCATTCAAATCCCCATTTTGTAATCCTTATTATGATCTGGTGAACAAAAAACTGAATTATATATATATACAACTACTGCAATACTACAGTTATATATTGTATATACCATCTGGTTATTTAACAGTTCGCCATGGAAAGATCCACCATGCTATTAAGAACGGTAAACAATCTATTTTCATGGGCCATAAATTTACCATGGCAAACTGTGAATGTCATAACCAGGCTGGGTATACCATAAAGCCTAGTTATGCCGGTTACGATCACCAACTTTACGGGTTTTTTCGGCTGGTTTCCACCGTTGCCCCACCCTGAGGTCCAAGAGCGCCTTGGTTCCCCGGGCAGCGCACATTGCGCATGGCTTCTCTTGGCCCCTGGAGACTTGGAGGGTCATCCCACAGTGCGTCCATCGTTTTTTTGCTATTTGAAGCAGCAAAGATGGAGAATTATATATGGGGATATTTTTGAATATCACCAATCAACATGGGGATAATAATGTCAATGATTAGTCAATGATGAGGAAGTGGTAAGTCTGGTAAGTAATCATAGTTCGTCTACCCATATGTATATCTATATATATGCGATAAACCGCGAATCGGGGACTTCTTCGAACCAGGGTTGTTGGGTCCCAGGGTCCCATGACCGGTCGTGGGATGATCCGATGATCCGATGATGACCTGGGGAATCCTGCAAAAGAGCCGGGAAATCTGGAACGTTGCCCGAAAGCAATAGAAGCATCATATACCCTCTGGTTATGTCAAAATAGCTATTGAAAATGGCCATAGAAATAGTGGATTTTCCCAGTAAACATTGTGATTTTCATGAGATTACCCTCTGGTAAACAGCCACATAACTATGGAAAGATCCACCATTTTTAATGGCAAAACTCACTATAAATGGCCATTTTCAATAGCTATTTTGACATAACCAGAGGGTAGAGAACAAGTGAAATCCAAGAAGTTGTTCTTCCTATCAGTGAATATCACATAGATTGGGCTTGTGAAACTTTTTGAAACCAGATATTTTATTACTATCTGAAACCTGTAACAATTGCTGGGGTCACCTAGTTTGAGACAAGCCGCTGCACGACGAAAAAACCCAGCTGCGGGGGTCGGGAAATTCACCAAGAAATGCTGGATTCCCCAATGGCATAAATCTTACCCTCCGACGATCCATAAGACTGGACCGTTTGAGAATCTATGGAGTAGTTTTATCAAAGTACATAATATGGGGATGGGTCAAAACCCTGGTACCTAGTGAACCCCAAAATAGCTGGTAAATGGATGTTCATCCCACTAAAAATGTATCTATAGGTATTGACCCATACCCATATGTATCGAGGATTTCCTAGTTAGCCATGTTTGATCACCGAAGGGTAATATGAATGTACACAGCACATTTTAATTTTAGGCCTGGTCCTCGGGTTGAACATGGATCTAGAGGGTGGAATTGATGGTAGGTCGGTAGACATGGATTGGATGGTGGCTAGATTTACTCATCAAAAAACTTGGATATCTTGGATACTAAGCAATGAAAGATACCTAAGTAGGTGATATAATGAAATATAATGAACAAATGAGGGTTTCCACTGCTGATTGGTTTGGTTCATGGCCTCGGAACTGGTGGATGTGCCCTCCCTTTGCCTCGGTTTGGATTCGACCACGGAATGTTTCGATGTCTTGTATTTTGTTTGAAGCGTCACGTTTTTTTCCGAAATGTTCTTGTTGGGTAGGTGGGTTCTTGGGTTTCTTTTTGAGTTTATCTTTGAACTTAAAGGAACTCCTTATAGTTACTGCTTGGACTTTGCTGAGGACAGGCCTGGATTTGCTGAAGCAGCTTGGAAGGCGGGTTTCCGGGGTCTCTGGGCTAGGGTCACTGGAACCGGAGAAATGTGATCCCATAGATGATTTTACGATATTTTACTACTGGTTATGGCCTAACCATTAGGTTCCAGATTCAAACACCCAGGAGAAACGACTTGAACACTGCTGGACTTCAGACCCATGAGTTGCAATATAATCTTACCAGTAGTACCGCACAAGGCGGTGGCGGAAGTTTCAGAATAGGAAACCTATAGGAGACGTTGGTTGTTGTGAATCACGGATGGCAGAGCGAATCCACTGATTGACCGAAAGGTGGTTGGAGTTGTGTTTGCTGGAGTGGTTGCAATGGTTGCAGTGGTCACCTCACCCACAACTGCTGGATGTAGTGTGATGTACTGCAACTGTAGTTGTAGTTGTAGCGTAGTGGAGTTGTAGTTGTGGTGTAATGTAATTAGTGTAGTGTAGTTGCAGTCATATAGTTGTAGCTGTAGTTGTTTTGTAGTTGTAGTTGTAGTTGTATTTGTAGTAGTTGTTGTTGTAGTTGTAGCTGTAGTTGTTGTGTGGTTGTAGTTGTTGTGTAGTGTAGTTGTAGTAGTAGTAGTTGTTGTTGTAGTTGTTGTAGTTGTAGTAGTAGTTGTTGTTGTTGTTGCTGTTGTTGTTGTAGTTGTAGTTGTAGTAGTAGTAGTAGTTGTTGTTTTTGTCGTTGTTGTTGTTGTTGTTGTTGTAGCTGTAGTTGTTGTAGTTGTAGTTCTAGTTGTAGTTGTTGTGTAGTTGTAGTTGTAGTAGTAGTTGTTGTTGTTGCTGTTGTTGTTGTTGTTGCTGTTGTTGTTGTTGTTTTAGCTGTAGTTGTTGTAGTTGTAGTTCTAGTTGTAGTTGTTGTGTAGTTGTAGTTGTAGTTGTTGTTGCTGTTGTTGTTGTTGTTGCTGTTGTTGTTGTAGTTGTAGTTGTTGTAGTTCTAGTTGTAGTTGTAGTTGTAGTTGTTGTGTAGTTGTAGTTGTAGTTGTAGTTGTAGTAGTTGTAGTTGTTGTGGTTGTTGTTGTTGTTGTTGTTGTTGCTGTTGCTGTTGTCGTCGAAGTTAGGGTAGTTAAGTTAGTGAAGTTAGTTAAGTTAGTCAAGTTAGTTAACTTAATCAGTGTCTACTTTTTCGACATCTTAACGTCAACAAAGGCTCACAACCCTCAGTTTTTTACACTTTTGACTTCGAAATGTGCTTCGCGCCACAACGGCGTGCACTTTTTCGACACTTTTTCGACATCTGAACCTCCAAAAGTGGTCCGAACATGGTGTGTTTTGTACATTTTGGCTTGGAAATGTGCTTCGCGCCACAACGGCGTGCACTTTTTCGACATCGGAACTTCCAAAAGTGGTCCGAGAATGGTGTGTTTTGTACATTTTGACTTCAAAATGTGCTTCGCGCCACAACGGCGTGCACTTTTTCGACATCGGAACTTCCAAAAGTGGTCCGACATTGGTGTGTTTTGTACATTTTGACTTCAAAATGTGCTTCGCGCCGCAACGGCGTGCACTTTTTCGACATCGGAACTTCCAAAAGTGGTCCGATCCTCTAGTGTTTTGTCCATTTTGACTTGGAAATGTGCTTCGCGCCACAACGGCGTGCACTTTTTCATGTCTCATCTGGCCAGCTGGCTCCGCACCCGCTGCTTTAGAGAGCCTACTTTTCGACCCTCCGGAGCCACAAATCATTGGAAAAACACAGTGAATCGCGACTTTCCTATCTTTTCGCGCATCTACCTCTTCTTTCTTCTGATCTTTTCTCTTCTGACTCTTTTCACCTCTGCTTTTCAACTGTCCATATTGTCGGAAGTTTCACTTCTAAACTTCCTTCGACTATATTTTACTACTGGTTATGGCCTAACCATTAGGTTCCAGATTCAAACACCCAGGAGAAACGACTTGAAGCTTACTGTTGGAGACGGCTCACTTCACAACTAAGATTTTAATGTTCGAACCCCGAAAAAGCACAGGTCTTACCCACTAGTATACTTCCCTAAAGTTAATTTGAAAGTCGCTACCTGAATGTGCAACTCAGGAATTTTGTCAGTGGCCAGCTGAGCCTGAGGTCAGTAATCACCTAATCACCTGGCTAGGATTATCTCATTTACAACTGCATTCTATCCCATATGCTCCATGTATGGAATATGTACCAACATTTACCCTATAAATGACCCAGTCATGTAGGTAAATATACCAGCACCATGGTTCGCATCTGGGTAGTCATGTTTATTTTCCCTTCACGATCCATGTGATGCACGTCCAAGGACTTCGTGACTTGGGCATTTCCTCATGTTGAGCATCAAGACGTGATGTTCAGAATTGTGCCAACCAAACATAGGGGACATACCCTCTGATAAATGACTAACATAGCTATTGAAAATGGTGATTTATAGTGAGTTTTCCCATGAAAAATGGTGATTTTCCATAGCTATGTTAAATTACCAGAGGGTATACTGCAACTCCTCATTTTTGTGAGTCAAATCCTATTCCTGTGGTTCAGTTTCCATTTTTGCCCCCCGATTTTTCTTGGTCAACTCGTTCCCGGAAGATGATTCTGGGTCAAAATCGGGCCGAAAGAAGTAGGTGGTCTGGGCCGAAAGAATCTAGGCCACCAAAACGTTCACCTTTTTGCTGGCATTGAATTTTTCCATGTCTGGGAGCTTTGATTGGCTAAATCCCGAATTCTATCAAGAATTCACTGTTCTTCCCGATGAACCACCTGTTCTTATCGCTTCAATCCTTCCCCACATCCTTTCATTTGCTGCGCGCATCCCACTACGAGTATAAGTATAAGTCGTAATTGGGGAATAATCAATAACCATGTTACACCCCAGTCCCATGTGGAGAAGCCCCAATTAGAACATATGTCGTATAAACCATTTAAAGATTCCTGACATCCCACATCCAAGCAGTGATTGTCCCATGATATTCCATTTAAATTCCATGATATTCCAGTATAGTCTGTTATGTTATTATTCCCTTACTATATCTCCATATTGGGTTTGTCTGAAAATAGGGTATCCCTAAAATTCATGGTTTATCATCCTTGTCGCCACAAACCATGGCATTTTTGGGGAGCCACCATTAACATACCATGAAATCAACCGTTATATTCCAGTATATTCCCTTTTTCACATCTCGAGGTTTCCTAAAATAGGGCTACCCCTGAATCATCATCCATTTGATTTTCGAATTCATTATAAATTTATAAACCATCCAGCTATTAGGGGGGCCCTTCCATATATCCCATGATTTATCCCATGATTTATCCCATGACTTCCCGTTCTCGGAGCCAGGTCGAAACCTTCCTGGCCGGGCCTGTGCTGGTGGAGCTTCACAGCTTTGGGCTGCGACTGCAGTTCCGCCTTCCGGCGGACGCCAGCTTTGCGGAGCTCTACCACAGCAGCGAGGTCCGACGTTTCGGCAAGGGATGTCTTGTCATAACGACTTCACCATGGCTGGTTGGTTTGGAAGATTTGGATTATTTTTCCAATTGGGAATAATTTTCATATTTTTCATATACCAACTGATGAACTCCATCATTTTTCAGAGGGGTAGGTTGAAACCACCAACCAGATGGTTATTTTTCAATACTGCTGTGGCTTCGGCCCATATTTTGCTGTTGTAAAAGATTCCTGTGCCCCGTTCTGCTTGGTGAACCCTTATATAATCCTTCGATTGTTTTCGGTTAACCCCCCTCCATTGTTTTAAGTTAACACCACCATTTTTCTTGGCAACATCGTTATTTGTGTCGGTAAAATCCTATTTTGATGATTGGTTTCCCGTTTGAAGATTCCCTGAAATCTTGTTTCTTACATCCCGTTTTTGTGGATTACTTTCACCCATCATCTTGACCTTGGATGATCCAGGATTGCCAACGTCTCAGGTATGCAGTGTTCATAACCTCCGTGGGCTGATCAGTTCGGGGACTATACTAACCAATAGAAAAATTGGGGACTATCACAATCCATGAAAGGGGAGAAAATTCACAACAGTCATCCAGAGGATCATCCAGATCCGTGGTGAATAACCCACTGATTTTTTTTCAAACCCACTGATAGGATATCCCCACTTATGGCTTAGAATCCACTCAATGGGATGCACATCCAAGTGCAAGATGGGAATTGGGTGCGTTAAATTCCTGGGATATTCAGTGGAATACTGATGAACATTTTTGGGAACATACTAATGGGATTATTCTCACAATCCACATTCCAGGGATATAGTGGAATACTCATGGACCATAAAAACATTCATGGGATTAGCCTCTGGTAAACAGCCACATAACTATGGGAAATCACCATTTTTGATGGGTAAATCAACTATTTCTATGGCCATTTTCAATAGCTATGGGACTCCCCTTCCGGTGACCAGGTGGCCTTCTACCAGCACGGCTGCCAGCTGCCGGAATTCGTCCTCTGCACCATGGACGGCTCGGCGTTGTTGCCACGGGACCCGAAACGAGGGATGAAGCAAGCGGTGTTGCGTAGCAGCGTAGAGGAATGGGAGGAGGATGAAGCTCAAGCTGCAAAGCAGTGGTTTTTCATGGGATTAGAATGGGATTATAGTCATAGTTTAATGGGATTTACTGGGATTTAGTGGGATTTAATGGGATTTAGCTGGTAAAGGAACAGTTCTACCCTGAACTGGAAACTAATCTTACAACCCCTATCTGGCAGGGTCTACGTTAATTTACTGGAGGGTATAGGGGGATTTTAATTGGATTTTTATAGTGAGATTATAATGGGATTAAACTGGGATTATAATGGGATTATAATGATATTATAACTATAACGGTTTAATGGGATTGAATGGGATGAGAATGAGATTATAAGGGAATTTAATGGGATTATTAATGGGACTACAATCGAAGGAAGTTTAGAAGTCAAACTTCCGACAAAATGGACAGATGGAAAAGCAGAGGTGGGAAGAGTCAGAGAAGAGAAGAGAAGAAGAAAGAAGATCAGAGAAGAGAAAGAGTCAGAGGAAAGAAGATGCAGGTGCACGAAAAGGTAGAAAACTCGTGAAACACTGTGTTTTTTCCAATGGTTTGTGGCTCCAGAGGGTCGAAAAGTAGGCTCGCTAAAGCGGCGGGTGCGGAGCCAACTGGCCAGATGAGAGATGACAACTTGCAGGCCATTGTGGCGCGAAGCACATTTCGAAGTCAAAACGTATAATACACACCATTCTCGGAGCACTTCTGGAAGTTGAGATGACGAAAAGTGGACGCCGTTGTGGTGCGAAGCACATTTCGAAGTCAAAAGTGTAAAAAACCGACGGTCTCAGAGACCACTTTTGGAAGTTGAGATGATGAAAAAGTGCGAGTCGTTTTGGCGCGAAGCACATTTGCAAGGCAAAATTTACAAAGCACCTCAGTGTCGGACCGCTTTTGGAAGTTGACATGTCAAAAGTGCACGCCGTTGTGGGGCGAAGCACATTTCCAAGTCAAGATGTTAAAAGCACCGCATGCCCGGACCACTTTTGAAGGTTCAGATATGGTTTTGCGTGGCAGGGCAAGGGATTCCGCACCGTGCCAAAAGTGAGCAAAAACGATGGCAGGCGTGGGACATTTGAAGAAGATCTGCAAAGATGCATTTCGCTTGGCAGGCGCAATACAAGAGACCTGTTCATCCGAGCGCTGATTTCCTGAGAGGGGTTGCATTTTGGAGCATGAGATCTTCAGGTTTGCTGAGATGATTTTGCGTGACAGGTGCAGCACTTTGTATGACCTGGCATCACTTTTTCGTGGCAGGCGCAGTACTTTAGACAGGTGGAGTGGAAAAATCGCAAAACGCATTGGTACGAGGCCGTCAGCTCTGCACTCAATTTTCTATGTTTGAAGGATGTCTCGCAGAATTGCTTTGTTTTTGATGTTGTCAACTTCGAAAATTGAGGACTCTTGCAGAATAGCTTCGTTTTTGATGCTGTCAAGTTCAAAAATTGAGGCAGTCTCGCAGAATTTGCTGCGCTTCTGATGTTGTCAAGTTCAAAAATTGAGGAAGTCTCGCAGACTAGCTTCGTTTTCAAGCTTGCAGATAGAGAGCGAGAGAGAGAGAGAGAGAGATTAGATAGATGGATGGATGGATGGATAGATAGATAGGTTAGATTAGATTAGATTAGATTAGATTAGACTAGATTAGATTAGACTAGACTAGATTAGATAGATAGACAGACAGACAGATAGACAACTAACTACAACTAGGACTAGAACTAGAACTGCAGCTGCAACAACAGTTGCACTACACTACCACTACAGCTACAAATGCAAAAGTACTAAGCTACAATACACTAATTACACTACACTACGCTACGCTACGCTACACTACACTAATTACACTACAGCTATAAATACAACCACAACTACTATTACTACTACAGCTACAGCTACAACTACAAGTACAACTACACTACATTACGCTGCACTACTCTAATTACATTACACTACAACTACAACTGCAACTACACTACATTACACAACAATACCCTACACTAATTATACTACACTACAACTACAGCTGCAAATCCAACCACGACTACAATTACACTACATTTCGCTACACTACGCTAATTACACTACACTGCATTACACTACGCTACACTACAGTAACTAAAACTAGAACTACAACTACAACTACACTACCGTACACTACACTAAACTAGACTACACTACAGTACACAACACGACAGCACACTACACTACATTACATTACACTGCACTCGTCACACCACACCACAACTACAACTGCAACTACACTGCGCTAATTACACTACACTACAGCTACAACCCCACTACACTACAACTACAACTACAACTACAACTACAAGTACAGCTGCGCTACACCACACAACATCCATCTACATCCAGCAGTTCTGCGTGAGGTGACCGCTGCAACCATTGCAACCACTCCAAAAAACACAACTCCAACCACCTTGCGGTCCATCAGTGGATTCGCTCTGCCATCCATGCGTCACAACAACTCACCTCTCCTATACTCTCCTGTCTTTGAAACTTCTGCCACCGCCTTGTGCGGTACTATTGGTAAGATTATATTGCAACTCGTGGGTCTGATGTCCAGCAGTGTTCAAAATTCATGTTGGTTGATGAGTTGTCCGAACATTACACTATCCCGTATATTGGGGATTATCACTACTGTATCAATGAACTGGTAATCCCTATTACCCAACCAGTACTGTATAATGAAATGACAGTGGGTTTGAGCGCTCAGTTGAGGTGATTTTTATGCGACCATAGCTATAAGCTCCAGAAAAAACCCTAGCAATTATGGTGAAATATACCCATTTATCATATATGGTTTATATAAAATATAACTAACCATTATTAACCAGTATCAGCCATCATTAACCATTATATATATATATTCATAATTGCCCATTTATAACATAACCATTTGACTGAATGAGTGGTGAAGGGACGTCCGGGCAACAAACCTGGCAATTTTCCCAACGAAATAAACCTTTCTCTTGAAACGGGACATTTCCCATTGTCGAAGAATGTATATATAATGGTGGCTCTTGCCACAGAAAAGGACAATTCTTTTTGAGAAACTGCATTTTGGGCGGGTTTTGTATCTGAACAAACCCTTAGAATTTGGATATGAACATACATGAAATGACACACATCAACAAAAACACGTCGGCGGAATTGCACAAACCTTGGGTAAACCAAATGCTGAGTGCATGCACCCGGATGACAATGAATGACCCAGTCAAAATGATAGTAGCCACCTGATGAGGGGGGCCCGAGTCATGGAACTTGTGTCCAGGTCAAAACAATCATAAACCATACCTGGTAGCCTCACTCTTTCCAAACAGTTTGAATCGGATCTACCCTAGGGTAAATGAACATTTTTATGTGGAACCCCACCATTTGTAGATCATTTTCCACAGCGCCCTTCACCGTCTTGAGGAAACTCTTCTCGAGGAAGTTGCGGCTACGGGTGTCTTTCGCCCCCCGGTGCAGCTCATTGTCCACGATATCTCGGGTGCTCTGGTGGCTGACCTGACGATGCCAGGGAACACCACGGCTTCGAAATGCAAAGCGAAGTTGCGGGACATCACCTGGCGACATGAACCGGGGGAATGTCGCTGGGCTGAGGTTTTCTTTTGGGGCTTGTGAAGTTGTGAATATATAAGTTTTGTTCTGTCAAAGACTGGTTTTCAGTAGTTTTTTTTTTGTTTTTGAAGAGGTTTGTTGGCTTCAAGCAGCGGTTTCTTTCAACCTCCTCAAGCCACCCGAAATCCCGAAGAATTGCTCCCCACAGTGTCCTGACACAGTGATTTTGGATCGGTAGGGGCAAACCCGCTGGCTTTTCTCGGCATTTTTTTAGATTTTCCATCCCCGATTTTTTTTTTCGAATGGGGCAACGAGTCGCTTTGCGCGCGTTTTGGTGGCAACCACCAGGTATGAATTTGGTGCTCAGTGATGGAACGGTCTGGAAAGGAGTGGTGCCTTTGAAGTTTTCTGAGGACTGGGATTCTGAAGAGTCGCAATTCGCCGCAGGGTCTTGGTTTACTAGGTGGTTTCGTACTTGGGTAACTTGTGTCTTTTTACTAGACTAACTTGAAATTTTATGGGGTATACAGGTATACATATAATATCTCTATGTACAATTATGTATATATATATATACATATATATATATGTATATGCAGTCGGATCTTTTACCGGCCCACAAATTCGACATTTTTGGTACATATCATCTTAAACCTCTTGGGGTGGGGGTTGGGTGGGGTGGGGTGGGGCATGTTAACGTTCGCTTGCACTTGCGTCATGAAGTTGATGCTACGTTACGGATGGGGTTGGGGTTGGGTGGGGTGGGGTGGGGCATGTTAACGTTCGCTTGCACTTGCGTCATGAAGTTGATGCTACGTTACGCATGGGTTGGGGTTGGGTGGGGTGGGGTGGGGCATGTTAACGTTCGCTTGCACTTGCGTCATGAAGTTGATGCTACGTTACGCATGGCGTTGGGGTTGGGTGGGGTGGGGTGGGGCATGCGTTTGCACTTGCGTCATGAAGTTGATGCTACGTACGCATGGGGTTGGGGTTGGGTGGGGTGGGGTGGGGCATGTTAACGCGCTGCACTTGCGTCATGAAGTTGATGCTACTCACGCATGGGGTTGGGGTTGGGTGGGGTGGGGTGGGGCATGTTAACGTTCGCTTGCACTTGCGTCATGAAGTTGATGCTACGTTACGGATGGGGTTGGGGTTGGGTGGGGTGGGGTGGGGCATGTCAACGTTCGCTTGCACTTGCGTCATGAAGTTGATGCTACGTGGGTTGGGTGGTGGGGTGGGCATGTCAACAGCTGTTGGACCATTCTGAAAGCTGGTGTGCCAGATAAGATAGCTTCAAAGTGTAGATCCAAACCCAATCCCTTGCTGTGGAAGTACATCCGCAGCGCACAATGGCGCTGGGAGATGAACTCTGCAGACCTGCTGGCCAAAACGGGCCTCTACCTGGCAAAGCTGTGAGCTGAAAAAAGGAAAACCGAACTCGGAACGTTTTTGACCACAAAATGCTGGAAAGGTTGACGAAAGCAGCTTGCGATGAACTTTTTTAAGAAACTTTTTTGGACCCAGAATGTGCGTCTTGCTAGCACGAGAACGACGTTTTTGAGAAATCATGGGACGGTGAAAGATCCGTCGGGATGTATATGTATATATATATATTTCTTGATGGGGTTTTCTCCATTAGACCTCAACTGCCGTTTGCTGAGAGAATCTGAGAGGTGAGGTTGTCACTGCAACTGGATCTTCCTACCCCTATGGGATCTCCAACATAGTTGCCATGATCTTCTATTCAATCTATTCACATTGATTGACCCTCCAAGTCGGTTTTATTTTTAGACTATGGAAGATACAAAACCAGGCGCCATGGGCCATGGGCTGGTTTTTCGATGCCACAGCCATGATGGCTTGAATCGGCTTGAACATCGACCATTTCGATGTGGTGCACCTCTTGAAAATAAAAATTTCCCAGTATAACATGCTACATTTCGAGACCATCTGCGACCCATTTCTGCTCCGAGTCGGTAAGATTCTTTGGGATGCTCCGGGTCATCCCTTTCTTATGCGACCTCACTGGACGTCACAAATGTCCAGAACTATGCTGGGTTCATTTTTGTGTCTTGAGAAATGGGATGGTCTGAATTAGATGATTTGAGTGTTAGGGTATGTTTGAACTGTTAGATTGGTACTATCTGAATTCTCTTTAAGGTTTCTATGGTGGGACTTGCCACCTAAGTATACTAAAAAATCTCAAGTCCCCCTTTGCTTTAGCGCTCTCCCCCAGTTCTACCTTGCTTTATGTACTTTATTACCCCATGGATGTATATAGCATAGGTCCAACAGGTAACCGACAAAAAAACCATCCACCTTAGCTTGATTGTCTAGATCCCATGACATATTCCATGTAAAAAACATTTTTTTTTGGTTGGTTCAACCCTTCTTTTGTTGGTTAAATCCCCCATTTTTCGTTGGGTTCCCTGGGTTCCCCAGGACCCGGACCCATCACCTGCAGAATTTCGCCTGACCCTGGTCTGGTCCTCGGCCTTTCAATTCTTCGCCGTGCCGATCGGTTCTGGTGCCAAAATCATCGCTGGGAAGGGCGTCTTCAGGGAAACGCCGGAGAGGGAACACGACGTGGCAAGGGTGGGCTTTGAGGTTTCGCTGACGCTTGGCATTGTTGATGTTGTTGTGCACATATTCTGTAATATGGGAATAGATACTATTTTCATATTTCATTTTTTAGTTGTTACCATTATTGTTTTTATTCTCGCTTATTGTTCTTTTTGTGTTTTGATACGCGCATTTGTTTGCATATAAATCTAGCATCATGGAGAGTTTCAAGTTGCAAAGCCGATGCAGAACGGCCAAAACATAGCCATGGAAAATCTCCATTTTTAATAGGTAAACCATCTATTTCTATGGGCCATCTATACCATGGCTATGTTAAATAACCAGAGGGTAAATTCAAATCATCGTTTGTCAAAACTCATTTGTTCGGAACTTCAGAAACTGAGTTTTCTGGGGTGTGTACCCTTAGCCGTTGGAAGTTATCCACTTCGACGGGGTGTTTGGTGTAACCACTGGAATAGATGCCCTCGTTCCATGTTTTAGTTGATATGTTGAGGGTACTTCACCGATAATCCCAGAATCGTAAAAACACCCTATCTTTATCGTCCCATACATAAATCCCCCTACATCCACAATGGTTTCCGGGGGTATGTTGAATATTAGGGGGATGGGCCATTTTTTCCTTCCCACGGGCACTTGTAGATGAAGGGCGCCACCTGTTGGAGTTGAGTTGCCCGAGTGTTCCTGAGACCGAGCGTCCAGGAAACAAAGTCCGCGTGCTGGTGCCAGCAAACTCATGAAGTCGCACAAAAGAACCTTGACAAATGGCAATGGATGAAGTTTGGGGAGGTACCAACGAGTTGACCGAAGATTGGAGTTTTCAAGATTAACATAGGTTAACTCATCCATTTCCTTTTGGGTGATCGTTTTGACCACCCAAATGGCATGAGATGGGCAGTAATTCCCCAACATGAGCGGCATGACAATCCACATGTGACTGGGGTTACCTTGAGGTGGTTGTTCGCAAGATAAACCCAATCTAGTGGAGTATATCATTATATCATAGCCTGTCCAAGCCAAAAAGATCGAACCATATTTGAAGTTCCCACTTTTCAGCATTTCTCGACATTTTCTCTTGATGGTTGCTCTCTAGATTTGTTGCTGACCTGCCCAACGGGCCCTGCCCGGGCCTCCATTGGAAACGGATCCCAGGAGAACGTGGAACGTCGGGCTCAGGCATTGGAAAGCTGGTGGAGCTGCTCCCCGGTTTCCAGGTGACCTTGGTGACCGGTACCGCGTTGCGGCTCGGGGATTGTCTGAAAAAGATCCAGGCAAACAACTGAAGGGTAAACAAGAATAAAAACTGAAACTTCTATAGGGTTTTTACTAGCAGATGGGATAGAAATGGATATATCGTTGATAAATGATGGTTGGCTGATGAAAAATCAGGGTAAACAGCTTCAATTTGATGCTTGATCACGGGCGGGTACCTGGAGGATCATCCCAGGGATCGTCAGTGATTTTTCGAAACGCCTATCCCATTTATGACTGAGGTTTTTGACCAAGCTGTTGATAGCGTGATGACCATGATGGAAGTGATGTTGATGGTTGATCGTTACTATGTATATATATATATATTATATATATATATTATATATATTATATGATAGTACCATGACGATGACGACGAAGAGGATGAAGTTTTTGCAGTGACTGGTCCCTGTCCTTGTCTTTGCTCGGATTCAAGACAGTACCGCAAAGTCGCGCGCACAAAATCCTTCGGAGCTGACTTCAACTAGGCTTCTGTTTCCAAGCGAGACATGCCAACATGTAAGGTGGAACCCCTCAAACAAAATAGCCATCTTTCAATCTCACTGTTTTAGATATTGTACCCTCTGGTTATTTAACATAGCCATGGAAAATCACAATTTTTAATAGGTAAACCCAGGTAAACCATCTATAGATGGGCCATTTTCCATGGCTATGTTAAATAACCAGATGGTATATCCCTACGATTTCCATTCATTTCTTGGACCCACATTAGACCTTGCTCCGTTGACAATTCCTTGGCACAGGAGGATGATGCCAAGGAGGAGACATCGACGTCCATCCACGTTTTCGAGTTGGGCCCCGAGGTGGTCCAATTGAAAATCAACATCACCTCCGATGGGAATCAGGTGGGAAGGAGAACACCTCAGGTTTTTCGCCTGCTGGGCCAAGCTCTCGTCCAGTCTTTTGAATCATGGTGAAGTGGAAGTCGCCTCGGGCTCACATTCTGTATTTGCGTTTTTGTGGATGGGTCAAAACCCATGTGATGAATGATCTTCGATCTGAAGTGAAAGACAAATATCCAGATTTACCGGCTTTGCTGGTCAGCAGGGCTATGCAGGGTTTTATAACTTTTTGACCCATCAGCATACCCTCCGGTAATCAAACATGACTTGCTGGAAAGTCCCACAGCAATAGTTCGACAATTTTCCCATTCAACCCTCCATCTATGGTGGATTTTCCGATATTTTCTTTTTCCGATGATTTTCCTATGCTTTTCCCAGCTATAAACAGCTCCGTTCAGTTCGAGGATTTCTCAGCCATGGAGCTACTGCCTTGGCCCCACCGTCACCCCCCAGCAACTGAAAGGTGGGAGGATCTTACTACACCACTGTGGTCCCGTTGCACGTCAGCAGCTGTGTACTCCGGTCCTTCCTGTCGTACCAGTTTCTGCCCGGCGTCAAGTGGCCGCGATTGGCAGTCTTCAGGGAAACTTGGCGGGCCGTTGGGAAGATACCAAAGGTATACCGGTATACCTCACTGAGTGACTCAGTGAATGGTAGGGGAATCAACCCCAAATGGGATTATTTTAGTATGAAATATACTTGTACTTATATATTTACGCAGCATGGAGCGACACCATCAATTGGGGATATCGGATATCACTCGACAGGAACGGGGATCTGAACGAAACGAACTGGGGGAATTTAAGCAAGATGCGTTTTCATAATATGTGTCCAGTGAAATGGGATTTGGCAGACATTGAGGTACTCGTAAACACCCTATGACATGGGGAGTTTCAGAAATGATTTGGGTACGGCGGGATCACCACAAGGAAGGCTGTTAGCCACTGGCCAGTTCCGTGGCAAACTTGAAGCGCTGAAAAACGGGTGCCCCATGGTTAAATCATCGATTTCTGGATGTCTTTTAGGCATTTGGGCCATAGTTCCACCGTTCCACCAGCGCTAAAAATGTGTGATTTTCCATTTCCCGGTGACCAATTGATGTCACATTTGTTTCACCGGTAGCGCTGAACTTTTTCACTCTTGAACCCAGGATAAGTTTCGTGAGGTGGCATTCAAAGAGCTGAAAACCTACCTGCAGGACAACCCAAACCTGGAAGGTTTCACGCTGACCCATTGAAAGGTCACAGCCACAAAGCTTGGCGACGGCCGGCGTCGGCAGAAAATGCGATGGGACATTTAGTTTCTATGGGTGATGATGTATGACGGGTATACCCTCTGGTAAACGAACATAACTATGGAAAATAACAATTTTTAATGGGTAAATCAACTACAAATGGTCATTTTCAATAGCTATGTTTGTTTTACCAGAGGGTAATACCCCAAGAATATCCAAGAATGATTGATTTGCTGCATTGTTGGAAGCTGAGACGGAGAAACCGATGTCAGGCCCATGGTCCAAAGTACTCCCGAAGGCCAAACCAATAATGCATGAACGTGACATACCCACACCTCTGTATATCATTTGCTACATTATAATGTTGGTACACGTTCGAATAATTTCATGTCCTGTAATTTCTAATACCATTTTGCGTTCTTGCGCTCAATTTGGACTGTTCCCAACAAGTGGCTCCTTTGGTCGCTTCCGCATCTGTACCTGCAATCATCCCAACCGACTGATGTGGCAAACCCAAGAGTAAACTATCCTAAACATCAACCATTTTCAGGGTATTTTAGATCATCCCAATCAAAGCCCACTTTGGGGTTGATGCAACTAGATTTTTCCGGCTTATCTCAGTACCATTAGTAATCTATTAAGTATTAAGTATATCCCACGAATCCCAGCATTTTTTCCATAGGTTGAAGGCCCCTTCGGATGGGCCGAGCCACGCCGCCGCGAGGTATCTTCCAGCAGTGGTTCAACCTCGACACCAAGACAGATCCACGAATGCCTGCGGGTGACCTCCAATCTCTCATCAGTCGCTTCGAACAGGTGCGTCTGGGATGGGGGAGCTACCCAGAGTTATGGCAATTTTTTTCTAGCTGGTTGGTGGTTTCAAACATGGCTTTTATTTTCCATAACATATTGGGAATAATAATCCCAACTGACTTTCATATTTTTCAGAGGGGTTGAAACCACCAACCAGATAGGGAATGGTGATAAACCAGTGGATTGGTTTTTCCAACAATGGAACTGCAGGACTTTGATGTCTCACTTAACCGGGTTCCTCTGGTTCCTCTGGTTCCACTCTGCCAGGCCTATTCAGATGCAGTGCAGGACGTTTACCAGTCACCTGGAGAATCTGGGGCCTCCAAAGTAGGTCAAGGTGTGTCAAGGTAGGTGGAAGAATCCGATGCGAAGAGGTTTTGGGCCGCATTCTTGGAGAGTTTGTAAAGGCTCTTAGAGCTTGTCTGGATTTCTTCCTATGCATCTTCCTAAGTCTGACAGAAGTTCTATGTGCCATGGCACAGCATGAGGATCCGAATTCAAGAAATAGCTGGGCGAGGCTTCACACTGGTTCCACAAAGATATAGACATCCACGTGCTGGAAATCGTTTGGCTTTTGGCTCCCCTTGACCATCATTGTTGACTGAAAATGGAAGATAATTAATCGAGCTTTGCAACCCAACAGCAGGTTCCAGGGCTCCAGAGTTCCGAGATTGAAACCCAACAGTCGCTGCTCTTGGGAATGACCTCAAAACCATTGGATTTCTCCATGAAACGTCCAAAAAACCATTGGTTTCCGGATGAAACATCTATAAAACACATCGGACATGGCCAGAAACCCATGGTTTTCCCCGTGAAACATTGGCAAAAAACGACGACAAAATTGATGGCTTTTTGAGGCCCAAGATTTGCGTCTCGATCATCGGCACTGCCTTTGAGGTGGGGTTTCCCTGTCTGACTGCAGCTTCTGTTTTTTTTCCTCCATGTTCTAGTTTCTTCTGAACTTCAACAGCTGCAGAATAGAAAAATAGACTACTCTAGTTTCTCTTCAACTACTGGTATTCATTATTCATCATTATTCTAGTTTCTCGTCAACTATTCATGATTGTCCTTGCGGGAATATGCTTCACCCACAGGAGGCTCGGGCATCCAGGTGCATATCCCTGGCCTCAAGTTGGGAGTACTATAAGCTGGCACAGGAAAACAACCATTCTTAATGGGAAGAACATGGGAAAAACACATCCAGGTAGATGAGAGATATCATTGGTTTGTTAAAGACTACTATGATGAACATAGAAGGCTACACAAGGTAAGAAGGCCGGGTTTTTGCCACACTTTATTGGAAGTTGCAGGTCTAAGAGTGGCCGTTGTCACGAAAGCTGGCTTCTGCTAGCTGAAGTCCCTCTTGCTTTAGCAAGGTATTAGCAGGGGCTGGAATTACCAATCGCATGACACTTCACAGTTAACTACCCTCCTCCCTGCTGGCTTTTTCACAAGCAATTTTGCCGTGGCTCGATCCGCAATAGGGACATTGTCGCCATATTGTGCAATCATCGGCATCGTCGTCGTCAGTATCTCCCAATTCCTCATACACCGCTCTTTCACCACACCTTCCTCCTCCCTTTACCCTCCCAGCTTTGGTACCCTTTGGTAAACTAACATAACTATGGAAAATCACCATTTTAAATGGGTAAATCAACTATAAATGGCCATTTTCAATAGCTATGTTTGTTTACCAGAGGGTACCCCTTGGCTGTGCGCAGGTGCAGCGTGGAACACGTCAAACCTGCTCCATCTTCGTTGGGGAGGATGTGAAGACACAGGCGTCGCCGAGGGACTGGACCGGCCAATGTCAACTGCAATTCATGCCACACGGTTTATTTTGCGCATTATTCTGGATTGATTTGGGAAACATGGGTTTGTTTAAGGTGTTTTTTTATTTTCCCAATGGAAAATCCACCATTTGGGGAATCTATAGTGAATATTTTTTTTACTTTTTGGAACCCCTTACGCAAATCCAAGGAAAGATTGCGAAGATTCTTTACTTAGATCAAGCAATAGCCAACAATGAATGTGATATTTGACCAGCAAACATGTGAGTATCAGAAATGGTTGTGATGTATCCAACAATACTCGGGGGCAGCACCTGCAATCATAGGGTGGGTATGGGTCGAAACCTACTATACCATTTTTTTTGAAAGAAAATCCATTTGCCAGCTACTTTGATATTCAGCAGGGGTATAGGGTTTTGACCCATACCCAGGTAGGAGATGTAGTTCATGGATGTATGTCTCCCTTAAAGTTTCCAGGGCTACCAGGGCTAGAACTCCATCGGGGCACCAGAGGTGTACCCACCGCAAGCGGTCCCTCATGTGGTTTGAACCAAGTTTCAGAGATATCCATTGTCCCACCCAAATACATGGGGATGGGTCAAAACCTTGTACCCCTGGTGAACCTCAAAATAGCTGGTAAATGGATGTTCATCACCCTAAAATGGTACATATAGGTATTGATCCATAGCCACATCTGGCACCACTTGTTTCTTCCATCTTTTTTTTTTAAAGCAGCTACATCCTCTACAAAGCAGGGATCTCCAACTGCCAATCGGGGTGTCAAATCCATGGGCGATGGCGCGCCTAGACGCCTAGACGCCTAGACGCGCGCAGGCGGGACCAGATCTGAAAGCACTCATCGCCTCGCACAAGCAACAGGTGGGGGGCGTCACGGCTCGTAAGTGGTTAGTACCTGGAGTTAGTCCATTTATACATGGGATACGCCAGAGGACTTCCGAACCAGGGCTATTAACCACAAACACTAAGATGACTCTCCAAGTAAAGTTGAAGGTGAAGGTTCCATTGCACATATCCCACTGAGGTGTGGAGATTCAATGGTCCGGTGGGGTTCAACCTACAGTACCTGGGTTTATTGGGGATTATTTTAAAGCCATAAATCCCTATCCGTTTTTTGAGCCCAAGGGGGATCCACAAATCATTGGGACATCCAACCTGTGCATCTTTAGGCGAAGACAGGTGACAGTTAGACCTACAGTTCACAGGGATAAAAGAACATGTTCATTGGTATCCCCTTTGATTTCTTGCATCTTTATGTCTGCGAATGAGAAACATGGTTGGTGCTTATATTCTATCTCCGTCTTTTTTCGGCATGACCGGGATTATAGATACTGTAGAGTGAATTCCCCTTTATTCACCGGATCACGTTTTCTCACTGCTTTTTCCTAATTGTGTTTGCTCACTTAACCATTTTAGCTGCATGTCGCGTGATGTTGCGTGATGTTGCCCCAGTTTCCTGAATTTTCCAATCAAGCTGCAATGATTGTCACCTGTGAGTTCCAAATGTTTGGATTTTGTGGCTTTTTGGAGGCGGCATACATCGATTCCCTGCATGAAGAGATTCGCCGTCCGGACACGCAGATACGTAGCTGGGAGGTTAGGAAGCGGGGTTACAAGCCGATTCTCCATAGGATAAGCCCTATGAGGGACTTTATTCGCTACTGAAGCTGGTTGTGAACGAGTCATTTTATTCATCATTGCGATTCTCTGGGGAATGGTTTGTGCTTTCGTTTGCCCCAGAATGCTGTGCACCAGAATGGTGATTAAGCACCAGCATTCCGCGATGTTCCACTTCTTCGTCCCAAAATTTCGTTGGTGGGTCTCCACTTCTTGGGAACAATCTAATCTGGGGTGCGAATTCACGTTGAATACCACCTTCTTGGCCGACGCGCCCACATTCTTGTGTTCACCGATAATTCGCAGGGGTCGAAGTGGTAGTTTGGGGGGTGGTAACATAAACCCATTATCAATGGGAATTCCAGGATCCTCAATTGGAGGTACTGTACCTCCCAGTGAACAGCATTGAAAAAAACCCTCAGGATGGGCCCCTCTGGTAACGTGGCAACATCCTTCTTTTGCTTCGATGATTTTCCCATTAATGTCAAACCCGGATGAGACTACACCATGGTTTATTAATTAGGGGGTAGCCTCCAAATAGTCACTTTATATGCTACATAAATGGTAGCCTCCCAATTAAACAGCCGTAAACGGGGTTTATGAATCCATGATTTTCCCATTCTACGAAGCCTCTATGTAGTGATTTCCGAGCCAACCACGTTGAATGACACCGGAATGTATAGGTGACATAGTTGGTGACTATTGCTATAGACATCATATGAATCATTATGGGTAATATATCCCATTATAAGCCATTATATTATATCCCAAATGGGATATTACCATATAAAAAAATCTAGATATCTTATATCTCATCATCATTATCCCATTATAAGTCACTGAATATCAGAATATCTTATCTAATCTTATCATATAATGTCTCAATATATATATATATATATATATCTTATGACTTATGATTCGACAATCAACAATCTATACCATTTTTGGTAATATATCCCATGAAATATCCCACTATATCCCATTACAAACCATAAAAAAGTTCCCCTTGTTGTTTTTGATGCTCTGCGTTCGGATCACCGAGGTTTCAACACGCCAAGCTACCGGCCCCTGTCGGTCTCGCAGGGCATTGAGGCGCGAGAAGGGGCAGTTGGGGCAGAGGTTTTTTGGCACAAGAAATATAGTTGCTGTATATCTCTATGATGTGGTGCCCCAGTTCGTTAGCTAAGTTGGTTTATAACTCCCATAACTATGGTTTATGGCAGATATAACTATAGTTAATGGGGTTTATAAACCAACTTATAGTTGCTGTATACCCTCTGGTTATGTCAAAATAGCTATGGAAAATGGCCATAGGAATAGTGAGTTTTCCCATTTAAAATGGTGATTTTCCATGGCTATGTTAAATTACCAAAGGGTATCTCTATGATGTGTATATATATATAATTATATAATAACCAGATCCACATTAATCCTAGGATTTATCACCATGTTCCCATATGGGGTGTTTCCATAAATGGGAATAAATGGGAACACCGTAAAATATATTATAATGGAAAATCCTATTAAATAATGGATGATTTAGGGGTCCCCCCATTTTAGGAAGCCTCCATATAGTTGCATGTGTGTATATATATATATACACATACATACATACATACATACATACATACATACATACATACATACATATGTATATATTATATATATATAATATGATATACAATGATATACGTATGTAATACAACATGTAAACAGATATGGGGATTGAGGTAATTCCATCTTTATCAACATGGGGATGGGTCTACGATACAACGATACAACGATATCTTCCATGGATCAATAGCTTGGATGTTCATATGAACCTCATTTTTGGAATGAATTCTGGGACCTTCAGTTTGAATCATCTCAAAATTGGTTGATTTTTATGAACATCCCAAACTTTGGGTTGGTATTGTCATATGGGTCAAGTCCGTACATTTTCCCTTCAAATTCTTGAGATAGTGCCGTTGAGATGGGGGCGGGTCAATGTCATTCATTCACCCGCGTGGAAACAGCACCAAAACAGACCACCTTTAGCCGGACAAATTGTTTGGTGGACATGGTTCGGTTTCAGAAGCCTACAAATCCAATTTTTGGTGATAACTTTTCAGATGTACAATAAATGTGCTCTGTATCTATACATACAGTATAGCATTATATATATATATATAAATATGCATATATGTATGTTTATATAAACATATGGGCTTGTCTGAAAATAGGGTACCCCAAAATCGAGTATCTTCTTTATGAAAGTAAAAAACCATGGAGGTCCCCCATTTTCTATGGCAGACCCATATGTCCAACGTAAGCAGCCAAATAGCCGAGAAAAGAAAGCCTTCCACTGAGCCAAGCGGCAGGGAATGAGCGGAGTGTCCAAGCCACCGAATGCACCAATGCCGGTCCGGACCTGAGTGGCACCATATTGGTCTGCGTCGTGGTGCCTGACAGCCACAAAAAAAGGCTGAAAGTCAGCCATGAAAAAAATCCAAATGATAGCTGGTTATGAAGTGATATGATTAGTTATCCAAATATATTATGGTATCATATCATTTATCCATTAGTTATATTGGTTATCCAAATGGTTATCATTTATATTTGCTTTAACCATCAAAAATATTGGGATGGGGAGATGGGATCAAAAGCAGAGAGTTCGGGGATTCTCACGGAAAAATTGAAGCGATTTTCTAAGAATTTGTACCCTCTGGTAATCTAACATAGCTATAGAAAATTGCCCAATTATAATGATTTACCTCTGAAACTATCGAAAACGGATGATTTTCCATAGCCATGTTCAATTGCAAGAGGTAAACACTTGACATCATAGTTTTGATCATTTTTTCCTGTACTGAGCGAAGCTACACCAATTGTTATATATTAGATACTGTACCCGAAAAATCCCTGGGATTTTGGTTACCCTCTGGTAAACTAACATAACTATGGAAAAACACCGTTTTTAATGGGAAAATTCACTATTAATGGTGATTTTCCATCGTTATGTTAAATTACCAGAGGGTATACCCCAGCTTTTGAGTGGTCTGCGGTAACCGAGAAACCTGGTTGTGGTTGATCGACTACTGATAGGTCCCAAAACTGCGGCTTGACACCAAGGGAACCGATCCATGTTTAACGTACACATACGCACATGTACACGTAGACATACACATTACACGTACACGTACCATTTACATGTATATATATATATACATACATACATACATGCGCATACACAGAGATATATATATATAATATAATATAATATAATATAATATAATATAATATAATATAATATAATATATATATATAATATATGTATATAATATATAATATATATATATATTATAATATATATATATTTATACACACATCAGCCACACAAAAGTGATCAACCATCCCCTTTCATTGGGTTCATGACCCATCCTTTGGTCTCGGCCGAGAACCCTGGGGGCTTCCAGCCAGTGCCTTCCAGCATGGGCTATTGAGAATTTCAGGAGGCGCAAAGGAGCGGTGGAAAATCAGTAAATGAGCCATGGACAAAATACCATTGATTGGTTACTTCATGGGGATTTCACAATGAATTATAAGTTTTCATAAGTTTTCATTGGTGGTCTAACATAGTTTAACTATCAAACATATGATAAAAATATGGGGATATAGCTGATGTCTGCGGTTTCATTGGTTATAAAAAAGGGAGTTATACTACTTGGGTTATGGGGAATTTTTGAACTAGCCCATGGTAGGGAAACTGTTTTCAACCAGTATTCTATGAGATGGGACAGGGGTATTTTGAATGGCTCAAATGGGGATTGAACCAACAATAAATGGGCTATTTTGCATTATCAACCAGCTAGGTGGGTCCTTAATTTTTGATGTTTCATAGCTTAAAAATAAAAAAATGATCTCTTCAAGAACCTCAGCGACTTAAGCATACTCTTGTTGGTTGGTACAGGGGGTTATCAACTTTATCAACCTACCGGTATATTTTTGGGGATCATCATGAAAACCTCGAAAGCTCAGGGATTTTATGCCATCGGACAGTCTAAGTGGGAGTCGAGGCCTTTGAGCTTTTTTCGAATCATGAAAGGTCGTGTCTGTTGAAAAATGGCGGATTGAAGATACCCTCTGGTAAACATACAAAAAACTATGGAACATCACCATTTTTAATGGGAAAATCCACTATAAATGGCCATTTTCAATAGCTATGTTAAATTACCAGAGGGTATTGAAGCAAAAGAACAAACTTAAACCATTCACTCTCCAAGGGAATATCGTGGGATGTAACGCCATCAATGTGATTTGGGCACGGGTCAAATGATTCGTCTCAGTTCAATCGGGATAATGATGATCGATTGGAAGGTGGGGGTACCGATTTCCAGACGACCCCACGTTCAACATTCCAAAGCTTCTGTGTTTTGAGGCTTTGAGACCTGAGTTCATTGGGAAGGTTGGTCTCATTAAAGTTTCATAAATACAAAAGGTCAGTCTGGAAATGGGGTGCATCCGTTGTTCACCCTAAAATGGCAACTCCAATAGAGAAAATGAAGATCGGGCACCATATTTGGGAGTATCTTAGAATTGGATGAAGGGAACATTTACAGGACCAGGACCTCCCCCCCACATTTCACTCAACCTTTCTCCGCCCAGAACTGCAGGTTCCTCTGCAGCGCTGCACTCGATTTCCAGACCGACGCGTCGACCGCTGACCGCAGCAACAAAAAGTCAGCGTGCTCGTCGGCGCTCAGGGGGGTTGTTCTAAGGGTACTCTTGGGCTCTAACATCAAACGGCATGTCTTTAGAGAGTTTATACTGGGTTGTTATACTCTTTTTTTTGTTTTGGGTTCTTAGTTATTGTACTCATAGTTTTTTCAAAAATCAAACTCTTAGTTTTCAGTTGTTATACTCGGATTTTTTAGTCATTTATACTCTTGTTTTTTTGGGGCTCTATGAATTTGAGGTTTTAGCATGTTTTACAGTGTTTTGGGAAAACAACACTTCTCGACAGAATCCTGTCTTCAATGTGCTGTCCCAGATTTTGGACATAGGTGAATTGAGGCTACAGTACTTTGTTGGGACAGAGTTTCAAACAATTGGACCGTCAACGTCAGTGAAGACTTTTGATACCATGTGTTTTTTCAGAAAACCAATTCTAGATTCTAGATCATTGAGATTGGTTTTAGGAAGGAATCACATGAAACCATGAGTTTTGGGAAGGAATATACGTGTTTCAAGATGTTGTAGATGATTACCGTACTGCCTAATCTTTAGACTTCGACTCTGGCATATATTTTGGGTTTGTTTCACAGTGATAGGCTGATAGGAAACGAGCAAATATCACTGGAACCATTGCTACCACTGGCCACTGGCTAACGATAAATGGTGGATAACTAGGAGTTGGGATGATACGGTCTGGTTTCATCAATCGTGGCGGGCCGCGAAAAAAACAATCTCGGAATTGGGAGGTTTTTTTTTATGCAAAAACCATCTTGAAATGGGGGATGGTCCAGCTAGCCGCTAGCCACCTTTGATTGCCAGAGGGTAACCCTTCTTACTGCATTCGAAGGCACAGATTTGTGTCAGCCAGAGGACGCTCTCGGGTCAATTGGGCTTCGTCTCCTTCGCTGCCGCGGCTTTTTCCGGATTTTTATGGAGTCTTACTTCAGCCTATGGATCCAAGTCAGTGCTGAGCAAGAAGTTCAAGCCTTGCGAGCTGGGGACAAGTAGTGAACAACCACCAGCAGTGCCACCTGACAGCCGGACTTGACAACTTTCATCCACCCAGGGATCCCGTCGACTCGTCTAGCAGGATTCGGTTTTGCCATGGGTGGTGTCTCCAGCGCCATTGAAAACTCGGTGCCTCGGTGCCATGGACGGGCTTCAGCTTTTTTGGTGTGGAAGATGTTGGAAAAATCCATGGAAAACTGGCGGATATCCCTTCAAGATGGCTATCAATAGGAAAAATATGAGATTCGAAACTTCTAAACTAACAAAGATTCTCAAACCCCTTCAGACAAAGACATTCCGCTCAAATTTTGGGACCTGTTGCTTCAAGTTGCCTTTCTTCCCTATGCTAACCTTTTTGTTACTATCCTTCCGAGTTCCCGGAAGTTTTTTGTGGGGTTAGACTTATGAGAGTCCTAGTGAGCCAGAGACTGTAGACCCCAAAAATGCATTGTCTATCAAATTCAAAATCATTATTTTAGCCTTAGCATTTTAAAGTATCCTTCTGAAATGTTTGGAATTCATTTTATCAATGTTTATCATTACTATTTTTAAAATCATCAACTTTGTATCATTTTGCGAGATTTTGGCATATGTTCACCCAAAAGTTGCCAAAACGATCAAACACATTAAAAACAGGATAACACAGCGACAGTTTTATCACTGTTTTCACATGTTGAAAACATCACCCAGGCCTTATGGCCGGGACCCAAATGGGTGACTTCAAGTCCCATTGATTCGCCAATCGAACCTGGCAGAGGACCACCCATTGGTTGCTTTTCGGATTAAGTTCTCAGAGGGTACCCGGCCTGGTAAACAGCCACATATCTATGGAAAACCAGCATTTTTGATGGGTAAATCGACTATAAATGACAATTTTCAATAGCTATGTAAACGTTTACCAGAGGGTAGAACCCCCCTTTGCTCCAAATTTGCACCTAGATCTCTCAGTTGCACTCTATCCACACCGATCTTCGTGAGGTTTGTTGCTGCCATGCTGATGCCAGTAGCGTGGTGGAGCAGTTTCTGGGTTCAGATTTTGGGAGTTCGCCTGGCTGATGAAAAACTATGGTGGATGCGGAGGGCTCCACTTGGTTTCTGAATCATCCCGGACATATGGTGTGGGACCACAGATGTGAATGTCTAGTTTAGTATTAACCATCCAATTATTGAGGTACCTAATTTTGACCCATACCCATATGACGTAGAAACATGTAGAAACCACTAGATTGAGGTGCAAGGATTGCAGCACTGGGCCATTTCCACTCCAACAAGTGGGAATTGCAACGTGTAAGTCATCCTCGGACCCGGCACGAGGGACGTTGCCCACAGTGAATTCAAACCTTTATCATTGCGAAATTACACAACAGCAAAGAGTGGTGGTATGGTTACCATTCCCAGTCATGGGTGGTTTATGACATTGTTTCATCCACATGAGCTATTGAACATGGCCCCCCAAAAAAGATGATTTAGCTATATTTAGCTCTTAAACATGGTGATTTCCAAAAACATCGGCCTTTTTTTCCTGCCCCTTCTCACTCTTCATCCCCCAGGCTTCGCCACGGACGTGTGTTGGAGCAGCAAGCCGCAGCAGCGCGCTTGGCCAGCATGGCGCGGACCAAGGAGACGCCGGGTCACAATCGATGGGATCCATGGGATCCATGGGGATTGGGGAAGATGCTAAGGGCTACTAAGCGATATACAGGGGAATGATGCATATAGGCTATGTGGATTCTAGTCTATATAGTGATCAAAACCAGGTGTTGGTTGATTTCAGCACTATTGAATTGATGGAGTTTAAATATATGGTGATATAGTTGACGATGGTTGGTTGATTATAGGAAATTTATACTTTTATATTTGCACACTGTTCAATTGACAGAAAGAAACATTGATTTTTCTTCCCCATCCCAGAAAAGAAACAAATGGGACACTCATGTAGTTTTTTTTGTATATTTTTCATCAACCTAAACCATTGTGACGGATTGGATGAACTCAGTTTTTCGGGACTGGTCAGTCCATTTTCACTGGGATTTGGCATTATGGGGTGGATGACCATCAAAGATATACCATGTATTGATATGTTTTGACCATGGAACATATGCTGGAATATCCGAATATCCCCCTATCAAAAGCCTAGTAGCCTAGTAGCCTATTGGAATGTATTGGATCTATATATACCCTCTGGTTATGACTAACATAGCCATGGTATAGATGGCCCATAGAAATAGATGGTTTACCCTATTAAAAATGGTGATTTTCCATGGCAAACTGTTAAATAACCAGAGTGTATTCTATCTTTTTCGGAGGTTTAGAGCTGGAGTTCGTTAGCTCGTTATCTCCAGGCGCAGAGAGACTCGGGATGGATGCCAAGTGCCGTGCCATTACTGGTGGAGGCGGGTTGGGGGTCTTGAAATGGGCCTTTCTGGAGCCCTTTCACCGTTGGCTTCCCTATTCTTTCAAAAACAATCTGGTCATAGTCCCCAATAAGCTAGGTAGTATAATTCCTGATCATTAGCAGTCAACAAGGGTATTTTGATGTATTTTGTTCATGGCGCATTTGGATCCTTTGGGACTTGTTTCTAAACCATCGGATAGCTCTTTTCACCCAATCAGACGAGAACTTGGGGATCCTTTGTCAACAGGCTACCACCAAAAAAATCCCAATGGATTAGAACACCATTTTCCCATAAGGTCTCCTAAGTCACAGGGGCTACCCCCAGTCATCCATGTGATTTTCCGATTTTCCATGAAATAAACCATCCAGCTATTGGGGATCCCCCCAGTCGGCCATGGAAACCTCCATCGGAAACCCCCAACATGGCCATTTTAGGGGCGGCGATTCCGCGGCTAGTTTTGAGGGGATGGTGAATGGTGAATGGTGATTTTCCAATGTTGTTTAATTGATCTTCGTTATTCCGTTATGAAAATTACCATTTGAACCATGGGCTGTGTTGTTGTGATTGTTCGCACATGATTTCCAAGCCTTGACCGACGGACCGTCTCCCGGATGAGCTTTGCCGCGGAGGCGGTGAATAACGGCCAGACCGCAGAACTCAGAGAGATACTTTGCTACAAATGGCAGGTGCTGAGGTGAACTCATGCGGAAAATCATGGGGATCTTTCCATGATTTTTGATGGGATTTCATGGGATTATCATCCACCTCGATGTCCTTTTTTGATGGGTTGATGAAAATAAAAACAGGGGTCACTCCCATTTCTGGCTAAATTTATGACAAGTGATGGTACATAGTATACCACTCGGGCTCTGTTTGTTTTTTCCAAAAGGAAATCGAGGGATCCGGAATCGCAACACCAGCTGCGGAGCTTAACCAGCATGATGTGGGGACACGAGTCCTTTACCAAATCGTGAGTCACATCCGAGTCACACCTTGATGGTCTCCTGGGAAATTCCCAAAGTCGGATAGGCTCAGGCTTTGGAACAGCGAAAACTGTAGCCAAAGTGCACCGAATCTGCAGGCTCAACTTTAATTGCCAGAGGAAGATGATTAAATAATGATTTATAAATGATGATCAATGGGTAAATCACCATTTTTAATAGGTAAACCGTCTATAAATGGGCCATCTATACCATGGCCATGTCAAATAACCAGAGGGTATAAATGATGATCAATACCTTATCTTATTCCATGACTTTGAGCGGGGATGCGGTTTACTTTTCACATCGGCACGCTTCATTCCCTGAGGAATGCAGCGCGTGCATTGGCGAATCTGCCCATGTGCTCCTTGGCTGAGTGGAATTTTGCCGATGTGAACCATAGTTTTGACATGTTTCAACCATCGAAAGTATTAGTATATAGAAGATTAATTCTCCCATATATTATATATATAATCAAATATAATATTATTATTGTTATTAATTATGTATAGTTATCACTATTGTCATTCTCATACAATGTATGGGTATGTAAATACACTGTTGCAACGGTTGATCTCAGAATGGGGCACGCCATATCGGGGGATGGCAATTTTTTGAGCTCAAAATGGCGGCTTTCAAAGTCATGGGGGTACCCCTGTTCATCATCCATTCTTTTTTGAGATTTTCCATGAAATAAACCATCCATCTGGGTAAATTAACGACCTCACTGCGACCTCACTGGAATCATGGTTAGTAAGGGAAATCATCCCCAAATGGTCTTATTTCAGGTTAGTGAATTATTATAATTTACCCAGATCCATCTATTGGGGTACCTACATTTATGAAAACCCCCCATATCCTCAGGAGGAATCCCCAATGATGGTGGGATGATTGCCAACCCAACATGGAAGGTCCAAGCTACGGAACATCACCCTTTTGAGTAGATCGAATAGTCAGAAATCATTGGACTGAATGGGCCATGGCTTCCATAGCTATGTTAAACAACCGGAGGGCATATCCCATTAAGTGGATCATAATCCCATTAAATCCCATTAAATCCCATTAAATCCCATTAAATCCCATTAAATCTCACGAAATACCATGAAATCCCATGAAATCCCATTAAATCCCATTTAATCCCTTTAAATCATTTTAAATCCCATTAGATCCCATTTAATCCAATTTAATCCCATCAAATCCCACTAAATCTGGATAGCCAGAGGGTGAGCGTCACTTTTTTCGTGCTTGAGTTTGGCCTTACCCCAGGTGATGCGGCCAATACGCAGATCATAATCAAAGCTGGTGGCGTCTGAGACTTAGACAATTTTTGCTTGTCACAACGGCCTCTGAAGACAGTGGGCAACGGAAAACGGTGATTTACAAACTATTTACGTTTTTTTTGAATAGGGAAAAGGATGATCAACCATGTTTCATGTTTCTTTAGGTGTACAGACTTGTACCATCTTGTACCCAATTCTCAGAAAAAAAACCGCTCGATTTTCAGATCGTTGGTCGTTGATTCGGGGATTTCGTAGCCGCCAATATGGCTGCTGGCTTGACACGACGATATTTTCAACCAAGCCCATATGGGGTTGGGATGGTTGTTGATGGGCGCTAAATTATGATCAAAATTGTGGTTTGGGATGGACCAAGCACGAAAGAAAGTCATCTGCAGCTGGATTTTGGCAGATTTTGCTCACATTTTTGATGGAAAGATACCAGCCCTGAAAAAACTGGCAGGAATCCTTGACAAATGTTTGGCACCACCCTATCCAAACTATGGGGCAAGGCTCTTCAAACATGCAAAGACCAAGAGGCTTTAGCTCGACTTTTGCTGAACTTGCTGTTGTTTGACTGCATGTTCATACTCCGGTTTGCACGGTATCATAGGTCCCTATTTCAGAGTTTGCCATTTTGGCTAGTGAAATCCCCATTTTTTTTGGTTGCTTCAGCCGCCATATCGTTGATATTCCATGAGCATCTCCAAGAATTCCCATTCTCCCTTGAATTCAAACCTAGAGGACACCATGATGAATGAACATTCAGGAAGTTTGGAACTAATGCTGCTTGTAATGGACGGAATACTGGACTACCACCTTCACCTATTTTGCCATTTTGCCCAATCACTTCCTTTAGGTCACGGCCCTGGTGCAGCTGGTTGGCGCCGACTTTCCGTATGGCTGCCGGGCGCAGGTGGGTTGGTTTTATGGTTTTTGTTGGAACCATGGGGGAGGTTCGGAAAAACGGCACCTGACAAATTTCATCAAATGTTGGAAATTGAACATGGGAAGACCCGGAATCTATGGGGAGATTAAGTCTGGAAACGCGTCAGAAAACTGAGGATTCCACGTATGAAGAACTTGTTCAACAAATGGGGGAAACATGGGGATTTCGTGGGGATATTCAGAATATGATTTGGATATTGATATGGATCCCATATATGGATATTCAATGATTTAATCCATATCAATGTCCATATATACAAATGAACATGATATGGATATTGATATGGATCAAATGGGGGATGGGCCGCCAATTAACGAAAATTCATCGCCGTTCAATAAGGAGCACAGTTATTTTTCTCAATCATGGCATGGAATGGAGCAGCATATTTCCAGACAGGTCATATAGCTGGGAAATGCTGGGTTCAGAAGTCTAGCTATAGCTATATGTTCATTCTTGTCTGGGAAGTTTGAATGAATTACTGTAGGATGTTCTGAAAAAATCTTCGGATTGCCCTGGATCATGAAATCAACTTTCCGGGTTTCAAGCTTGCAAATTCTGACAGTTTTTCGTTCCATGAACCTATCAGGTTTGCTATGTCTTTGGCCAACTGCCTTGGGTCCTTGGGTCCTTGGGGTCCTGTTTTGAATATCAGTTAGTCAGCCCCCTATACCCTCTGGTAAAACACGGCTAGCTGGAAAATTCCTCATTGATAGATCCTCTGATAGATGATTTTCCCAGCTATACACCTCCGTTTACAAGGGATTTTCCAACGGACTAGCAGCTGACGACTGGAATTTGGCGTTCGCAGGCGTGCCGGGCCTTGGGCAACATGTGCGTGTCCAGTCAGGCACGACCCCGGTGGGGCCCAAGCATTCAGGTCGTTCAGGTCAGGTCAGGTCAGGTTGGTGGATATCTTGCTAAGCGCAGTTCGGATTATCGTGTGCATTTATGGTCTCATTGATTTTGTAATTTCAGTTTGCCCAATTTTTTCCGGGATGATGATCATTCAGATGGTGTTGAAACGACCAAAAAACCCTCTGGTAAACGTTTACGTAACTATGGAAAGATTCACCAGCTTTAATGGGTAAAATCAACTATTTCTATGGCCATGGCTTCAATAGCAAACTGTTGGTTTACCAGAGGGTAGGATCCATTCCTACTGTTGATGGAAGAAATCCTGCACCACCAAAAGGATGGTTGAAAGCCTATAAATAATGGGATGTTTACCACCGTTTTCAACTAGTGCAGGATTTCGCAACCATCCACAGTATGATGGGGTGGTCCGACAGCTTCAAAAAAGCGCGAGCGGGCGCTACGACTGTTTGGTTAGAGACAACTCACATATGAATATCATGATAATATATAGATATGTACACACATACATATATGATTACATATTATATATATACAATATGTATGTATGTATGTAATGTAATGGAATGGAATGGAATGGTATGGTATGGTATGTTATGTGATGTTATGTTATGTGCATGCGCTTTATATATACACATGACGCACCATGAAGAAATGGTGTCGCTCCGAACGAGGCAGCAGCGAGGCAAGTGAGGCAAGCAGGAGCGGTGCAGCCATTGCTGCGAGCTCTCTTTACGGAAGAGCCACTTGGCACGGAAGGGGGATCTTAGGGTGATTTTCATGGGGATTTGAGGGGATTTGACCATCAACTTCATGGGATTGGGATTTCATTTTGGATATTTTGGGGAAGAAAACCATCAACAGAAAAGGATAGAATGGGATTTTAATGGCATATCAAAGGGATATTAATTAATGGGAATAGAGTGGGAACATATACTGGGAACATAAAAGGGGAATATACGGGGATATAATGGGATACGCAACCAACAATATGATATATGACATGTGGATTTGCCTTAAAAGCAGGTATACCCGCAAAACGGTGTTTAAAACGGGACAATTATATATATATGATTAACGCCCGGATTTGGGGGTACTCCTATTTTTAGACAAACCCACTTCGATGTGGGGATTTGTCAATGCAGGGATGTTTTTTTTTGGCACCAACAATTTTTGACATGAGCTACAGGGCAGCAGGTAAATGCCCAAAATCCCTGCCCATTCTGCTTGGTAAACTTCCACATTTTTGCTGGTTAAATCCACATATTATTATTGAATCCACATGTTGGTTGGTTTAACATAGTTGATTCCATTTATATCAACCAATTTTTTACTGGCTCAATCAAATCAGTTGAATTGCATGGACCCATGTCTTTTGCTTGTCAGCTGCTTGTCAATAGTTTTGCTCACTGCTCACTCTTATCCCATGGTAACCTATTCTTATCAGCTTGTTCAAACTGATTTGACCAAGTCTTGTTGCTTATCTCAGTTTTTGTTGGTCAAATCCATATGTTTTGATGGTTGAATCCCCATTGTGGTTAGTGAAATCCAATTTTTCTTGCTTGTCAGCTTGCTAAATCCCAGTTTTGATGATATCCCATGATATCCCATGATATCCCATGATATCTTCGTCCTTCAGAGCATCGCAAGGCACCCCGCGAGCAGTGGCCCTAACCTGGTGGCAGAGGCAGCACTCGCGGTGGCCAACTTTGCCAGTGTCGATGCGACGTGGCGATGGCGATTTGCGGTGCTTTAAATACCCTCTGGTTATGACTAACATAGCTATAGAAATGGCCATAGAAATCGTGGATTTACCCATTGAAAATGGTGATTTTCCATAGTTATGTTAAATTACCAGAGGGTAGATGTTTCTGAGATTTTTTTTCAGGAGCTTCCCAGCCTGAGGTCCAATGCAGGGATGCGGTGTTGCAAAGTGCGGTGGCAATTCCAGGGCTACAGCATCTTTCAACTTCTCAGGAGAGATTTCTGCAGAAAATGATGACTGATGGGTACATGGCTTCTAGAAATGGGGACTTTAACCATCAAAGATGGCGATTCAACTTCTAGATTTTGATTGTCGGCCAAGGGGGTAGGAAGTGGCAACCCTACTATCAGATAAGTCACCCTAAAACCATTGGTTTTTTCTCTCTCTCTCTCTCTATATATATATATATTGAAACTGATTTTGGCTACACCCGCATAGTTGAGTTGTAAAATCATTCCATGTTATAGATAGTAAATGAAGTCATTCCATTTTTTCAATTTAGTGAAGTTGCCATTTTTCATATTTTTTCACATCATAGCTATGGGAATCACTTTAATGGACCTTAATTTATCAGGTAAATCATCACTGGGACATTTCCCATATGTCTCCGACCATCCTTGCAAATCCACTGACTTCATAGAGCGAGTACGGAACAAAAAGCAAGGACCATGGTGTGCGAGTGCGGTGCCCAGAACAAAATCAGCCGCTCAATGTGGGTGAAATGTGGGATTTCCAACCAAAAGATGACCTTCCGACATTTTTTTGAGCGGAGATTTCAGAGGCAAACATTCACATTTCGTTGATTTTATGATCGAAGAAATGGAGTTCTTCAGCATTTTTCAGCATTCAAACACGAGGCTTTCATTCAGCCGTCAAGAAAATGACGATTTCATTGATTTGACCAGGAAAAGCTACGGATTTTTGTTTCGAGGTGGCTGCGCTGCGCTGTTTGACCACCTTGGCGCAAAGCAGTGAGAGGGCCAGACAGGCAGTGGCTGCAAGACAAGCCTGTTGGTTGATGATTAGTTCTGGGATTATACCAACATCATATATATATATATATATGTATATGTATATATGTATATATGTATATATGTATATATGTATATATGTATATATGTATGTATCTATATATATATATATATATATTGGGGATGATCACTATCCATGAACAGGAAATCCCTATTTTTCCAATTATCATACTTTTTACCCACAGAGGGAGTTCTACTTGTGGGTGCATCCTAGCTGGGATCCGTGGTTTTCCTAACCATGGGTTTTTAACCATGCTTTTTGACTCAATGATTGATAGGATATCCCGGATAGTACTGGTGGAGTGACAGCACTATAGTTTCTATATCAATTCCTCTAGGGACGATCACCACTGGGCTTCCCAATGACCTGGGTGGGTGCGTGCGGAATCATTTTCCATGAAACTGAGGATATGATGATGTATATATATATATATTTAAATAGAAAGTGTACATACATGCACATACATGGACTTGTGCGGATATATATATATATACATATTACATTACATTACATCACATCACATCACATCACATCACATCACATACATCCATCCATGCATGCATGCATACATGCGTAGATACATAGATACATAGATACATAGACATACATAGACATAGATAGATAGATAGATAGATAGATAGATAGATAGATAGTACGTACATACCTACATACCTACATACCTACATACCTACATACCTACATACCTACATACCTACATACCTACATACCTACATACCTACATACCTACATCCCTACATACCTACATACCTACATACCTACATACCTACATACCTACATACCTACATACCTACATACCTACATACCTACATACCTACATACCTACATACATACATACATACATACATACAGACAGACAGACAGACAGACATACAGACATACAGACATACACACATACACACATACACACATACACACATACACACATACACACACACAATATATATATATATTATATTATATTATATTATATATACATTACATATCTACATATCAACATATATATATATATACATACATGCATATCCATATCATAGATGTGGACACATGTCCAATAAACATGGGGTTAACTGCAACAGGCCTTGCGTGCGGCGCAGGTGGCAGAGCATCTTGGCAGTTGGTGATCTGGTGACTTCCTGGAAATGGAACAGTTTTACTATGGAAAATCACCATTTAACTATGGTAAATCACCATTTAACAATGGAAAATCACCATTTAACTATGGTAAATCATGTTAGTGACTAAGTGATGGTGACTAAGCCAGCCGTTGAATATAATGGGATAATCAATAGGAATATAATGGGAATAGAATGGGATAATAATGGGATATAAGACCTATTAATCATGTTAAATCATGTTAAATCATCGATTTTCATGGGCCATGGCTTCCAGTTCGCAAAAGTGTTAGGCTATACTGGGGGGAAATGTAAAACAGGGACAAAAGCAACACATATTGGGGAATGGAACCAATAGACATTGGGGAAACCTGGTGAATGTCAAGCTTTGATATGCGTTATGTTTCACTTTTTGCCCGTGCTTGTGAGGAAGCTACGCTTGGCGTTTTTCGGTCCACATCGAATTTGTAAGACCACAGAAGCACAGCACGGGGTCATCCACTGTTGGCTCAGGTGAAACAGAGGATTTGACCCAATAAGGATGGATCAGCAGAGTATGCTCTTGGGACATCATCCAAGATGGCAGAAAGATATTTTTTAGAAGATTCCAAATCGAAGGTTAAACTGGCGATGTTTCCTCCGATGTTTTTTTCGATGCGAATGCTAGCGGGGTTTTGGTTCATTTGGTCAGCATTCAGTACCCAGCATTGGCACACCTTGATGTATCTGTGCATCCAATGAAGGCGCATTGCGCTTGAAATTCGATTTCTTGGCCCATATAGACTTGGAACATTACCTTCTGAAGCTGATGCCTTCCATTTTCCGTTCTTTTTTTATCTGCTTGAAATGCGTCTGCTCCAAGTTTCAGGTAGTTTCTTGGATAGAAAGGTTGTGGTCGGTTGGACAAAAAATATCTGTTTTTGGGTCTTGCGATCATGATAGAACTTCATATAACGTTGACTTTCGTATTCCATTGGCCAACCTTTCCCATCATTTGGCAGGCCTATTTCTGAGGCGAGTTTCCCATCGGTTGCTTTCACTTTTGCAGCTCAACCACCCACAAAAAGACACTTCCAGAAAAAACTCAGGCAAGCAGGAGACTCTGAACTGGAATCGTTCGTGCCTCAGGGGTCAACATCTATGCCTCAACATCGCGACTGACATAGGATGATTTTCTTGGAAGAATCCTAAGCGGAAACGATGTTTTGTTTTGGTGTTTTTCTTGCAATCAAAAAAAATACAGATTTGCTTTTTCAAGTGTTCACTCCAACCAAACCAACAACACGGACATGTTACAAACGAAGAAGTGTATCCCGTGAAACTGCAATTTGATAGTGCCCCACTAGTCGTCAAACAGGGTCTTAACCAACAGACATGGCTTTCAAAGATGGTTTTCTAGACCTGGAACCGCGATGTTTGGGTGTTCATCCAAAAGTCTTAAAACCCAGTCATTCGCTCCGATGTCTAAAGCCTCACCACAAGGCACAGATCTTCACTATTGATTGGTCGTTTTTTTTCGTTACATTTTGGGTGATTTCGCCTCGTGATTTCCAAATGGTATCTGTTTTTTTTCCAAGCTTCTGGTGCAGCTGGCCCTGCAGGGTGCAATACTTCGATTTCACTTCTTCCGAGGCCGGTTTGGTTGATGGTTCATGTTCATCCCCTGAAAGTGAGGCAGACACTGTGTGACACTGCGGACCCACCAGAAATGGCACGTGTAAATTTGGTAGTCACTCACTTTGATGTTCCGGAAAGGGGAAAGGCGTGGAACATGCACCAAGCACCGGCTTTCATTTCCTGGTCAGCTCCCCAAGCATGGCAGGTTGCTCACAAGCAACTTGCCAAATGAGGCCAGGTGCAATGGGAAAGGTTTTGTGGAGGTTTTGATGGGGATGTGGCATCTAAAATAGGGGATAACATAAAGATAAAATGGGTATATAACCCTTATCAGCCGTTATCATGATCTGGTTGGTGGTGCTTTTGATATGTGGCAAAGAAAAAAATAAAGCATCAAATAATCTACTTCTGCCTTGGTGAAAACAGGGGTAAATTTCATGGTGGGGTGACCGTACCCCTACCATGTCTTGACCATGGCACAGATATATAGATATAAGGGATTTTCGCTTGTTGACTGGAGCTTCCATGGTTAATGGAAATACGGTGAAAACTATCAGGAAGCTGGAGCCGACACTCAGTTTTTGGAGGGTCAAGTATCAACTTATATTGACATAATTATATATATATAATATATATATATACATATGGCACTTCTCTTGTGAACTCCGTATGCCAGCCACATTCAAGTAGGACTTTTAAGGATATCCCAATTTTTGATATTGAGACATCCCTCAAGCAGAGGCCTCCCTCAGACTTGTGCTGCTCCCAATGCCAGGCTGAGATGGTCTCCTGAAAGTGTATCAATATTGGCTGTGTCCCCAAGTTCACCTTAGGTTTAACCCAAGCTCGACTTCAATGTTGGGTCAGTTTAGGAAACGCCATGGGACACACAGCTATCGACCTGGGTCAAATTTGATGTCAAGGGATCTCCAAATTTTGACCCAGGTCCAATATATTTGATTCGAGTGGCCTACCACTCCGTTCGCAATAGGCCCCCTGCCGCGTATCTCCCTGGTTCAAAGAAACTGGGGACCTTGTGATGGACCAGAAAGAGTGTCGAAGATGTTGGATGTTTGCTGGCTGGAATTTGGGGATGCTGGCTGGGTGTTTTGAACACTGGTTGGTGGTGACTGGAACATTTTTGTTATTTCTCCATGTATTGGGAATAATCATCCCAACTAACTCATATTTTTCAGAGGGGTAGGTATACCACCAACCAGAACATATCTTGCATTTGGAAAGACGATCAGACTTGAATACAATATTTGGAATGGGTTGATGCCACCAACTACGGACTTCAACACAGATGGTCTAAGGGGAAGAATCTCCCATGGCACTCTCCCCAGACACATCCCTATCAAACATCTTCGGCTCTACCCATGGGTGAGCCGTCTACTTTGGTGGTTTCACTTTGGTTCCAGGAACAGTTGCAGAAACGCGCAGCTTCCTCCAGAAAAAATTGCAGCTGTGCAACGTGACCGGCTGTGTCCAAACTGTTTTTGGAGGATCAAGTGTTTAACAAAAATACGGTGTTGTCCCAGTTCGCTAGCAAACTTGGTTTATGATTAAGTCATGAGTGGATGAACTACTTGAGACTATGGTAGATATATCATGAAATATCCGTAGTTGGACGTTAAAACCCAGCCACTGACGAGCTCGTTGCGGCGCCAGCAGAACCTTCTCCCTAGGTACCGACCATCTCGGGGCGGCTGATTCATCCGAACTTGCCATTAGTGGGGATATATGGTGTGAAGACCATATCCCCCAGTATGTCTCATGACTTCTCATGATATATCACAATTGCAAAGCCCTATCAGTGTGTGTTTTCGAAGGTTTTAGCTAGCGGACTTGGCACCCATGACCCTGCTTGCCGCAGCCATGACTCAGAAGAATTTATGGTTCAACTCTCCCAAGTTCCTGGTAACACCACATTTTTTCAACATGTCCCGTTCCTTGAAGTTACCCTCTGGTAAACGTTTACATAACTATGGAAAATCACCATTTTCAATGGGTAAATCCACTATTTCTATGGCCATGTTCAATAGCTATTTTGACATAACCAGAGCATAGCATCCCCGAAGAAAGCGCCCCCCCATCTTTTTTTGTTCGCGGCACCTGTTGGCGATGCATCCAGCACTTCAACTGGTGCCTGGCCACCGTTTTCAGCGTTGGAAGATGGGAATGCCATGCAGGAAAAACATGATTTGACTATGAACACTGGGAGTTTCAACCAGCAATCATAAGGATTTTCCTGTGAAGATTGGGCAGGTGACCAACAAAACTGGGCATTTCATTCAAAAACAACGTCAAGAGTTGGGATTTCCCCATCAACAGAAAGATGGAAATACCAGGCAGCAAGCTGCAAGGGTTGTTGGAGTGTTGGAGAAGCTGATGGATGGGGATGGAGCCAACAACTTGTTGGTGTTTTCTTTTTTGGGAACCTGGGGCAGTTGATGAATGAAGAAGAAGTCTACACTAGGATAATAGGCATAAACAGGCGATTTTTTTCACGGAATCTAGGATTCAAACACTTGTGATTTCCCATGCCTTAGAATGGGATGAACTCTCACAAGATGGTACAGAGCATTGATGGTACCGTCGACCCATCCAACCGTAGATAAAGCTCCAGAAAGAAATCCGATTTAGCTGGCATTGTTACTAGTTTTGCCAGTTATAAGTGGACTAAGCCTACTCCAGCCATTTAAGAAACCAGGGCATATGCTACGGCCACGAAATGTGGGATGAAGCACCAAGCGGCCCCGGTACTCGTTTTCCCAAGCAACATTCTCTGTCTGAGGTGAGACACCAAACTGATAGCTAAGTTGAGGCACATAACTTGGTGAACTGTTGGCTTTATGGAGGATTTAACGATAGTTTCATGGGTTTATAAACCAACCACCATAACTGTGGGGGCCTCACCATAACTTACCCTCCAGTGATTTAACTGTAGCTCTTGACAATGGCCGGCTTAGGTTCGATGATTCACCTATTAGAAAATGGATGAAAATGGTGATTTCCCCATAGAAAAAAGGGTTTTCCCAACCAACTTCACCTGTCTTAGGTGAATGCCGTGGCATTGCTCTCCTGGTCTTTGCTGCTGCTCCATGCCGTCGCACCAGCTGCCGGGCCGTTTGGCGGCAATGCAGGCTGGAGGGCTGGGAAAGTCACCACCTTTTACGGGGAATGCAAGACACTCATCTGTAAAGGGGGTAGAATCTAGTTTCTTGTGGGAAAACCATCGATGGATCATGGACATCAATTGCAGATTTTCCATTGCAAGGTCTTAAAATTCGGCTTTTTGCCTGATGCAAACATCATTTTGTCCCAAAACAATCCCGAAAAGTTGGAAGATTGGAAAATCTGTGGATCACATGATCACATCTAAACATATCTAAACCATGGTAGTAACACACTTTTCGGCATCTGGGGTCTGTGCCGCCAGGCCTTCGCGCGGACAACGCGCGGTCGCTCTTCCTGGTGCTGCAGGGGCTGATGGCGACGGAGGTGGTGGCCATCACCTCCTCGCGGAAGCTCAGCAGCTCGGCGAGTTCACCATGAGTTTAGGGTGGTTTTGGGAGATGAAAACCACTGGGAACCTAGGGATTTAAGATATTTAAGCCATGTTAAGCCATGAAGAATGATAAGAATGGGAACTTCAAAGTGAAAGGTAGGGATTTAGACCCATGAAACCTGGTGATCGAAGCGTTAATCATATGGATTTAAGCCATCGAACATACGGACCGAACCCGACAGAAATAGGGACTTAAACCGTCAAAGATACGGACGACTAACCGTCAAAAAGATGGATTTGTGATTTGTCCAATGAAGAATGGATTTGGGTCTGAACATCAAACTTGGTACCCTCTTTCCAGACAAGACCATATGGGAGTTTTTGAACTGCACATAGATGAACATAGTGGCAACCTTAGCTCTGAAAAATCAGGGACCATTGCGGAAATTGCGAATCCAGGTGTAGCAAAACAGATGTTTTATGTTTTTTTTCTGGATCTAAGAGTGGAGATTGAACTAAGGCGTGCTTAGCCTGCAAGTTGTGGGTCCCGGATGTTCATTTTCGGGGATGCAAGCGAGTTCCCTCTTACCTATAGCTGCTTCCACCTCCATATGGACCTGTAGCCGCTGGGGAAATGTTGTACCGTTCATAGAAATCTCGCACCTCAAATGACCAATTTTTGATGAATTGCCAGCTGTTCAAACACCTTAACTCACTTTTTCCTACTATCAGAATCACCTGATTTCATGGTTTCCGTGGTCGCTTGAGGCATCGGAAACTTGATGCAGACCATGCTCGGCGTCCTGATTTGTGCCTGGATGTTTCCAGTAATCCGTGGCTGGAAGATCCCCGAACTCAATTGGCACCCTCTGGTGATGTCAAAATGGCTATTGAGAATGGCACGTTCATAGTTGATTTACCTATTAAAGATGGTGATTTTCCATTGCCATGTCAGTTTCCTGGAGGGTTTTTCTGAGATCAGCCTCGTGAAACGGGATCGAACTGTTGCAGGCTGTGGGGTGAATCCGGACCAAAGAAAGGCTTAAATCTGGTAGTGATGGAGCCAGGGGTATGGATCAACAGAAAACAAGCCAAAGACTGGGTTCTTTTTCATATCCCACCTTCGCGAATTCAACGGGAAATGACCACTGTCAATTCCTGAGCAAGATTTTTTGAATGTTACCTTCTCATAATCATAGCAATGAAAATCCCTAGAGACGAGCTTCCCATTTGAATGCCAGGTTTGACCGGAGCCTGAGGCCTTTTCCGCATCAGCTGTGCGATTTTGGTGGTCCCTTTCTTGGAGAATGCCCTACTGCAGAAGGTGCCGGAGATGGCGGAATGGGGGTGGGATACGGGGCCACTTAGAACTGGAACTGCCCAAGGGGCACATGGGATATAGATTAGTACGAAATGAACATGGCATCTATTTCCAACTCTCCTTGATTTTTTTTGGTGAACCATTGAACTGGTTCAGACCGAATCACCATTGAACTTCGCTCTGCAGGTGCTGTTGGCTGGATGGTCCTTCTCTGATACGGTGCGCTACTCTGCCCTACTAGGCCTGGCCCTTTTTGGGTCGCCAGCGCTGCCAGGAGGGCTGGCCTAACCTTTCCAGGTTCCCAGTTTCAATGGTGGTAGTTCTCATTCTACTTGGCTTGCACTGCTTGCACATCGGTGTATACAGAGCTATACATTTTCGATCATTTTCTTCGTTTTCGTCGATCCTACGACGATTGAAGTCGGATTCAGAAACTCCACGTTACAGGGCAACCGTTGAATCATACTGCCGGTGTGAAAGAACCTATCTTTGTTGGCCGATTTACCTCCTCGGATCATCTTGGATCTGGTTGATGGTGGCTGATATCCGACACTGCGATCGCAGTGTTATACTGCTTTGGTCCGTTGGATTGAGTCCGTTGGTTTCCTGATGTTTATCATATATAAATATTTCTAATACTAATATATATATATATACATAACCATGGCATTTTTATATTTCATATATTTCTGATATGGTTATGTATAACTTATATATATATATATATTATTTTTTATACATATTTTATATATTAACCATACAAACCACAGCATTTCTGATAACTTCAGCTCCAAATTCCGGAGCCCTTCCGATGGATTCCTTCCGGATTCCGGTCCTTGGGGGTCCTTTTGGGATGATCAAGAATCAAGCGCTGAAAAACATCGACCATCGACGATGTTCGAATCATTTATGTAAGGCCATACACAATCAGATATTATAATATATATATACATATATACATATATTATACATTATATATATAACATATATATATACACATTGTATTATTGTTATATATTATTATATGATGATCATCCCATTAAATATTAATATGTCCCATATGATATTCCCATTTAAATCCCCAGGACAAAGTCACACAGCATCCCTCTTCGGATCAAGTTGCTAACTGTCACCAGCTGAGCACAGTGAGATTCCATGAGATAAAACATCTAGAAATCATGTTTATTTATGTGCGAATGTCTAGTCCATTCGGGAAATGTAAATATGATATGGGATTTCTTATGGTCAAATCATCTATAAATGATGACATACTCTATAATGGAAGATTATGGGGATATATCATACGTCATGATCAACATATATACTTGATGATCCAGTTGAAGATAGGATAGGATATCAAAGAGTATGTTATATTGTCTAATGGTGGTCAAGTCTATAAATATACTATAATTACTATAACATATACAATAAACATATATATATATATGATATTGTACAGATATCTACCCTCTGGTATTTAGTTCATTGATTTACCTCTTAAACATGCTGATTTTCCCATCGTTTTTTTGTATGCTTACTCTAGAGGGTAGATATCCCATCCTATCTTTTAATGGTTCTATATTATAATTACTATAACATATACAATGAATATCGATATCTATATCTATATCTATATATATATATATATATTGTATAGATATCCCATCCTATCTTTTAAAAAGGATCATCCCCAGGCAAAGACGTGCGTTTCCTGCAGCTCTTGCGTCGTTTCTGCTCCGCGCTGCTCTTCCTTCTCGTTGCCTCGGCGGAGATCGCGGCCTGCTGGACGGTGCTGGAGACGGTCGCGACGACGGCGAAGGCGCTGCTACAAGTGGCTGGGCGACATCAGCGGACTGACCGTGGAAGTGGTTGGGAATGTTGGGAAACGGTACCCTCAACATAGAAAAAACTACGGAACATCAGCATTTTTAATGGGAAAATTCACTATTTCTATGGCCATTTTCAATAGCTATGTTAGTTTACCAGAGGGTATAAACCCCCATAAGTTGGTAAATCATGGTAAATCAACTATTTCTATGGCCATGGCTTCAATAGCAAACTGTGAGTCATTACCAGAGGGTAACCGTGGAACTGGTGGGGAAACAATCAGGACTCAACTGGTTGGTAAAAACTATGTGAAGACCTTAAGATACAGGGGATTTTCTGGAAATGATGACTTAGCTGGTGAATGATGGGGAAATGACTATGATATCCTATGATTTTGCTGATTTTGAGAGTTGGCATGGGGGATGGACTTTAAAAGGCCCCCCCTTTTAACGTTACTCGCCGGCGAGTTTCCGCGCCGATGGGATGAGATCAGGTTTCTCCGCGCTGAGGTTCAGATCATAGTGACAGCACTGGGTCTTCCGGTCGGAACGATGATGTTTCTGAAATCAGCCATGAAATCCAAGAGCAAAGACTCTAAGGAAGAATGATGGAAAAGTGAAAAATGTATACCCTCTGGTAAACAGCCACATAACTATGGAAAAACACCATTTTTCATGGGAAAATCCACTATTTCGACTGGGCCATTTTCAATAGCTATGTTGACATAACCAGAGGGTAAATGTTGGCTTTCAGGACCAGGTCCAATGGCCCAATCTGGTCCAATATGGTCCAATGGTGGCCTCGGTTGCGCTCGGGTTTTTCCACGAAAAATACTACATGTGTGGCCCAAGCGGTCACCAAACAGATGGAACGTTCAAGCAGAAACATGTTCCTTAAATTATTTTTAAAAACATTGAATTTGCCAAAAAGAGGGATATATATATATATATTATATATATATATTATATATATTATATATATATAAGCCCCCTAGTTTGGGAGAGGGCCGTGTGAGATCCACCAACTGAAAAACCACTGAAACGATGGGAATTCTTGGCTTTGAAGATGTCAGATCTGCTGATGTTTGGCTCAAGTGGCAGCTATGGGCAGCTGTTGTGAACGATTTTTTCTTTGACGTGTTTGGCTGGCGGTGTCAATTGTGTTTTGAGGTACTTTTTGTCATTTGGCCTCATGCACATTATCATTATCCCATAACGTTACTAGTTTTCCGCATCGAAATGATAGTCCCATCTGGTTAAAAAAAACTGATGTTTTGGGATTGATCGAAGTCACAATCACGCCGCTGCCCTTGATGCTTTCTGAATCCCCAAGTGATGTTTTCGTAGAACGTCCGCGCGCTGTCTGGTTTTCAGATGGTGCGTGCTGAAGATGTGGTCGTCGTGCTTTCTTTTGTGGCTTGGAGGATGCCTTGAATTTGAAGCTATTCTACTATGTGGGGCCCCCAAGGTAGCTAAGTTGGTTTATAACTACAATAACTAGGGTTCATGCTAGTTATAACCATAGTTAGATGGGGTTATAAACCAACTTAGCTACCTTGGGGGCCCCACATTGTAGCTATTCTTGAAATCATAGGACACACCTATACTATACGTGATCTGTAGCAACTTCATGGCTGAAATCGCTGCAAGTGCTGATTGCAAGAAAAAATAGGTCATGCCGCCTATGTTTTTTGGCCCCAAACGAAGAATCCTAAGCCAGGAACCATGTCCTTCAAGAACTACATCTAGTATTTATGGCTGCTGATCTCCCATTTCCTAACACACAGCTGGGTTCAACCTGGGTTCACCGTCCACAGACTCAGGCTTTTCCAGGGCACCGCGATCGAAGCCGACCAGGACCCGACGACCCGCTGGGCGTCAGAAAACAACCACCAGAACCAGATGAGCTATGGTCAATACTCATGGTTAATAACCATTAATAGGGGCTAGTCATCCAATGGTTCCACTCGGGATTTATAATAACCATTATTTTTGGATCCTTATTATGGATGGGATGACCATCAACCATTTTTTGTGAGTATTGACCATGGCTCAGATGTCCTTCGGCTGATCACTTAGAGTTATCGTGGTGCAACACCATTACTGGATATAATCCAATTGTTTTGGCGATGCTTAGGATGGATCTTCTGTTGATTTTGGATCAAACTCCATCCTTGAGAGGTCTGGGTGATTTTGAGCCCTCACCACCCGAGCGTCCAGGACGTCTTCCAGATCACCAGGGAGGGAAATCCGCGTGAAGATGCCTTTGAACGAGTTCCTCAGGGCGGTCACAGGAGTTTTGGGGTCACTGTAGGACAAACTGTAGGGCTACAGTTTTTCTGAAAAGTGTTGATGATGCCTAAATGATGATTTCACCATCATTAACCATGGAGAACAACATAAAAATCACCATTAATTAGCATTCTTAGAGTTTTTTTGACTCCTACATTCTTTTCGCAGTTTGACCCAGAATTACAGGCGGTTTGCCATGCTGGCTGGCTTTGGAAGGTCCACCCAACCTTCTTGTTATCCCAGTAAATATAGCCATACCCGGCCTGGTAATTGAACGTATAGCTATGGAACATCACCATTTTATACCATTTTTATAGGTAAAATAATCTATATAGCTATGTTGGTTTACTGGAGGCTATTTGGATGGTTTTTATGTTTTTATAATCTTTTGTACCACCATAGGATATCATAACATGGTGAACTCAACTGGTCAGCCTGTCCCATTCAGATTTGTATGTATAGATGATTTTCCTATGAACAAATCCCGTAGAAATATCACGTATAGGATTTTCAAGCTAGCCATTGATATTTTTTGTTTAATGTGGTACACCCAAGAATTTTTACCATCTCCACATTCACCCTAAATGGATATAAATGGGTGGTATAAACCATCCCCAAATGGTAGGTTTATGGCATTGTGTTGCCCACATTGTATCCCTATATTCCATTCACATCCCATGAAATAGTATCCCATTATAAACCCATTAAATTAAATCACCATTGAATTTCCATTGTAATCCCATTGCAATGCCCTTAGACTCCCCTTATAATCCCAAATCCCATTGAATCCCCTTGAAACAAACCATTGTAATGTGGGTCAAACAATCATAAACCACCATGTGGGAATGGTAAAAATACCACCTATAAAAATGATGATGACTTGGGGATGGTTTACTGTATGGCATTGTTTTACACACATTATATCCATTGATCTTTCCCATTGCATTCCAAAGAAGATTTGTTTACCCACATTCTTTTACCCGCATTAGACTTTTTTTTGGGCCTACATCACTCAGCGCGGCTGTCCCAAGGAACTTGCCTCCTGGGTCAACGTGTCCGGAGCCTGGCAGCGGCAGCTGCGGGTGGTAGCCACCATGACGACGACGCCAAGGCGGGGTTCCCATGGGGGTACCCCAAGAGCTGGATGGTCTTTCATGGAAAAGCCCATTAAACATATTAAGATGGATGATTTGGGGGGTGCTGTACCCTTTTTTTAAGGAACCCCCCATGGCAGCTGCGGGTTTCCTGTTTTTTTGATGGTGAATTTTGTAGGATGAGAGAACTCAACATATGACCGCGAAGGCAGCACTGTGTGATACGTGTCAATGCGCGAAGGCTTGCGACGCCTCTTGGCGTAAGCTTCTAGATTTGACACATACGAAGGCATTTCGCGAAAGCAGATATAAAGAATAGAGCTATTAGATAGTGTTGGATATAAACGATGGTTATAGCATTATAGCTTTGTTTCTGGCACTGGCGCTCTGTGTTATGTCGCCTCAAAGGTCTTCGATTCAAACGTCTCACCAGATGCATGCTTTCCGATGAAATCCCAAGCCCTGTTTCGCAAAGCCCGGCGAGGCCCCTGCGATGCCCATGCAAAGCCTCCATGGACCAATTTCCTGTAAACACCTTCTCGAAAAACGCATCTGAGGCTCAAACCTCACCTTCCTTTCCTCCTGCTGTGGTAGTCTGGCTAGACAAGAGCCCCCGCGAAAGCAGTTCGCGAAGGCAAACGTGTTCCGGGAAGTCGCGCGAAGCCAACCTTTGCACAAATCCATGCCTTGTGTAGCCTCTAGCGAACCCACCCATGAGTGTATAGGCCTTTAGAAACAAGAAAACACGGCTCATATGAGCAGTGTTCAAAACCCATTGTTGATATGCTGGTTGATGATTTAGCCATCATTTATGGGGAGTTTATGGGGTTTAACCATCAAACATATGGCCGTCGAATCATCTGGAAAATCTTAATCTGTGGCGGGTTTAGCCCCAATTCATCTAATTCCCCTTAGAGTGTCTCAATTTATGGAGGATTTAGCCTCCATGGCCATTCGTTTTCATTTGGGAAACGATGAAATCACCACATGTCAGGGTCCATTTTTGTCGCGGCGCTAGGAACCACAAAGCTAGGGGTTTCTCTGATTTCACCAGCTTAAGGCTTGGGTCTTGGACCAAAACGAGAGAATTTCACAGGATTTTTAGCCAACAAACATGGAGATCTTACCAACAATGGGCATAAGTGGCATAAGACCCTAAGAAAGTGTGAAGATGTGTGAAGACAGTGCACAATACTCACAATCAACAGTGAGACCAATACTTGAATACTCCAACGAATGGCGGTATGAGAAGACTTTTGAGAAGGCTGAGACTTTTGGCGAATCAGAATGGACCAGAGAAGGCTGAGACTTTTGAGTCTCCCCCAACTGCCCTGGCACCATGGCCCTGTGGCCCCAAACCCAACGATGATTGGGAACGATTCTTCCATTGTATCCCACGAAAAACATACCATCTGGGTATGACTAACATAGCCATGGAAAATCACAGCATTTTTAATAGGTAAACCATCTATTTCGATTAGGGCCATTTTCCATGGCTTTGTCAGTCATAACCAGAGGGTACCGGTATGGTTCGTGAATTATGCCCCTATAACCTTGCTGGTGAAGTCTCCCAATAAGCGGATGTGCAGGCGAATCAATTTCATCGAGCCTGCGCTGGACTGGGGTTGCCAGCCGAGTTCATGGGGCGGGAAACGGGGGGTCAAGCTTAATGGCAGGTGAACATGGTCTTGTTGTTGTTTCATGTTGTTTCCACTCATACATGGAAACTAGACTTAGCATCCAATCTTGACTAGCAACATCTAGCAACTTTCAAAGATTTAGTCTTGGTTTTTCAATTATAAACCATAAATATCCATAAATGGCTTAAGTCTTGACTATCCATTAACGTCACAATGGGTGCTGACGTAGCCATCACGATTGGATGGTACAATAAGAGATGACGGTAGGGTTTTTCATCCCATTAAGTAATCCCATGAACCCCGTTAAATCCCATGAAATCCCATTAAATCTCACTAAATCCCATTAAATCCCATTAAATCCCATTAAATCTCACTAAATACCATTAAATCCCATTAAATCCCATTAAATCTCACTAAATACCATTAAATCCCGTCAAATCCAATGAAATACAGGGTTTTTAAGCTCCCAAGATGATCGCCATTGGTTCACCCCGTACACCAGGACGGCTTGCTGCAGCAGAGCCGACCCCTCGATGCGGTCTATCTCTTTGTTCCAAAGGCGGATGCTGGGTGCTGGGGGTCGAACGTTCAGGGTTCGTTTTCTGGACCATGGAGAGGCAGTTGAAAACTGGAAACTGAAGAGGAAAAACCGCACATTTTCTGGTTGGTGCTTTGGAACAATTTTTATTTTCCATAATATATGGGATAATCCTTCCCATTGACTAAATATTTTTCAGAGGGGTTGAAACCACCAACCAGTTTTGTTGAAGTATTCTTTTTGTCAATACTTTAATTTTCAGCGCCAGGGTAGCCTGCCCCAATAGTCCAAGGTTTTCAAGCGGGAGAACACTACATATCAGCAACTCGGAATGAGTGATTCAAGTGGTGTGGGGTATGGGTCAGGTGATGGGTTACCATACCTCTAGAACATTCTAGAACGGTATACTCAAGATTCAAGAGTAAAGAGGACCAACAAATTGAATTTCCCGGGATCTTCAATTTTTTACACCTTTTTAATGATGTCCGACTTGAATTCTGAGATCTGACACTTTTCCTAGTGAGAGAAACAACCCTACCTACTGGTGCAGAAGATGTTGTGCAGCAAACCTTGCAAACAGGGATATGTTCTCCTCACTTTATGATAAAATAGAGGGATGGCAGCACCATAAATGGTGCCAATCAACATACGATGTAGCAATCTTCAGACTCCCGCGTCAATCGCTTCATTTGTAGTGGTCACGTTCACAGTGCTAATCCCACTTAGTGGCCAGTAACTGGGGTTTGTTCACCCATTTATGAAACATGTTTGCTATTTGTAGGTCCCGTAAATCAGTAAGTTTCCTAATTTCCGGGGTCTCCCACCTTAGTACAGTAAGTTCCCTATTTTTATATGTGATTTCATAGTGATTCTAAGTGGCAAAACTCCCGAACTCCGTCCGTGCTCCGTGCGCTCTCCAGCAGGATCCCCAAGTGGTTGAGCGCGCTGCAGCAAGTTGCGCCCACACTGCAGCTGCGACGATGTGAAGATTGGGGGCCTGCCACACATCTGCTGGAGGGGTGGATGGGGTTGGTGGTGAAGCACCAAGGAATCCTTTTTGTGGGGTTTGTGAACTCACAAAGGTTAGTGAATCAACTGAACATTGCCCCCTTCGAAGTGGGCTGAACTAAGGCACATATGATTCTTGGGGTGAACCACCAAGTAGAGAACCAGTCAAAGGAGGACATGGGAAGAAAAACAACAGCAGAGCAGCTGTGGGTTGACACGATGTTCTCAGTTGAAAGGCAAATGCAAATTGGAAATCCGGTTGGAAGGACTCCCAAGTTCAGTGATACCTAGTGTATCATCAACTAATTAGTGTACTGTATAACAAGTGAATGTACTGAGAAGTGGGACAGGAGCACTAGCAGTGCACCATTTCTGTGGTTTCAGTCATGACATGCAAGGAGTATGCATTTGTTGCGGACTTTATATAAACAGGAATTCGCACACTTGGATACACTTGGAAGTAGTCAAACTTGGGTTCCAGCCTTTCAATATCTTTCGATTTAGGGTTTCAGTCCCAATCTAGAAGCGTTGTCGGCGGGTGGATGCCATACAATTTCCATCAATTTCCTAAAACTTGAATATTGTCTTCATTGAATTGACCCAGCTTTTTCCAGTGGCAACGGATTTTTTTCGTCAACATCCGTTTTTTTTTCTTACCAGGAGGTCCAAAACCCGCCGTTCGCCCGTTCGAGGAGGTGCTGAAAGCCGAACGTGATCCAGAGACAGCCATCTTACAAGTGCCGGGGTGAATGCATTTGGTGCCCTTTTCATGGGTTTGTTTAACGTGATTTCTTATTTTCCCAATGGAACATCCACCATTTGGGGAATCTATAGTGAAGATTTTTGATTTTTTGGGAACCCCTCAAGCAAATCCAAGTTTTGTATCTGGCAAATGGAGGAATATACCAACAACATTTTGGGGCCTTAGGGGCAGATATTCCTTTTGAAGCAATTTTTACTGGTTGGTTCCTTCATGTCCACATCCATTTTAGGGAAAAGCAATAGTTTGGAATAGCCGTCCTTATACTTCGGTTTTGTTTTTAGTGGAACCTACAAATCACCAGCTTTATCAGCTTTATCAGGTATACATCCCCGGTTTTGTTGGTTCATCTCCTAGTTTTGGTTGCTGAAACCGATGGTTTCCCCACCTTTTCGTTAAGGTTTTTGGGACACCGGGTGTGATAGAGATCTCCCAGGTTTAGACCGACGCTGTGGTCTCGGCTCTTGAGGATCCAAGAATTCCCAATAACATATTTGGATATGGAATGATATCTTTATATGGATATTAATATAATATAATATAATATAATATTATATATACAATATAATATATGATATATAACATATGATTCTATATGATATATGATATCACACTAATCATCTAACTTCAATTCCTATTTTCATGGATTCAAATCCCATGACATCCCGAATTTCCAACCCCACTATCCCAGGTGGATGACGACCAACGCTATGGTCCCCTGCTGTTAGAATCACTGCTTCGCGCCATGGGACCGGCCCCGGGAAGGGCCATCGGGGCCGCCACCCAGCACCCAGGCACCCATTAAAAGATGTCAGGATCAATAGGTTTTCCATCTTTTTTGGGAGAGATTTTCTCAAAGTCAGGGGGTTCCTACAATTTCTTTTTTTTAGTGTTCCATCTTTATTTTGGAAGGATATATTGTAGATTTTCTTGCAGGTCTTCTTTTTGGTTTTCACTCATGGCATTACCGGTACCATTTCCACGCCAAGGCACGCACACACGCACTTGGGAGGGGCCGTGCTGGAAGGCCTGTGATAACTGAGATCTCCGGTGGGAATTTTCGCATCGATCGGGGGGTTGGAATAGGGATTTCACCATCAAACATAGGGATTTCATGGTATTTCACCTGAAAAATTGGATTTTCCATAATTTTACCATGAAAATAGGAATTGAATCCATGAAACGTAGGGATTTTACCGTGAAAAATCGAGATGTTACCACGACAAATGGAGATTTTAGCATGAACCATACCAATTTTACCATGAAATAATGGTTTTTACCGTGAAACATAGGGAGTGAGTCCATGAAAAACCGGGACCTTCCCATGAAAGATAGGAACAAAAAGGTGATTTTACTATCCAAAATGTTTTTTTTTTTTTTTTCGCATGAAAAAGAGAGATTCAAGCAGTGAAGATATATGAAGATCATGGTTTTTTCGGCTTATGTTTGGAATATGGCACCCATCGATTCTCGATGGATTCTCCCAGTCCTCCCAGGTTTTGAGGGATGGGTCATCCATCAAAAGGGGTAGCATTGACCTTTTGGACATCTGGTGATACGGGAAGAACATGCTTTAAATTGATGAAGTGGAAAAACATCCAGCCTTTTGACGCATGATTTTTTTGAGAAGCCACTGAGAAGCCTATGCCATCCGGTGGTTTCCAAATAGGGAGAAGAACTGGCACACCACCAGGAAGATTGTATGTCGAAGCCAGGATATTTGAGGCTCACACGAATTGTCCCCCTGAAATAAGTTAATCAAACATCGTGATGGACACTCCCGGAAGGAGATTTATAGCTGAGAACATCATCTACATATATAACCTGGTTGGTGGTTTGGAACATTTGGATTATTTTTCCATATATTGGGAATAATCATCCCAATTGACGAACTCATATTTTTCAGAGGGGTAGGTATACCACCAACCAGAATATATATATATATCCATTGCCATGTTAAATTATGCTGTGGTAACTCCCTGGATTAATTGGGGAAATCTTCCTGCAAACCCACTGGGATGGTCATCAAAATCAGCAACGGATAGCTTCTCCGGCTAGCAACCAGCTATGCTCCGGCGGTTCTGAGTCCAAATCATTGGTAGCTTTCCCAAAGTGTAGCGTAGCTGATGTTGCAATTTGTGAATTGCTGCTGGTGTGCCCCTAATTTTGTTGATATGTGGATGGGTCAAAACCTTGTACCCCTGGTGAACATCAAAATAGCTGGTAAATGGATGTTCATCCCACTAAAAATGGTATTAATAGGTATTGATCCATCCCCATATCCTTGTTTTCAATATCCATAAATTCTTTGGGGCCTAATATCATGTGTCAAACATCGTCCCCAGCATCTCAGCGGAGGCGTTCATGGGGTGCTCTTTCGTCGGAAGTTCTTCGATGACGAGATCTTCAACTTCGAGAACTTCTCGCCGCACTGCCGGGTGAGATCCTGAAGCTGGGGAGAGTCGGCGCTTTTCTGGGCGAACTGGGCCGACGGAGTTTTGGATACACAATTTGTGGAAAGTTTCCAAAGGCAATGCTTTTTGCAGGACATCTATGTATGGTGAATCATTGCACATAATCCATATCTATGTAAACAATTGCAGGATAGGAAAGTCCGAAATAAAACGGTGGTGGGAAAAAATGCTTTGAGGCCCTTGGGGATAAACGGCCCATTGACCTCACATACTCACATGGAGGGTTCATGCCCATCTCTTGGTAAACCTTAGTGCATGGCAAGTTAACGTTCGTGGATGTGAGCGAGCTATTTTCTACCAAGAATTACAGTACCCCAGGGTAAACATTTACATATAGATGTGGAAAACCCATATGGTTTCCGAACACAGTCTAATCATGGTTGATTTTCCACATCTATGTTCGTTGACCTTATGGTATCATGATGTATCATGCGTCATTGTCCTTTTCGCACAGCATTTCCCAGTCGAGCGCTCGAGCGCTCAGTTACACGATGACCTTTGGATTTCAGCACACTTGGCACGAAAGGCGCGCCAAGCCACAGGGATTGCCGGGGAATGAGTGGTTCAATGGTTGGCTTAATACATCTTACCCTCTGGTAAACTAACATAGCTATTGAAAATTGCCATTTATAGTGGATTTTCCCATTGAAAATGATGATTTTCGATAGTTATGTTAAATTACCAGAGGTAGTAATACCAAGTTCTTTTCATTGGTGGTACTGGTGTAACCAATTCTTTCAATAGAATTGGTTAAATGGCCTTGGCATCTCAGATTGAAAAAGGAACAGGCCCCCAGCTGCAGGGCATTCTGCGGGAGGTGCTGATCTCGCGGCTGGGCACAAAGGCCTTAAGCTACGGCTTTGGAGAGGCAGGGCCTTTTGAGTGACTTGATGTCGGGGTTGGGGTCCCCATGTCGTGGGGTTGGAGTTGATTCAGAACTACCCTCTGGTTATGACTAACATAGCCATGGAAAATGGCCCTAATCGAAATAGATGGTTTACCTATTAAAAATGGTGATTTTCCATGGCAAACTGTTAGTCATAACCAGATGGTAAAAAAAACCACTAGGGGATTTATGGATGTTGATACCGGGTATCCTGGATGATTTGGATGGGCTCGGGAAGCTACTTGGCTGGTTCACCTCAGTACAACCTTCGGCCCATGCTGAGTGCCTCTAGCAGAGGTAACCCCTTAGCAGGCCTTACCACATCAACGCCAGAATCCACGCTGAAACTAGGGGGTTGGTCTGGAAATTGTTGGGGAAACCAACACCTTTTGGATGTCTCTGACTACGCCAGGATGCCCTATATATGGGCGGAGCTGGGAGCGACAACACCAAGAACTTTTTCCTCTGTCGTTTGCCTGCAGTCTTGGGTTGAATTCGTTGGGAGTGATTTTGTACCCTCTGGTAATTTAACATAACTATGGAAAATCACAATTTTTAATTGGAAAATCCACTATAAATGGCCATTTTCAATAGCTATGTTAGTTTACCAGAGGGTAACTATTGGGAGACCACAACAATGGCAACAATGGATCCATGGTGCTGGTATATATGGTAACATTTACCACTTTTTTACCATCAATATACCCCACATGTTAGCATATATACCATACATGGAACCACAACAATGGGAAAGCTGAAGTTTGCAGTTTGAGCAGCTGATGTCATGACTCCAAACCGAGACGGCTTCAGCTGACGTTCTTCAGTGGATGATGCCATCTCCAGTCTTGTGATGTTCGAACTTCTACCGTAAATTGGGGTCGATCATCCCAGCAGTTCTATGGGGGTCTCGTACCCAATGGGAGCGAGGTTTTAAGAATATGGGGTTGGGGTTCGGCATCTTGTGACAAGCACGGGATATTTGGGTCTGAGTCAGACCTGCGAGTTAACACAGGAGTACTAAACTAGCACAAAAGAACATACTATTTATCTTTTATTATTGTGAATGTATTATTATTGTTGAAATCATTATTACAAATATAACTATTATTAATATCAATAATTATTATCACTACTTTTCATATTGTACTATCATTATACTATTATTAGCCTATTATTGTACTATTGTGAATTATACTACTATCATACTATCATACTATTGATGATTATACTATGATCAATATGATTGTAATAAACTATTATATGACAATTATACTATGATAGCATGATAAATGATAATTAACTACAATTATCGGATTAGTATTATCATGTATTATCATATTATTGATAGATTATACTATGTTTCATAGAATTGGATGATGGGACAAATTACAGGAAACCCCGATCAATTTGATGGTAAAAACCATGGTTTCCGGTTCCGATTTTCCCTTAAACCAATCCATTGATAATTGAAAATCACCACTGACATAACCAACATAACTATTAAACATCACCACTATAATAATAGGTAAATCAACGAACTGTGATATGTTCAGTTTCCTGGGCTCTGACCCATCAGCACTGCAGGTAGTGCCTCTTTACTTCGCGCCTGTCCGAAGCTCTGGGCGCCACAGGCAGTGGAAAAAAATGGAAAACGAGACGGGCGACCCCATCGGATCTCACCATGGCATGCAGTGTAACACAACATTGTTACAAAAAATACCACCAGACAGAAAGTAACCCACATCAATTTTGGCATATTTCGAATGACATTGAAACATCATTTGCCACTTTTCATCCCCAAAAAGATCGAAACGTAAAGCATCATCATTTTGTTCATGGGATTGACGAATTCGGCATGATAAAATCAGAACCAATCCATGGGATGTTGATATAGTCTAGTTATGTTACCTTTTTAAGCCTTTATATATACGTATATATATATTATATGATTCCTTCACCACTGATCAATTATATATATATACACACATGTGTCTAAATATGGACATTATTACGTAGTTAGTCTGTATGCTTACTGTCGTTTGTCCGTTTCTCCCACGACACTCGGGACCTCGCTGAGTCGCTGTAAATGGTGAGGAGAATGGTTGGTAGGGGGCAGTATTCCCAACATGGTGAACATTTGGGGATGGGTCAAAACCCTATCCCCCTGGTGAACATCAAAATAGCTGGTAAATGGATGTTCATCCCCCTAAAAATGGTATGTATAGGTATTGATCCGTAGCCATTTGAGATTATAGTACCCTCTGGTAAACATACAAAAAACTATGGAACATCACCATTTTAGAGCTGGGTAAATCAACTATAAATGGGCAAATTGTTAAATTGCCAGAGGGTAATTGCCCAGATGAATTATGTGCATCAATTGATATCTCATTTGTTCCGCAGCAAAAAGTCCGTCATCATTTTTGGTCCATTGAAGTTGATTCTTTCAAACGCATCGAACTAGTTCGATATATCTAGCATAAGCCACAGTTTACTTGGAACTTCCAGTTGTAAGTGGATTTTTGGAACCATAGTTAATTTTGGGTGAATTTCAACTTCTTGGGGTTTCAATTATTTTCTCATCTTTTCCCGCGTTCAACCGTTCCGAACTTCCAAGCCCCGTTCCCCCGGAACCCGCTGGCAGACGCGTGTGGCCTTGGTGGTGGGTGCCAAGCATTGGACCTTGCGAGGCTTCAGGCGCTTGGGCGGCGTGGCGCAGGCGGCCTACGTCTATGGCAAGGCGGATGGGGCGATGGGGATATCGGGGGTAGGTAGGGGAATGTATGAGCAACAATATATAAGTACATAAAACAGTACATATAAGTTAGGAAATAGATTAGGAAATGTATGATCTTAACTATTCTGCCGGTTGGAAAACCTTTGAGTTTCCACAAGTATTTGGATGTTGATCCCCGCTCCTTTGGGGTGACATCCGGGTGTTTCTCAAAATTCGGTTTCCCCAAAAATCCAGTGGTTTCCCCCAAAACAAAACCCATTGGTTTCCCCAAAATCATTGGCTATTAGTTTCCCCATGAGAAAGATGGGGATGGGTCAAAACAATATTACATTTTAGTTATATAGTTATTATTATTATTAGTATTTTTAATGGTTGTCATGAATGTAACTCATCAACCATATAGATAACAAACCAAAGTTCATTATTATTATCATCATGAATGGGTTTGTTATCTACCATCTGGTTATTTAACATAGCCATGGAAAATCACCATTTTTGATAGGTAAACCATCTATAAACGGGCCATTTTCCATGGCCAATATTAAATAACCAGAGGGTATATGAACTATTTGGGGGCAGAAACTCATCAACCAGGTCGACTCGGTGATGCCTCACAGCACCTTGGATGTGCCGCGAGGTGCCAAGCATGGGAATGTTTCATGGGGAAACCCTTGGTGAAAAGAGATGTTTGGAAGTGTAGGCATCAAGTGGCTGCAGACCAGCTTATGTTGCGCATGTTTCATGCTGTTTTGTTCATGCAGATGGCCTGGAGGGACTCCGATTCGAAAGCGCATGGTGGGCAGCAGCCGAGCTGCCAGACCTTGAAACGCTCGGTGTGTTTCAACAGGAAAAACAAAGGTCGAGTCAAATTGAATGCTCAAAGCGATCTCGGAATCCATAAACAGCACATGCAAACGCACAAACAAGGGAAATCAAGATGTGTGTTCGACAATGAGAAGATGATCCCGGTGATATTTTTCCAGATAGACATGGGTTTATGTTTGTACTGTTCATTTTGGATAGGAGTGAATGATGAGTGATGTTTAATGATTTTTGTGACCACTTCATTTTTTTGGAACAACTTCTTTCTACCTTGAAGGACCATCTCGCAATATGTGTAATTTTTCTATGGAGATACATGGAAATGCAAAAAAAAACAAACGTATATCTCATTGATGACTCCGCGATGATTTTATGGCTTGTTTCAGCCCACATCTCCAAATGGCTGGCCTTGTTTCAGCCATTAGGTGAATGAAATCCCATGAAATCCCTACAGGATGGGCTCCCCCAGTAATAAGTTGATTTATAAACCATTATAGCCCCATGAAAACTATAGTTATATCAAGTTATATCTACCATAAACATTCCCATAAACCCAATCGAATTCAGACACACCAAATTCAACTGAAGGCGAACTCGACCGGGGGAAAAATCCCTTAAATCATCTGTATCTGCGTGAAATCGTAGAATTTCCCGACAAAATTTCCCAGGAATTCTCCAGATCTCTGGCTGGTCATTTTCCCAAAGGGCTCATCCCGAAACCGGCGCAGGTCGTCGTTTCAGCGTGGGACCATGGCATCAGCCCGTGGAGGTCTTCCTGGGGGCGAAGTCCCTGGCGGAGGCGAAAGAAGGACGAAATCTCTGAGAAAAGATGGGGATTGTACCATGAAAACCTGGGATGGCTACCCTCTGGTAATTTAACATAACTATTGAAAATCACCTTTTTTAATGGGAAAACTCACTATTTCTATGGCCATGTTCAATAGCTACGTTAAATTACCAGAGGGTACCATGAAAAGATGGGGATTTAGATGGGATTTTAGGTGGGGGCCGTGAATCTGTAACTGTTATAACTAACAACTTATTCAAGCAATGATGAAACTAATTAACTAGTAGCTACTCTCATGGTTATTAAATGTTAAAACATAAGAACTGATTAGGGTGATTAACTCATAACTCATAACTGATTAGGGTCAACAACTACATGACTGACCAGGGTTATTAACTAAAAACTGAGGTCAACAACTAGTATCCGTTTGGGGTTATTATAAAAATATCTGATGGGGTTTTCCTCAAGGCTTGCTGGTGGTTAATCAACCTTAAGGGTACCCCAGTTCGCCAGATATTAGTTATTAGTAAAGAACGCATGCGGAAATTCCGGACATGGGTTGAATCAGGGGGGGGTATAGCATTTATGCAGCATAGCAGTGAGCTACGAACGTTTAGAAACCAGTGGATTTGTTGAGGTGTTGAGGCTGATTTTCGATGTTCCCATCTGGGAATTCCACGGATTCCACCAATCATGGGGAGGATGATCATGAAAAACATCTGGCAGAGGGCCTGGCAGTGGGCATTGGGAAAGGGAACATGGTGATGTTCCTAATGTTCCTCAAGCAACTCCAAGAACTTTTGCCCTTGGGGATTCTAGTCTGGTTGTGGAAAATCCATGAAAATTGCTCTTTGTCGATAGGACAATAGGTTACGGTTTTTGCAGCACCAAAAGGTAAGGCCCCCTCAGGTCATAAGTTGGTTTATAAACACATTAACATCCATTAACTATAGATATCTAGTTCGTTATATCTACCATAAACCATAGAATTCAGCCACTTGTAAGCCACTAGAGTTCAAGATATGTCCCCCCCCAAAAAACCCAACCACTTCACGACGAAGTCAGGCGTTGGAGGTGGCCTTGAACTTTGAAGAGGAGCCACGGCGCAAAGCGGGGTGCATTTCAATGGGAACATCTGCTGTCAGCAGCTATTCAGTGGTTTAATAGTGGTGATGTTTAATAGTTATGTTGGTTATGTCAGTGGTGATTTTCAATTATCAATGGATTGGTTTGTTGGGGAAAATCTACAGGAAACCATCGATTTTCCCATTAAGCTCATGGGGTTTTCCTGTAAAATTTGCCTTAAACCAATCCATTGAGCTATAGATTTTCCCGTGGATTTTCCTATGGTTATCTATCAATGTATGTTCCGCCAAGAAAGGTGGTGCCCCCTGAGTTATTTTGTTGGCTTATAAACTCATAAAAAATACACATAGATATCACGATAAACCCAACAGTCAAAATCAACCCAGCGGAGTAGGGGGCACCACCTTGTATAGTTGCTAAGTGGGATGGAGCATCAGCTTGGAGTGGGGCAATTTTTGTTTGTTTCACGATTTTAGTATAGTTATTCGAGCAACCTGACTACCATAATATGTATATATACAATGTTCAAGTCTCGGCATCACATCCTTCCAAACAAAAAACATATATATATATATTATACATATTTATTATTTATGTTCTTTTGCAGTTGGTACTTAAAGTTCACCATGGATGTGTCAGTTTCTTTTCTGCTGATGTCTAAGACAGCCTGCGCCCAGGACGCCTCCAGCGTTATCGTTTTCTTCTCCGACGTGCCATCGAAGGGCCTGAAGAAGGTGGTCAGCACGCCAGTTGGATGGCGGGACATGGCAAGCGATCCTAGAATCTACCCTCTGGTTATGTCAAGATAGCTATGGAAAATGGCCATTTATAGCTGATTTACCATTGAAAATGGTGATTTTCCATAGTTTTTTGTATGTTTACCAGAGGGTACATGGGTGTCTGCAAATGGTGTACATCCCCTAGAATTTTCCATAGGGAAAATGTGGGAAAATGATGATTGACAAGTGGATTGTACCGGGTACCGGCAATCTCAAGCGATCCCACCATTGCCTGAATTGGTGCCACCAGGCTTGGTTGAAGGATGACCAGATTCAAAACTCTGGGGCTTTCTGTAAATTTTCCTTTTATTTCCTTTGAATCTCTTCATTTTCAGGGCAGATTCCTGAAATTTGCCAAGTTTCTGAAAGGTGGCACCCCTAGATAATAAGTTGGTTTACTAATCCGTCTGACTGTAGTTTAAATATGTTTTAATCAAAATAAATCCTAGTCAACCTAGCTATCCAGGAGCTTAGCTAACTATGGGGCACCATCTTCTACTCACACCGTCTGAAGACCGCCTCCCTTCAGGTCAAAGACTTGGTGCGCTGCGTCACTTCGTTGAAGCCGCACCAAAGTCGCCAAAGCTGCCGCCATGCGAACGGCGTGGCCTTTTGGAGGCCATGATTTGTTTTTGTTTTTTTTTTTTAAATCTGAAGAAATCAACATGATGTGTTTAGATAATTATGATGCTGATTGGTGGTTTGGAACATTTTTTTATTTTCCATAATATATGGGATGTCATCCTTCCCATTGACGAACTCATATTTTTCAGATGGGTTGAAAGCGCCAACCAGGATGGAATGCTCAACCATTAAAAATCACGGACTCTGTCTTTTGTTTACCCTCTGGTAATTTAACATAGCTATTGAAAATGGCCATTTATAGTGGATTTTCCCATAAACAATGGTGATTGTCCATAGCTACGTTAAATTACCAGAGGGTAATCTGTTTTCTCCAGTTGGAATGACTGGCAGCTGTACGTGATGTCTCAGAATCCATAGAGTTGATGTTAAACCTTCAGGCATGCGGCCTATCCTGCTGATCGCATAGGAGGCCCAGTGAGCCTGTCCCGACTTGTGGAAAAAACCACGGTGTTTCCTATGGCTTTTCCCCAGAAAACGCCGGTCACATTAGTCCTTCAATAGAGAAGGACTCAATCCAAATCTGCCCCCCTGATCTACAGCATTGAAAGAATCTGATTTGAAATCTTCCACATGCTATCGAGATTGTTGAAGATGTCTGACCGTTTTTTATTTCAGAACATCTTTGACTTTCATCAAATTCTTGGCCCTAGATTTTGGAGGATTTTTTTTGAGATCCCAAATCTTAGGTGAGTCAACAGGGAGTAAAAAAGAGTTGCATCCCAGTTAAAACTATTAAAGGGATATATTAAAAGGATAAAACGATTTCTCTAGGCACACGGTTTGTTTGTTTGTTTGTTTGTTTAACCTACCATTTTGGGGTCACATCTGTTTTTGTTTTTTTTTTAAAGAAATGTATTAGTCACACTATGCCACAGATGCAGCATGTGGGATGGCAATGGAATGTCACCAGACCCTCTGTCTGCCCGAGGCGCGATTTTCCTGCCGAAATATAGCGAGGACTTTCACGCCTATCAGCGAGGCAGAGATGTGAGTTGAATGTCACAACCGAAGCTGGAATGATAAGAATTGGATTCGGGGAATTCTTCCAGAAGCGGAATTTTTCAGCTTCCTGAATGATTCTGATTATTGTTTTTACCCAGGATGTGTTGAAGCTTAAGATCTTCATCACAATTGAATCATTGTTTCAAAAACCATGACACACACGTTTGGTGCTCAAAACTGTTTTACAGCAACCCAACGTTGCTGTTGGGTTTCGTTAAGACCGAGCCGGGTGGGAGTTGGCCGAGTTGCCCCAGTTGGTGTTTCTGATAAGATCGCCCCCATGGATCAATGATCTGAACTTGACAAGTAGCCTCTGGTAAACATAAAGAAAAGATACCCTCTGGTAAACTAACATAACTATGGAAAATCACCATTTTTAATGGGAAAACTCACTATAAATGACCATTTTCAATAGCTATGTTAAATTACCAGAGGGTAGAACATCACCATTTTGAATAGATAAATCAAGGATTTCTATGGGGTATTTTCAATAGCTATGTTAAATTACCAGAGGGCACACTCTTTCCTATGCTATGCTGCCTATGCTTATGATTTGGATATCTATCTGAGTATTGTCATCGTTTGCAAATGATTACTATGAAATATTTTAACTTCAAATATGATTTAAATGAGCATAATGATCATCACCACTGCTATTAGTGGTATTGTTATTATTGCAACTATCATTATGATTAATATATTTGTATTACCTTTTTTATATACAGTAGTGGATTTACCTATTCAACATGGTGATTTTCTATAGTTATGTTAGTTTACCAGAGGGTAACATGAACTTGTAAATATAAAGTGACCAAACGGGCGACCACTGGCGACCACATAAAAAAAAAAAACAATGGGATGGGAACACACAAAGTAAACACAGGTGAAACAAATGGAGGAATCAACGGTTCACATGTGAACACCAATCCAATCGGATTGATGGGTAAATTTTCGTCATCCCAGTGGGGATCTTCCATGGACCATGAAGCGGAACAAAGTCGGAGTCAACTCTCTGGGTAAATTATAACGACCTCACTGTCCTCCCTCACTGGGAATAATGGTTAGATTGCGGGAAATCATCCCCAAATGGCCCAACTATTCAGGTTAGTGAAATATTCTAATTTACCCAGAACTCTGCTGCTGTGACTTTGGAAGCCAAACTATGACCCAACAAAAACAAAGTCCGGAGTGATTCGACCACCCCAAGTATCGTCACGCCCCAGTTTTGTTCAAGTCTCATTATACTCAATTCAACGACAATCGATGATCATGCGATAAATAACCACTACATACCACTACTATATATATATATGAACCTTACAACCCCATACTACTGTATAGTAATCACTACTGGAAATAATTGATATACACAACCCATATAACTCATTAGTCATTGGATTGGTTTAAGGGAACATCTACAGGAAACCATTGTTTTTACCAGTAGATATGGGGTTTCCTGTACATTTTCCCTTAAACCAATCCAATGATAATTGAACATCACCACTGACATAACTAACATAACTATTGACAATCACCACTACAATGATAGGTAAATCAACGAACTAAGAACCACCTGAAATCCTCAACTTTTCTGCCTCCAGGCCTTTGGTGGCGCGACCTCACCGGAGATTGGCACGTCTTCGCGGCCACACAGCGGGAACGCTTCGAACTGCTGCAGATGCATGGCCGGGAGGACGGCGTGATGAGAAAATGATGAGTCCGGATGTGAAGAAATGATACCCTCTGGTAAACTAACATAGCTATTGAAAATGGCCATTTATAGCGAGTTTTCCCATTAGAAATGGCGGATCTTTCCATAGCTATGTTAAATTACCAGAGGGTAAGAACTGTGAGACAGGTATGGGTTTCATGATCAAAACAACACTATTTTTGGTGTTTTTTTCCCACCTGGCAGGTGATGGTCTCCAGATATAACAGTACATCCCGCCGGCCGGCACTATAGGGCGAGCTTCTCAGCGGTAAAAACCAGACCCCAACACCAATGCCAGATACCCTCTGGTAATTTAACATAGCTATGGAAAATGACCATTTTTAATGGGAAAATCCACTATAAATGGCTATTTTCAATAGCTATGTTAGTTTACCAGAGGGTAAAATGCCAGAAAACCATGTCAGAATATATGCCAGATAAAATGTCAGAGTGTCACATAGAATGTCAGATAGACTGCCAGATCATGCGACAAAAATGCCCGAATATATGGCAGATAGAATTCAGAATATATGTCAGGCAAAATGTCAGAGGGATGTCACCAAGTGCAAGTGGGGCTTTCATCATCCAAAAGCAGGAACTTTGAAACCAAGACGAGGATAGAACTAAGACTGGGGAGTTGGCCGGGAAAATGATGAACAGATAAGCAGCGTTTTGTGCACGTGTGTTTCACCGCTTTTTTAGGGGCAATGCAGCCATAAATGATTGCCGTGGGGATGGCGCAAGTGGGATTTAGTTGATCTGGCAGAAAGGGGTGAACAAACTCGATTGAGACGCAGGGTAAGCCAATTCGGCACCCTTTGGCAATGCTATGGAAACTAACGATTTTCTGTGTGTTATTGATATATAGGTAAATCATCGAACTACATGGTCGGACGGTGATAGATGGCTGTATGGTTTCGTGCACCATCATGTTGCCTTTGAAACACTTTGATCATTGGTGAAGTGGTGAAATCATGTAAAATCCGCATACTGGCCATGGCGAAATGGACATTTAGGGTCAAAGTGGCATGTTCCTATCTTTACGTGCCATTTTTTGATGTCCACAAAAATACTTCAGTTGATACAGTCTACTAGCTATAGTGTAGCATGACATGCATGTGGAAATGAAAGAGAACGTCCAGTAGCGTAGCATGACTTGCATGTGGAAGTGCAAGAGAACGTTATAGAATGTCCAGTAGGGGAGCATCACGTGTGTGTGCAAATGCCGTTGAACATTATTGCCCGACCCCACTCCACCCGAACCCCAAACGGCAAAACAGAACACAAAATTCGATGAGTCGAGCACGAAAATTCCCAAAAAGCGCGCTCCTGTGACGCCAGACACCCCCGTCCAGCTACATGCACCATCTCATGACACACGGCTACCAGAGGGTATATCATATATCCCAGTAGATTAGAATCCAATGAAATCCGGCAGCATGAAGTTGGATTCTAATTATATGATATTATATGTGGTGTACACCCCATATCTGATTATTATATATACCCCTATATTTTCAGTAAATTATATACCATATATCATACACCGTACACAAAAAAAATCATCAACGCGTTGACATTTAAAGCCCTGGCAGCCCATGGCAACCCTGGAATCATCCCATGAAAACCATCGGATTGTTGGCAGCTACCCTCTGGTAAACCAACAGTTTGCTATTGAAAATGGCCATTTATAGTGGACTTTCCCATTGAAAAATGGTGATTTTCCATAGCTATGTTAAATTACCAGAGGCTACCAATCAGCTACGATAAATTCATGGGATGATCCTCCCAATGTCTACCGTTGGGGTTGGGTCCTCGCAGGATGCTACGGTTCAAAATTGGTTCGCTGCATCCCTCTCCATGCATCGGCGAGTTGTGTCTGGGCATAGCGATTTGAGATGGCAGCTATGGTGCCAGGGGTGGTTAGACGGTGCGGGTTGGGTGGCCAAAGATGGATGTGATTCATGATGCAACCAATAGAGTCTTATAGAGATTGTTGCTATTTTGCCAACAAATATGTGTACATCTAAGAAAGACACGTCACGAAAACTAGCTTCTGGTGGCTGGAGTCGCTCTTGCTTGCGCAAGGGTTCGCGGAGGGGCAGCATTGCCAAGTATCTAAAAACTTCGCAGTTCTTGAGCCCACGCAATGGCAATAAGTGGGTTTTGTGTGAGTTGAGATGTTTGTTGTGACTCTGCTCTTTGTTGATATTGTCTATGTTCCAAACTTTTGGACAAATTTGTGTTATATAATAATATAATCAATGGCTTCCCCCTAATATCAGACACCCCAAAACCATGGTTTAGTATATATGGATATGTATGGGTTTTACACCTGGAAGGGGAGGATTCGTTGGCTCTTCATCCCCAAGTTCCCATGGCACAGTTTGAAGCCTCGTCTTCATTGAGATGGCAATAACATGAGGGCCCATGGCCTATCCCGCATTCGACAAACTGGGTTTCTATGGATTATGATCACCATCACCATACCACTCATATTCATATTCATTAGTATAATACGATATAATACAATATAATGTAATGTAATATAATACAATATATTAAATTAAAATAAAATATAATAAACTATAGTTTAATATAATGTAATATAGTATATTATAATATAATATAATATAATATGATATAATATAATATAATATAATATAATATAATATATTTGTTAGCATACAATATATTTTGAATATCACAGTATGATACATATGTATCTATTATATAATATATTATGATATAATGTAATATAATCTAATGTAATGCAATATTGTATAACCCACAATACACAATGTACAATTTATAAATACATATATATTATTATATAGAATATATATATATATACACACACTATATGTATATATCAACACATCCCATATTACATGTTTCGCACCTCCTATGATCATATCTTATCCCCCGACATCACAGAAACTCACACCCTTAGGTAGCCATCTTATCTGTGGTGCTGGCGCCCAAAGTGGTGCTGCCACAACTTTTCCATCCGCCCAAAGCTTGGCGGAACTACATCGCCGTGAAGGCTGCGGCGGCATGAGGGATATCTCCGGGTTGGTCTAGAAAATTACGGGAGTCACTGGAGGTTTAACCCTCTAGCAATGGTAGTTTTTCTTAGTTTTATATGGTGAAAACATGTGAAGAATAGGGATAATTTTATGGGAGAATAGAGGGAAATCATTGGCTATTGATTGATATACCCTCCAGTGTGATCAAACGTGGCTGGGAAATCCCCGAACTAAATGGAGGTGTATAGCTTTGTTCGAATCACCTTTCTGAAAGAGTTTTTTCTCGATGGTGGCTTTTCCATTGCCATGTTTGACTACCAGAGGTTTTTTCGGTTTTTTTCTCCCATATTTCCCCACCTTCGAGGTGAAGGTCAGCCCTTCCTGTAGCGAGGGCATTATGTACCGTAGCCTCCAGTAAATTAGCATAGACAATGGCATTTTTCGGGGTTGGAAGATGAGTGAATTCATGGGTTACCCTCTGGTAAACATACAAAAAGCTATTGAAAATGGTCATTTATAGTGGATTTACGCATACAAAACGGTGATGTTCCATGGTTATGTTAGTTTACCAGAGGGTATCTTCAGGGTCTATCTTAATCTACCAGAGGGTCATTGGGGATATACCAGGTTTCGTCACGGATCAGCCAGGCGCATCGTCGAACACGGCACGCCGCTTGCGTGCCGAGGGTGAGCGCCATGCGTTTCAGGTGCGCCGCCGGAGCTCGCCGAAATGCGTCAACCGTGGCGAGTTGGGAATTTGTCAATGAGAAAATTTGTGATCGAAATGAATAATGTCAACCCCGGATGAGACTAAACCATGGTTTATGACAATTAGGAGGGTATTCCCCCAAGAGTCATGATCTGATACTTTTTTTTAATGGTATTCCCCCCAATTAAACAACCGTAAACGGGGTTTATTCATCCAGGGTTGACATTAGAAATGGGGGGGCAATCTCCGGCAAGCCATGGGACAAGGTGGCTCAACGTTGGGCTCTTTTCAGCCATTGGTTGAGCTCCAGTAGAAACAGCTTATGAGATGCCCATGGGATAGTGTCCAGCAGAGGAACAACAACGCCCAAATCTGGGTGAAAGGGACAGTTCTTGAAATATGATTTCGTTTTGCCTACAGCTTAAATGAAAATTGATATCAACTTAAAAGTAGGCAAACATATTGAGTCAACCTCAAACCCCAAAGTTCATCCAAGGTTAAATTTGAAAGGTTTAATTCCGATGCAATACACCTCGGATCTTTCTCTCCAGCCAAAAACTGCTTGAGATGCAGCGACCACTCAATTTTCAACGACCTGTTTTCTTCAGTTGGATATAGATATACATACATACAGATATACATATATACATATATTATATTTATACATACATATACATTGATATACATATATATATATATATACACACACATACTGACAGATAAGACATACACACACACACACATATATATATATATAAACCCCCAATATACCCTAGGTACATATATATATATACATATATTTGTATATATATTGTGATTGACAACACTGGCAACGGATGTCCTCCACCCAATCCACCAAGGCGCTCTCAGATTGTTTTCCCTTCCAGGCCACAAGTCTGATCACGGTGCAAATCGGGGATCGACCCCGAGGCAGCAAGAGTTATCCAAACTCAAGGCAACGGCTGGATGCAAAATGCTCCTATGGATTTTGGGGACCCCTGGTCCAAAGCAGTAAGTGCGGCCTCGCACAAAGCCTATGGCTAAAACACACGGAAGCAAATGACCCTCCCTCACCTTACCCTATGGGCACTCCTGAGCCATGCATGTGCTATGGATGTGAACTCTGGTTGTTGACCCTTTGATTGGATTGTAAGACAAGAAGTGCAATGATGTTGAACATTCACACTCCCAAAAAGTCAAAACTTTCAAGAAAACAAGCATCATTGCACGGACCAGAGGTATGGTCAGAGGAATCTCCCTTTAACCATCGCAGCCGATTTCGAGCAGTTGCTCGATTTTTCAAGACCTCAAGTTCATCGTGTAATTTGTAGTGTCCCCATTTCAGAGTCTCTCTAAGGAAATTTGTTTCCATTATCTTTGTCTAATTGGGTTCTGAACTCTGCGCAGCTTGGTGTGGCTGTCTTGGTGATGAGATCGAACAGGCTTTTGCAATCAGTTGCGGCAAAACTTTCGGGAAGTTGTTGGGCTTTGAGAGTTGCAGTAGTATACGTTTCTGGTAAGTCTTTGAAGGCTTGTTTTGGATTCTTCCATGGCACTTTGGGATCCAACATCCACGCCCAGCACAAACGGATCCATGACAATTGATCCAGCACGGTCCCCAGTGATGTCGTTTCAGCTGCAAGTGTACTCGTGACCACCCTTTGAATCTTTTTACTTCCCCACGAAATAGGACTCACTGGACATGTAGTATTATGACCAGTATCTTTATGGGTCGCCATTATGAGGGTACCTGTTTGGGAATTGGGGTTTCCCTTTGAAGCAAAGGATGCGTCTGAGAATGCAAGAAACCTTACATCAGGAATGGGGATGCTTTGTATTTTGATAGTGACATCATGGTGTTTCTTGGCTTCATGGAGGGTTTGGTTGGCCTTGATAAGTGTCTCAACGGTGGCACTGTTGATGGAAGATTGTAAGTAACTGAGTCTGCTGGATAGGTCAGGACGTGTGTGCACGGATGCGTACTGGAGGCTGCCGATCAACGCACGGAGTTGCTGTCTTTCTTCCTCAGTGATTTTCTTTCATTTCCGGCACACAATCCGTCGTCCACATGAAGTCCTAGGATACCATCGGGTTGTCCACTGTTGAAATCTCTGAGGATGAACAAGCATGGATCAAATGGTGACTGTTGAAACCCTAAACCCAAAAGTTCTTCAAGAATTGCTTGGAACCACATAAATGGAGCGTCCACCAAACCATATGCGCCTTTCTCCAGTTTGCAAATTTCTTGGGGTGACAATCCCATCATTTTGATAATCTCAGGTACCGGTTCTATGGCAAGGATTCGATCCTTTTGATTTTTCCCCTGCAAAAACGCGGCTTTAATATCAAAAGATCTGAGTGACCACCCTTTTGATGCAATCAACTGAAGTAGAAGCATTTTGGAGTGTCTTCCAAGTGTGGGTGAATCTCGTGGCACTTCATCAATTTTGGGATCAAGGTATCCTAAAATGACAAGTCTGGCTTTTGCCTTGACATTTTTGGTCAATTTTAGTTTTTCTTTCTCTTCATCATCAATTGATTTCCACGTGAGAATCCATCTGCATCTTAGGATCTGATCTTGTGGTACTTGATGTCGGAGTATTTTTGATATGGTTCCTGTTTTCAACCAGTTCTGTATTTCTTGGTCTTTTGCCCTTTGAAACTCTGCCTTTTCACCCTGGTCCAGTGTCGAGAGTTTCACTTCCGACCTCTGGCGCTTCGCTGCCGTGGCAAGAAACGAACATTCGAAAGGATTTTCCTCTCTCTTCCAGTCCTGGATATCGCTTTCGGTGAGCAGGACCTCACACCGCCATGCTTGGTTGGTGTGGAGTGCAAAGGATTCGGGTTCTTGGTCTATGCAGTGGAGACCTTCACATATCAGGTCGTCATCTTCGGTTTCATCAGGAAGGGGAGTATTCTGGGCTATCTCCCCTTGTTCACGATCCCTTACAGGGTCTAGTTCTGGCATGGTACCGTGTTGGCTGCCTGTAGGTGAGGGATTATTACTGGCCTCGCCAGGTTCAGCATCAGGCTGTTGTTCGGATGCATCATCGGGATTATTTGAGTGAGAATTATTTGATAAATTAGGGTTACTGGTGTTATTGTGGTTATTGGGTGATGGGGTTACTTCAGTGGAGTCTGGCAGTGACATGTCAGGCATGGGATTATTGTTTGACTGTGGCATGTGGGTTCGTGGAATCTGTTGGGCGATGGTGGAAACTGATGGTTCATTCGGAAAAATCACTATGTCTCTGGCTTCCATGGCTGAAACTGGCCTGACATGTTCGGGCGCTGCTCGGTGCAATTTGCTCGCCATTGTGACCCATATGGTCTGTGCATTCTCATGGACTACGACTTTCATAGGCCCTACCCATTGACTAGGATTTGCCCCTTTACCTTCCCGCCATGCCATTACCCATTCACCAGGTGCATAGTGTTTTGGGGTGCCCCTTGATTTACGGAGGATGGCTTTTCGGAGGGCGGCATCGTTGTCCGCTTGCACAAACGCACGACGTGCACTTTCTCGGCGTGCCAGTTGCAATCGAAATTGCACTCCCTGAGCAGTATCTGCATCGGCCAACATATGTGCCGGTAGTAGCTCATCGCTGCATACTGAGCCTGGTAATCTGGTGTGTTTACCCAGGACTAGCACCTCTGGGGCGTACCCCTTGCGAATGCTGTATGCGTTCTTTGCTTGAACACACCACCATAGACCGTGTTTCAAATCCGAGTAGGTGTTGATTGGGTGTTCTTTGTCATACTTGGTCAACATGTTCTGCAGTATGTCGCCATGTTTTTCGGCTTTGCCATTTTGGAAATGGGCTTCTACACTGGTGGTTGTCATGCGAATGTTGTTTGCTTGAATGAAGTTTGTGAATGGTTCGGAATTGAACTCGGTTCCCGGGTCAATGATCAGTTCACTTGGTGCTCCGGCCCACATGAGCCACGACTGTGCAAAACTGTCAATCGCTGCTTCGGATGCCCTCGAGGGCGCAATGTTTGCTACCTGGAAACTTGTGGACCAATCGACAAAGTGATAAACATGAAAACCCTGACCTCTTCCATTTGACCATGTAAAACCATCGGCACTGATGCGATCATTGAAATCAAGGTGATCCCGCAACTTTCCAGGTGTTGCCCCTTTGGGACGACTCTGGGATTGGCACACCGAGCATCGCATTTCTAAAGCTGCACGAGCTACCTCAGGACGGAAACCCTGTTGGCGGATGATGCTGCTGAATTTTTCAGGATGGGGGTGTCCCAGATTCTTATGGGCTCGGATAAGAGCTTGTTGTTCTCCTTTTGGCAAACTTCGGAAATGCGGCGTCTGTTGGTCTGATTTCAAGTCGGCTTCTTGGGATTCCGTCATGTCACTGGTGGGATTGAGACTTGTGGGCCCTTCAGAGTTTGGTGCCTCGACCACGGTGGGCACGTCTGAATTACTTGGCGGCTGCTGTACATCTGTCCGAGATGCTGCTGCCACAGGTTCTCGAGGGAGATTGCAAGCAAAGACTGTTATATTCAATCGACACGAATGGCCAGGTCGAATAAGTTGACGCTTCGCTAAATCTTCCCAGGCTTCCCATTCTTCGTCAGCCTTCAAATCCCCTGATGACCGTTCAATAAAAATGCTACGACGAAAAGGTGCTTCACCCTTCTGAAGTGGTTGGATTGGTGCAATCGTGCGGTCTGTTCCTCGACATGCCACAACCTGAATGATCCTTTTGTCTTGGATGAGTTCGGCTAACTCATGAAGTATACTAGGATCATTGATAACTATCTTACCAACCCTGGGAACTTCCTTCAGAATTTTGTCAAAAACATCTTTCCATTTCTGTTGGGCATCCAGTGTGGTGGTCTTCCCAGTGATTTTGGTGCGTTTTCCCCATGGTATGTCTGCAATGGGCCGTGCTCGACTCTTATTCAGTCTTGCTTGGAGCCCCATTTTGGGGCGTTTGGCATTTCGCTCCTGGGTCACATCGGCACCTGCAAGTGTCCAAGACCAAAGCTCCTGCTCTTCCTGCCACCGGTATGGTGATTCTTTGGGACTTCGAACTTTGCATAAACACTTGGCGACCCTTCTTGCAAACTTTCTTGGATAGTTTTCGGAAAAGCTGGAACGATTCATGGTTTTTCCATTGACGTGGCATGATCCCTCAATCTGTTGATGTTCATGTTTTCCGGAACATTTCAAACCACACATGTCATGGAAAAGGCTCTTTGACGACGTCATGATTGTAAGGGCTTTCCGCATATGCAACTTGGTGTCAGGATCGATCAAATCACCTGCCGTGCACAAGTCGATCTCCAGTGCAATCAAATGCTGACGGACCTCCTGTAGATATGGCAGCCTCAACATTTGGGAATTTTGTGGTTGTTCCCAATGAAAGTGGTTCCCCTGACTACGTTGATATCTCAGGAGTACAATTCCCAAAGCAATTTGATCAAGGTGTTGTAACCGGCTTTGTTGAAGAGCATCCCATGATTGGATCGACCTACTTCCATTAAGATTTGACCAACCACTCCATGGACCGCATTTTGGGCTAAACCATACATGCTTTGGGCGGTGCTTGATCAACACTTCAAATAACCGGTTGCGACCCTCTTCTGTTTGAAGATCCCCTTCAGCAAGGCCAAATCTGACGGCTCGATATCCCAGCTGCTGGCACTGATGGGTCAGTTGGCTTTGTGGTCCACAAAACACTTCTAAAACATCGATTCTGGAACCGGAACATTCAACCCTTCTTTGACAAGTTTCAAGTTCATGGGAAATGAGATCAACAAACTTTTGAAACTGTTTTCTTTCCACATTTGTTTCATGTGTCAACTTTTCCTGGGATGTTCCTGACTCATCGATGTCTCCGGCATGGAGACCGTAGGCCCAGCATGGACAGGCATCTACTGAGATTCCACATTGTGCTCCAGGTGAGCAAGGATGCGGCTCAGAACAGCTTCCATCTGATCCACACGGTTCTCGAGGGGCTGCATGTTCTCCGTAAGAGCCACACTCTGGGCGTCCATCTCGGCTTCCGGCAGAAACTCGAAGTGATCTTCTTCCTCCTCCATCTCGGGAATTGGAATCTCCGCAGGCATCTGTGGCTTGCGGCAGGCCGCCTTGGCCATCATCTTGGGCTTCCGGTGGCTCATCTTCGGTCCGGCATGCTGTGGAATCCCTTCCCCTGTGAGTTCCGCTCGCTCGATCTTCAACTGAATGAAGTGGATCACTTTCTGGTGACTCTCCTTGCCTGACTTCTCGTAATGGCTCACGAACCATCCGATCCAGTCCTGGTGACGATTCCACATCTCCAGATAGGTTTTGCCCCGATGGGCTTGTCCGAAGTCGATGGTCGACTCTTCGAGATTCTTCATGCTGAGGTGGTCGAAGTTGTACTTCTCGGGAGCACTGGGAATCTGGAGAGCTTTCAAGCGATCGCTGAGGCTCATGGCGATCACGCTTGGGAACTTCGAAACTCTGGGCAAAACGGGTGTGCTTTGAGCTTTTGGGATCTGCCGGATGCATCGCTTCTGTACATCTCTTTTCACTTTCGATCCTTTGGTCACGGCTTTGATCATGGGCTTGGCATGAATTTGACTGGGTTATGTTAAATGGTGTGAACTTGTCGGCATCATTTGAAGTTATTTGTGTTAAGTTATCACGTGGAAACCTGTTGCGTGAACTTTGGGATGGCATTGTCATGTTGTTGGCACACTGATCATGGATGGTCGTCTCCGTATCGGTCGATGCAACAGCGGCAGCAGGCTCTGTACACTCTTTTGGCATGGTTGATACCTGATGTGTCTCGGCTACCTGTGTGGACCCGGTCGCGTCCATCAGGTCATTGAGGTCCAAAAGAAACAAACCCTTCTCGGTGAGCTGAATGGGTATGGTCTTGGAAATCTTGGTAGCATGAATGACTTGACGGCTAGTATCAATCACTGCCCCAATCGCTCTCAAAAGGGTGTTCGACAAGAGGAAAGGAGTAGATCCGGGTACTACGGCCACCTTAAGCAACAGACCATGAATTGGAATCACTAGGGCTTGTTCACTTTGTAAAACCCCTTGGTTACCAAACCGGAAAGTCAACTTACATGGACATCGGCGTACAGTTTGACGTGCTTCAGGACTTAAACCCTTGAGTAACCCTGGCACAAGCTGACTTCCTATGACTGTTTTAGTGGCACCCAAATCGACTACTCCCAGGCTGCTGTGTGTTGCAAACAAGGTCAAATGATCCTCACTCTCAGTGTCACCAAGGCTTCGATCTCTGGGCTCTTGGACGGACATGCGATTCGATCTCAGCTCATTCCTGATGCCGTGAAAACGGTTGACTCGCATGCATGATTGTTTCCATGAAGACAGTGATCTTTTCAGCCTATCTTTGGAGGATTCATGATATGTTTCAACATGCGAACACGTAAAACACATGCTATCATGAAATTGAGGCTCATCCATCGTGCTCTCCAATGACGGCACTTGCAGGAACTCTAACGGCAGACTGTCTTGACCACCTTGAACCTGGACAAAGGACGTTGGAGCTTGAGGTCGGCTGGCACCGGATGCATCGGATCGGTTGGGGCATTCGGCACGCCAGTGGCCGATCTTTCCGCAAAGCCTACATGCTGAGGTCAAAATCCTCTGCTGCAAAGACTTTCTGTTGGACCGGTGTCCCTTCTGGAACTTTCCCTTGACTCCTTTGTGGGAACCCTTATATTTCCCTTTTGACAACGGCCAGAAACCCCGGGACTTCACTTTGTCGCTGAGACGTTTTCGAGCCTCGGTATAGGCATTGAATGCCGAGGCAAGATCCTCATCCTGTTGGATGACATCGGCAGCAGCATTTTCGAAGTCCGCAATGAGGATGGCGTCCTCGTCACCTTCTTGGAAAAGGGCCTCAACAAAATCATCTTCACACATTTCTTCACTTGTCTCTGCATGCAGGGTGTTCGACATGTCCTCCTGGTCAGGACTGTCGGACATGATCATGGCAGCATCATACGTTTTCAGTCGGCTAGGCTTCTTTCCTGATGTTACCTCTTGGAAAAATCCAGCACCAAGCATACGGATTGCGGCTGACACACGTTTCATGGTGAGCCTCCCATCTTCACTGGCTTCACTGTCGATCACCACTCGTTTCTTGTCTTCACCACTGAGGCCTGATCCACGCAAAGTAATGTAAGCTTGCAAATCTTCCAGCTTGATCTCCTTGGTCATGAGTTCTTGCCAGGCCACATCGGCTCTGGCCAGGTAGCTATCATTGGTTTCGTCACTCTTTTGTGACAGGCGATACAAGGCTTTTTCTGCAGCTTCATATTTGCGCTCTAATGGAATCTGACCCCACTGGCCTCCGAGGAGTTCGATCAGGCGTTGAATCGATTTCTTGTCATTGTTGGTCAATTCGGTACTGTGCAATTGCAGCTTCTGAAATGCAGTTCCTGTACATCCCAAAATGAGACGGGTGGCAAGTTCGGTCCACTTACCCTCAGGCCACATGTTCATCAGCAGTTGAACTTTCTTGGTGTAGTCTACGATCTCATCCTTCGATGGGTCAAAGGTTGGGACAAGATTGGCCAGCTGGTTCGGAACTAGGTTGGACGTTCCAGCCCCATCTGAGCCATCACTTGTCTCAGGCATGTCCTCCTCCCTGGATCCTCAGCGTGAGCTCGCTGAGCTCCGCTACCAGTGTGATTGACAACACTGGCAACGGATGTCCTCCACCCAATCCACCAAGGCGCTCTCAGATTGTTTTCCCTTCCAGGCCACAAGTCTGATCACGGTGCAAATCGGGGATCGACCCCGAGGCAGCAAGAGTTATCCAAACTCAAGGCAACGGCTGGATGCAAAATGCTCCTATGGATTTTGGGGACCCCTGGTCCAAAGCAGTAAGTGCGGCCTCGCACAAAGCCTATGGCTAAAACACACGGAAGCAAATGACCCTCCCTCACCTTACCCTATGGGCACTCCTGAGCCATGCATGTGCTATGGATGTGAACTCTGGTTGTTGACCCTTTGATTGGATTGTAAGACAAGAAGTGCAATGATGTTGAACATTCACAATATATATATATATATAGATATCCCTATTAAGGCATCCAACGCACGAAATATCCACCTTTTACCAGGCGTCGCATCCTGTGCTTGACTGAAGCTCTTCATCCATTGGATGGGCTGCTGAATTTGGAGCGGTGGCCAAAGACGTTGATCGTGCTCACAGGCGCCTGCGAAAGGGTGGGTCGGCTGTACGTCATAAAGGTGGTGGCCCCAAAGATTGGTGGTCGGCCTTTGTTGCAAAATTCCATGTCATGTCTGTTAAAGTCCCTGAAGGGTAGCAATTCTGGTAGATATAGCTATGAAGAAACCAACTTATAGATATTAAGCCCATGAAGTCGGTCATATCCATAGGTCATGGGGTTAAACCAACAAACATAACTAGGAGCACCACCTTGAAAGCCCAAGGCCGGCGAAGACCGCCCCTGGAGAGCTTGCTTCAAGCCACGGATTTGTGGGCGGGTGTGACTTGGCCTTAAGCGTCTTCTTGTTTGGGAATACAGTGGGGTCCAACAAAAAGATATACACTCATGTTTTTCAAACAACATCTGTTTGCCAGAAATTTGCCAGTTGTGATGAATGGGATCTTGTGCAGCCAGATATTTTTTGATGGTCTTTACCTGAAGCAAATTGAAGATTTTCGCAAGTGGTTCATCTAAGGGTTGCAGTAAAATCTGGTTATAACGGTCCTGGACCCGCGGTTGGTGGATTAGTTTGGTGCTCTACCGTTACCCTTGAAACATTTTTCGGATGGTCAACCTTCGGAAATCCCTATGAAAAATGAGGAAAGACTCCCCTTTTGTCTTTCCATCTTAATTATAGGGGGGATGATTAAAAACCACCATAAAATTGGATAGAATAAACATGCATCATCTGCATAGAAAAAGCCCATGGATTTTGGTGGGGAAACCTCTAGAGGTTTCCCAGAGGGGTCCAATGGGTCCACAATGCTCAGGCGGTGATCGCTCAGCAGGCCTACGCTTATGGGAAGAAGCTGAGCCGCACATTAAAATAATGGCGGGGAAAAGTCAACTGGCCCTGGCAGGGAATAGACATGGTATGCATAACTTGTGGTTCATAAATCAATCATAATCAATGATGATTTCAGCCATGAACAAAAACCTTCAATGGTTTTTTAATGATTTCAGCCATGGTTTTTTAATGATTTCAGCTTGATCCTCTCTATGGTTTTCATCACAAAAACCGGGCATGCTGTTGACCTTGATATTTAATCCTGACATCTCCTGACAGATCCTGGGTGCTAATCACACCCCAATGGTGAACATCGTTGCTGCCAAGTGTTTTTTAGGTACCTTAAGTTGTTGAGATATCAATAGGATACCAGATAGCCTCTGGTTATGACTAACAAAAAGCTATTGAACATGGCCATAGAAATAGTGGACTTTCCCATGAAAAAATGGCGATGTTCCATAGTTATGTAAACGTTTACCAGGCCGGGTACTTGCAATTGAGGTTCCTGAAATGGCTGATACACCAGTTGACGTAAATCGCCAGTCTGAGTTTTTCACAGCGGCATCTGAGGCATGCCGGGCCCATTCCCGACAGCTTCGATGGTTCCATTCTCTACCGACGCAGTTTTTTGGACGCGTGGCGTGGCAAAGATTTACTGCAGCGAAACTGCTGGAATGAGGATTATCCAGGGCTCCTGTTTGCTACAAAAAAAACACGTGCACCCGGAAAAAAACATGGTTAGAATCATTTCACCAATCATGGAACTGCCATGAATTTGGGGGTAGATCTACCCTTTTCAGACCCATATTGAATTATGAGGCTGATGACATACCAATCTTTTATTTCAAGGAGGCTTCACCACTCGGCCCCGCTGGAGGTCTGAATCAAGATTTGGTCCACTTGGGGCTACCAAAAAGCACGTGCTGAGAGTATGGGTCACGTCTTCAAAGAGTGCAGGCTTTATTCACCCCCCTCTCTTTAAGAAAGTCTTTGCAGCCCACCAAAAACAAGAGCTTCAGATATGGTAACGTGGCAAACTTGAATAATCAAGCAATATCAAGCATAAACCTTGATTTGGGGATTCAAACATGGCCCAGTTCTTACACCGAGGGCTTTTTTCATGTTTCTTTTGGCCTCAAAAAAGGCGCTTCTTGGAAGATCTGAAGGGACCCGAGTGCGCGAAACATCCTGAGCCTCGGCTGGGCTGTTTCAAGGTCTTGGGATATGGGTATGGGTCAATACCTATAGATACATTTTTAGTGGGATGAACATCCATAAATCCCAGCTATGACTTGGGGTTCACAAAAGGTACCAGGGTTTTGACCCATCCCCATATCTGGAAAGTAACCATTCTTCGCCAGTCACAGTTTTTTTTCAGTTGAATGATGTTGAACGTTTGTAAACAGTACATGGGATTAAACATTGATGTGTAGCCTCTGGAAAGCTAAGTTAATAGCTACGGCATTTATCAGCATAATATCAGCATAATATCATTTTTTTTTATCTAAATCATCTATGAAAATTGGCCATTTTGCATATCGCTATGTGAAAAATGACCATCGACCAGTAGGCTGGGAAGATCCTGGACGAAATCCCGGTTCACAATTAGTGATTCTGTCAGGTTTGCATCTCCATCGCTGTTTGGTTTACCCTCTGGTTATGACTAACATAGCCTAACATAGCTATTGAACATGGCCATAGAAATAGTGGATTTACCCATTAAGAATGGTGATTTTCCATAGTTATGTGGCTGTTTACCAGAGGGTATTAGTAGTTGGTTGAAACCCTTGATTCGTAGATGATCATGAGAGGGCAAACATTCCAAAGCGTGCTGGCATGAGCTATCCACGGCGGTCATTTTTTTTTCGACCCTGACCCGATGAAGCCCCGAGTTTGGAATCGCGAAGTTGTTTTTTTTCCCTTATGGTGAATCTATGGTTGATGGATGTCTATGGTAGATATATCCATGTTTTTCTTGGGCTTTGCTGGTTTCCAGACAGTTCGCGAAATGGCACATCCAGCATTTTGAAGGCTTCATCTTAGTATCAGTATATATCAACATTCACCATTATGGGCTTCATTAAGTTACCCGGCCTGGGAAACATACAAAAAGCGATTGAAAATGGCCATAGGATTGACCCATGAACAATGGTGATTTTCCAGTATGTGGCAGTTTACCAGAGGCTTTTAGCTTAGAACAGTTACCCTCCGGTAATTTAACATAGCTATTGAAAATCACCATTTTTCATGGGAAAATCCACTATAAATGGTGATTTTCAATAGCTATGTTAAATTACCAGAGGGTAGAACATCCAGCATCTTAGGCCATGGCCATGGCGCGCCATGGCGCGCCCTGGCGCGAATCTAAGGACTTAGTTTTGGCCGCCCATGTGGCGTTGAAGTCCATTCCCACCGAGGCCGTGGATGTCACATGATGTATCCATGACATGGGTTTGTTTAAGGTGATTTTGTTTATTTTCCCAATGGAAAATCTACATGACAGGGGGAATCGATTAAGTATGATTAAGTGATTCTTGTTTATTTTTTTGGGAACCCCTCAAGCAAATCCAAGATGAGAATATGATATTTTGTTTGAATGATTGGGGGGTATTAATCATGTAAAAAATCATCTAAAAAGAGATGGAATACTTCGGAAGTATCACTGATAAAGCGAAGATTGATGACTTTCACAAAAAATGGGGTTGCACTATATCCTTTATTGGGGAGTATCACAATTCATGAATTGGGAAACCAGTTCTCAACCCAGGATCAAAAGGGACGACAGAGGGTTTTGAGCATCGCTTGCATGGTCTTTGGCTGAATATGAAGGTTCACCCGAAAAATCCCCAACATGCCCATGTTGAGTTCGGTAAAATGATCATCGACCGGTGGATTCTGGGTTGTTTTTCTCGTAAAATTTCAGCGCCACATGTTGGATCGTGAACGTGCTAGGATGGGGCAGCTCACAACAGCAAAGACGATCATAACGATGGGATGTTCAGAGAAAAATGCACGGGGGTTCTTTCAGAGCCGAAATAAATCACTGGTCTGTGGAGCTTTCCTGAAATGGTGAAACCCCATTTCATCATCCACTTACCCTCTGGTAAATAAACATAGACCCTGAAAATCACCAATTTTCAATGGAAACTAGTCTTCCAACCCCTATCTGCCAGGGTCTATGTTAATTTACCAGAGGGTATTATAGATGGATTTTCCATGAAATAAACCAATCAGCGAGCTTGGGGATCATAGATTGGACATCCCCATGTTTTAAATTATGGGTCATGGAAGTAAAGGCCGCATGTCCAGAGCAAAATTCTTACGTTTAATTGCCCGAAATCAACACTAATGTGGTTGAAACAATAATAAATCAGGCAAATTGTTTATACCACCTACAAAAATGGTGATTTGGGGGATGGTTTATGATTGTTTTAACTACATTACATTAAAAGAGTAAAAGAAAACACAATACCCCGCATCCATTTTGAAACATTTGTCAAAACTTGCCAGTGCCACGTGCCGCTTATCAAGGACGTGACCTCTATTTATGTTCGGTATCACCATTCTTGGTTCATATATAAATCCTCTATCATCACCATTTTTCATCGATTAATCTTAATTAGTAAAGCAATAGTAAGCCACGATGATATGATGGGTCTGGGTAAATTATAACGACCTCACTGTCCTCCCTCACTGGGAATTATGATTAGATTGCGGGAAATCATCCCCAAATGGCCCAACTATTCAGGTTCGTGAAATATGATAAGATAACCCAGATGATAGATAATCCTTCCCATTGACGAACTCACGTTTTTTTCAGAGGGGTAGGTCAACCACCAACCAGATATGATGGGTATATAAACCAATGTTAACCATGAATCCATCTGGGTGGTTGATGACATGGCTTTACTAACGTGGCGTGTTGAAGCCGGCCTTTCGATTTTCCTGAGGTCTTGGGTGCTGGCCGTTTGCTGAGCAATCGCCTCCATGTTGGTGCTACGGAGAGAACGGGGGTTAGGGATTGGTCAAAACGGAGGGAAATGTAGGGGAAATATAGACCGCACTACTGAATTTACAGGGTTTCAACAGTGTTTCAAGCATCCAAGAACTCTGGCTTCTTTTTGCCTGAGCCTATGTGAATTCCCAGTTGGTTTCAAATGACGTGTGCAACCAGACCAGCCACATGGTTTGCTTCAATGCATGCCTGCTCTGGCAAAAGCCATGGTCTATAAAATGACAAGGTCCCACCCCCTGCATGACACATACAATGGCACAGGGGGTGACAAATGAGGGTTGACTTGAGATATGAGGAGCCTATAAAAATGATCAAGCTGGACCCCTTGCATACACCATAAAACAGGGCCACTGCTGTGGCCACTACAGGTGTTCCCTGCTGGCATCCTGCTGCTCAAAGTCTTTGCTCTGGTCTGCTTTGCTTCTGCAGTGCCTCTGGCTTCTTTTTGCAGGAGCCTATGTAAATTCCCAACTGGTTTCAAGTGAAGTCTGCAACTAGACAAGCCACATGGATTGCCTCAATGCATGCCTGCTCTGACCAAAGCCAGGGTCTATAAAAGGACAAGGTCCCACCCCCTGCATGAATCATAAGAAGGCACAGGGAAGACTGATGTGACTTGATTTGAGATATGAGGAGCCTATAAAATGATCAAGCTGGACCCCCTGCATACACCATAAAACAGGGCCACTGCCGTGGCCACTACAGGTGTTCCCTGCTGGCACCCTGCTGCTCCAAGTTTTTCCTCTGGTCTGCTTTGCTTCTGAGGTGCCTCTGGCTTCTTTTTGCAGGAGCCTATGTAAGTTCCCAATTGGTTTCAAATGAAGTATGCAACTAGACAAGCCACATGGATTGCCTCAATGCATTCCTGCTCTGACCAAAGCCAGGGTCTATAAAATGACAAGGCCCCACCCCCTACATGAATCATAAGAAGGCACAGGGAGGACTAATGAGGCTTGACTTGAGGTATGAGGAGTCTATAAAATGATTAGGCTGGTCCCCCTGCATACATCATAAAACAGGGCAACTGGTGTGGCCAATACGGGGAGTAGTGTAAGGATGTGTCAGGGATATTTTTTGTATGTAGATATTTGTTGTGTATGTATGAATTGGAATGTTTCAAGATCTATATCTATATCTATATCTATCTATTTCTATTTCTATTTATCTATCTTTCAATCGATCTCTGTCGGTCTTTCTTTTTTAAATTTTGTATATATATATATATATCTCTCTCTCTCTCGCTCTCTCTCGCTGCATATATCCAGTTTTGCTTGCCTTTTTGTTTTCCAGGTCATACCCTTCGCTCTGTGGCACCAGTACAAGCAACAAGTGCCGGTTCGCTGCACCATTTGCTTCAGCAAAAAGCAGAAAAATGGGAAGGTATCAAGGTATAACAAGTATGTGAAGGATCCCTCATTTTATAGGCATGTTCAGCCTGCTGTTTCATTCAATGGATTCTTTTTGAGGGGGTCAGTACTTGGCACTTTTGTAGTCAGAAGGCTTTTTTGTTAATTTCTGGACTCTGGTTAGTGGCCACCATTTTCACACCATAGTGCCTCAGGGGGGGTTGGGGCCTTCAAGTTATAGACCCCCAAGGGGGTTGGACTCCACCGTTTTATACTATAAACTGGCAAGCAAGACCCCCCCTGAAAAGTAACGGGCATGTTACAAGTGCAAGAAACTTAAGCGGGTCGATGCAGTAACATTCTCTAGATGTAGGGTGTTGTCCGCTTGCCAGTGCATGCAAGGCTTTTGAGGCAGACGCTGCAATTTCTACTGTGAGGCGGGGAGCCTAAGCGCTGCAGGTGGCTGCCCGGACCTCTTCAGCGCAAACTTGTACGCTGCTGTCGCAGCTCGTCATGTCTGATGAGGTGACCAAAGATGAGTGGGCACGTGTAGCAAACGTAGCGTCCGCTGAAGGTACTGGCACCCACCTGCAGCGCGAGGTTATCTTGAATAGCGGGATGGTTGAAGCCAGTTGGCCCGAAATGGTCTTACTTTCGCTGTTCATTGATTTTGTGGCCAAGGACACAAACGGTGACCTCGTTTTCATGGATTGGATCGAAGAGGACGAGAAACCTACCGCAGAAGTACCAGAACATGTGGAGCAATATTTGGAAGCCATTGTCTCATTTGCCCAATGCAACTGGTACAAAGCATAGGCTACAACTCAACTGCTACCGTTGGATTTTCCAGAAATATTTTGACCAACGGGTGTCCAAAATGTTGATTGTGTGCTTGCATCCGGAGCACCCGGCCGCTTGGGTGGATGAGGTCCCCGTGATGGAAGCGGAGGTGGACAGCAAGATGCGCCTGCAGCGGGAACAATGTACAAACACTCCAAATGTATGTGGAGGATCCACTTCGGTAAGCTGTAGCGTACCCGATGTCGAGCAACGGCTGACCGACTTGACAATCTTTACGACGGCTATTTGCTGCTTCTTCTGTCTAAGCCAAGTTTGTGGTTGAAACTGCCCTCTGTATTTGATCCAGGCATAGCAGGTCTTGAGTGGAGAACACGCGTGTCTATGGCGCGAGATGCCCTTGAAATAGCTGAAGGCAATGGTCGCGTGGAGGTGGATGAGTGTGAAGTTATGCGTGTGCGCAGTGTGCGCGCGAGATTGTGGTGGGCATACACTCACACAGTGCGGGCGCATGTCGATGTAGCAGCGCCCCATTCTTTGGCGCTTTGCACATTGCCAAACCCATGCAATTCAACTGTTTCGACAAAAACACGGGAAACTGCGCTGTTTGCTGTGCGAACAGAATTGCGTGGTGTGTCTACAGAAGGCCAAGGGCAAAGTTCGTAGGTTGTTTGGCAGTAAGTGGAAACCCATATGGCATGCAAACCAACATCGGATATACCGAATGATATTTAGAAAAAATGGCATTCGATGATGTTCTCGTATGGCACAGGTCCCAATATGCCGTCTGGTGACGTATACTTGGTGGAGCAGCTACATCCTTATATTCAGTTCTGCCTTGGAAGTAGTCAACGAAGTTCAATGCTATTTGACAACGGGGCCATCAAACGCGCTCTCCACTGCAGTCCTCTGTGGGCCATCTGCATCATTGAATAGCGTTTTCCTTGCTGCTGATGACTCTGGCTTCTGGCTGGGGTCCGGGATCGAATGTTTGCGGGCTTTGAGCCGACTGAGGAGTGGTGCGCATGGACTACTGTCGCAACCAGTTGTGCACACCAGCTCCTTGAATGCAATAATTTGTTTTTGTAGTGCGTCCACCGCGCCATTATTAGAGCATCAGAGTAATGAACTATAAAACACATGGATGTGAATTTGCAGCATATTGAACAAACATCGGACATACTGAACGATACAAATAAGAAATTTGCCGTCGATGGTGCTATCGTGTAGCACAGGTCAGTTGCTGTTGTCTGGTGATGCCGTTGGTGGAGACAGTGCCTTCGATGTGTTTGGTGGAGCTGAAGCGGAGGAGGAAGACGATGGTTTTCCGCGGCTAGGGGAAGCACCCCCTGAGGACGAAATGGAGGCTGTTGAAGAACCTAGCTCGTCCAACCTCCAATAGCTGCGCAATTGGAGAGAACCGGCAACAGCCAAAAGAAGAAGGCGTGGATGACATAGACAACCTTTCCTTGGAGGATGGTACGTGTAAACAATTAAAACAGCGCTGTCTGTGGCCAGGGGCAGCGACCTCGGATGCAGACTTTTCCAAATTGTTTCATCTCTCGACTGTCCCAACCGTGTCTTCCAAGAGCAGGAGGTGGAACCTCTGGACACGTCAGATACAATTCTGCACAAGGTCAAGTTATGGACAGACAGAGTCCGAGAGGACTGCCAGATTACCTGGTCCCGCTGCTGATATCTTCTTGCGTGAACATGCATTCATTTACTGGATAGCTGAAGGAGGTACAACACTTCGATTCCATGCAGGAGATTGTTACATGAAGACCCCTACAACAGCATCGAGGGAATTCGACCCAAGCTTCACGTTCAAGCCTTTCAGCAGGCGAAAACATTGCTTTCCGCTCCGCACGTTTCGCGAATGTGTTGTTATCATCCTTTGTGCTTGCAAGATTCCCTTCCAACGTTCAGTCTGCATAGTCTTGGGTCACAACGAATGTTATCATTATTTTCAAGCTGAACACGACATGATTCACGCCACCCGAAATAGACCGAAAAGTTCCCCACCACGACCCTCCCCCAGCTAGGGATTTCGTAACCACCAGTCGGTACGAGCAAGCTAGGGCTGGTTTTCGGAAAACCAACCGGGAAGAACATGAAAACCCATCCAAAATAGGAGAATATAGCAACCCCAAAAAAGATGATAGGATCTATCTTTTTGGAGATTGCTATTCTTGAAAACTTTAGCAGTTCTGGCCGAGAAAGTAAGCATCCACTTTCTCGGATCCACGAGACGACCAGTAAAGTTATACCCTTGTTAATTAGTTGGTTAAGAAAGAACTAGGGACTTAAATGCCAAATTTATTCGGGGATTTTGACAACTGGGAACCCATAGGATTGGGACGTTTCTTCACCTTCCATATTCAAACACCATGACACGTTGTATTTTGTTTTGATTACCCTAAATGTCGTTTGCAACGCCTGTCCTCTGAATTTACCTTCTAAGAAAAATCAAACCCGGCACTAGAAAACCCCAAATTTCAAGATCATCCACGTTTAAATTGGGGATGTACGCAAGTTGTGCCATAGCTGGAAAATGGCATGATTTCCCACTACCAGCTTAAATTGCCAGGAGGATCATTCCACTGCATTATTCGGTTATTTCATGTCCAATTGGATACAGGGAACCCACAAAAACTATCCGACTATTAATCATCATTGGTTCCAGCAAACATCATTTTTTTGGTTGGTTACGGTTACAGGGTTAAACACATCATTTTCACTGGTTATGTACCATTGATGATCATCAGCAGTTTGAACAAAGAGTTCGGTCCCCATTTTCTGTTGCTCATGTACCTATTTTCATTGATACACATGAGGAAGGCAACACATTTGTTTCTTTTTTGATATTTTTGGGTATAAACATATTATCTTGGGGGGTTGATGTTGATTGGAGCATGACCATCGATTTCTACTGTATATCCAGTGATACCCCTATTAATAAATGATTTTCCCATTGTATTCCCCAGTGATAGATGGTTGATTTGTAATTTCCTCACGGTGACGTCACTGGAATGATGGGAATTGTAAGGGGATCATTAAATTTTTCACTTTTTTGCTTAGCGAATCCACATAATTCTATAATTTGGACATAATTACCCTAATGGCCTCACGCTCCCATTTTTTCGTTAGCGAATCATTAAAATTAAAATTTTAAAATTTGGAAATAATTATCTTAATTATCGATTATTTTACAGTTTCATACAAATTCTTCATTGTTGGTGGCTATTTCACGTGCCGCAGACACATTGACCCCACCATCGCAGGACTGCTGGGCACACCTAGTGCAGCACCGGAGTCTCTGGAGCTCTGTGTCGCCCCAAAGGTGCAGCGAGAACCAGGGCCGTTTGAAGGTTTGAATCCAGGGATAAGTTACCAATTGGGATAGCATGGGACAACCCTGCATGTAGAACCCAGATTCTGTGGAAGTTTTTTTGGTTGTGGCGGCTTTTTAGGCAGATTGAACCTTTGAGTTTTTTTTTGCCAAATTACTTTTCTTCGAGTGATCCCCGCTGTGACATTACTTTCTCATAGTTTCTGGCATCTCATCTGGAAGTATATCTTGCATATATCTTCTAACATTCTATTCTGGCTTTCTATCTGGCATTCTATTCTGACATTCTGTTCTGGCATTCTATGTGGCATCTATTCTGACATCCTATTTGGCATCCTTTCTGGCCTGGCATCTATTCTGACATTTTCTCTGGCATTCTTTCTGGCAATCTACCTGGCATCGATTTTGCCATTCTTTCTGGCATCTGGCATTCTTTCTGATAATCTATCTGGCATTCTTTCTGTCATTCTATCTGACGTTCTATTCTGGCCTTCTATCTGGCATCTATTCTGACATTCTCTCTGACTGAGATCTGGCGCTCGCGGTTGAAGTCCGGCAGCCAAGATCTGGGGCTCACCATTGTGGTCCGGCAACTATTTTAGATTTATGTCAACTTGAACACACATGGGTTGTATGGTGTGCACATGGGGGTGGGGTTGGGGTGGGGTGGGGTGGAGTGGGGGTAATAACGTTCATGTCAACTTGAAAGCATGTCATGCTACGCTGTGAGATCTTCTCTTGCACTTGCACACGTACGTCATGCTACGCTGTGCTTTCTTCTCTTGTACTTGCACACATATGTCATGCTACGCTGTGGGATCTTCTCTTGCACTTGCACACGTGCGTCATGCTATGCTGTGCTATCTTCTCTTGCACATGCACACAGACGTGATGCTACGCTGTGGGATCTTCTCTTGCACTTGCGCACGTACGTCATCATGGGATCTGACACTTTTCTGCCGAAATTGCGACCATCCAGCAACGCTGTCATTTTGACGCTTCTTGCAGTAGTGTATGCTTGCCTCGCTTTCTCTTTGGTGTAGCCTTTCTTTCTGTATTGCCTTCCAGGATTGTTCCAAGCACGATGGGGATGAGAGCTGGAAACACAATCGCGTTCCCTTGCCATTTTGGTGTTTTCATGAGGAGGCACATGTGCGTTCTTATGTTGTTGTGGGAATACATCCCCAATGTCGAGATTTTTGAGCACCATGTGTGTAGATGTGGAAACACATTTTTAACATACGCGTTTACAATCACTTTCTTTGTCTCCGTGTGGAAACACATACGTATTTACTTGTTCTGGAAATGTAAAATCTCGAAGCACATGCGCGTTTCCTGGTTTTCTTCTCTACGCAGCAGGAAGCACATGCACGTTTCCACGCCAACCTTCTTTCATCTTCTCCTAAAAACACAGGAAATGCCAGGATTAAGTCCTGCAGCGTTGCTCTCTGTGCCATCCCATTTGCAGTTGCAGCCATGCTTCCACGGAAATCGTGCTTCACTTGAGCAGAAAGATAGTCTTGCCATAGAAAACATCGGTTTCCAGGTCAAAAAACAAGTTATTTTTGCGATTTTTGTATTTTTTACAATTTTTTCTGTTATCTGATGTTATATCTCTATATCTCCCGATCTATAGATATAAATTTAACATGACTTAAAGAAGTTAACCCAATTTATAAATATACTGAAACCATATTTTTAACATTACATACACAACATATAAACTGATTTACATCTAAGGGCACATTTTTGTAGCAGTGTGTGCGGATTTCGTTATTTTTTGTTAGGCCGAAAACAATATTGAGGGCAAACATCTTCTGTACGGTGGGCAGCAAGTTGCTGGCATGGCTTTGCTCGTATTGGGAAAATGGAGTGATGTGATTTGCCAAAGTCTTGCCCAACATGCAGAATTTTTCACTAACTTTGGTGGAAGTCCAAGCACCATGAGCCTTCTGTTTCGTTTTTGTTGACCATCATCAACCCTTGTGAAATGGCCCGTCTTGCGAAAAGGGGTGCCCAAAAAGGTACCCTAAACTTCCACGTGAAACTTCGATTCCAAACCATGCTGGCCTTTTGCTTCAAGGTCCGTTCTACACGTGGCGCTTTTGGACGGCACCGATCCGTTTTTGCTGGACCTTACCTTGCGTTGCTTGGCGCGGCCGGTGTCCCTAGGGATACTGCTGGTGTGCAACACCACTTGAATCGCTTAGCCGCTTATCCAAACATAGATTGGCTTATCCAAACATAGATTGGTTTGTTTATCCAAACATAGATTGGATTGTCGTATTTTAATGTGTATAGACTGTATAGACTGTATAGACTGTATAGATTGTATAGACTGTACTGACTGTACTGACTGTATTGACTGTATTGACTGTATAGATATAGATATAGATATAGATATAGATATTGCATTGCACTAGACAGATACACATATGCACGGTGTCATACATAGACATCATGAGCTAAAATTAAGGTGTAAGATTGCTCAAGGGGCCTCCTGGCCAAGTTGGTTTGTAACTAGGTTACCTATGCTGTATGGTAGTAGATATAATGTATCTATAGATAATGCGGTTTATAAACCGGCCTATAAATATGGAGCACCTTGTGGCTTTTCTTCAAACAAATGGCGTAGCGTTTCAAAGAAATGCACATCTGGTGAAACGCTATAGACTTCCCTGCACGGATTCCGAATGTTGCACCGTGTAACACATCGTATGGTAACCCCTTTCCAAGAAAGATGCAATATGTAAATGATATTGAATCTTGGGAATTATAGATACAGACGGGGGTAGCACATGTACTATATATATATATATACATATATATATAATATATATATAATATATATATATATATGTACACATACAGACCATCTTACATATATATGTACACATACAGATCATCTTAGATATATAGAAGCACATACATACATACATACATACATACATACATACATACATACATACATACATACATACATACATACATACATACATACATACATACATACATACATACATACATACATACATACATTCGTACATACGTACATACGTACATACGTACATACGTACATACGTACATACGTACATACGTACATACGTACATACGTACATACGTACATACGTACATGCGTACATACGTACATACGTACATACGTACATACGTACATACGTACATACGTACATACGTACATACGTACATACATACATAGATACATAGATACATAGATAGAAAGATAGAAAGATAACAAGATAGAAAGATACATAGATACATAGATACATAGATAGATAGATAGACAGACAGACAGATAGATACATGAATACATTACATTACATTACATTACATTGCATTACATTACATTACATTACATTACATACCCTAACATAACATTACATAACATAACATAACATAACACAACACACCACAACATAACATAACATAACACAACACAACATAACATACATACAAGCATACATACATACATACATACATACATACATACATACATCCATACATCCATACATACATCCATCCATACATCCATCCATACATCCATCCATACATCCATCCATACATCCATACGTCCATACATCCATGCATCCATCCATCCATACATCCATACATCCATCCATCCATACATCCATACATCCATACATCCATACATCCATACATCCATACATCCATACATCCATACATCCATACATCCATCCATCCATCCATCCATCCATCATCCATCCATCCACCCACCCACCCATCCATCCATCCATCCATCCATCCATCCATACATACATACATACATACATACGTACACATACAGATCATCCTATATATATACACAGATACGTGGGTAAAAAGATGAGGCGAACCGCTACCCAGGGGTGGGTGGAGGTTATGCTGCAACACAGTCCAACAAGCCCGATGAGATCGTGCTGTTGACGGCTGGACAACGCCTACTGGAGGCGAAGGGACGCCTCCAACCCTGGGGGTTTAATAAGCAAAGATAAAATGTGGAACCCCCAAGATAGCTAAATTGGTTTATAGCTACAATAACTAGGGTTTATGGTAGTTGTAACCATAGTTAGATGGGGTTATAAACCAACTTATAACTAGGGGGCCACATTGTAGAATCAGGGTTGATGGTGGCGAATAGCCGCTCAAAAACTATTCGTGGGGGGGGATAGCGGAATGCATGAGTTTTCGATTGTTGTTGATGTTATATTCCCACCTCCCAACAGCCTCCCACACCCGAACCCCAGGTGTCAAATTCATTCACATACCCTGATGGATTTGATTCAAAATGATATCACAACTGACCCGTGAAACAGGAGAGTCAGATGCCGCATCCACTGGAGGAGGTGACCGATGGTTTGTGGCATGGATTGCTTGTGCATGATCAACATCCAGGGGTCCAGAACCCCCATGGGGCTGGGTCACACCCAAATGGAACGTTTCATTGCCTGGACAGAAAGTTCAAACGACTCAGATTTTAAATTCAGGACATGTCAAGCAACTTTTTTTTATAGTTGGACCATGTTTGTTGCGCCCAAACTCTGCCTATGACGATCCCGGGTCATCAGCTTGTTCTCAAATTTGGTGCTGACGCAAGTGGTTTTATCACAAAATGAGGGATATATACACACATACTCCACTCTAATTCCAAAAGAGAAAAGTCATTTTACCCACCCATCATTTGATGTTGTTTTTGTTCCTCGACATTTTGGCATGCATGGGGATTTCTCATAGATTTGAGGGTTTTTATCTGATTTTTTCAGGGCAAACTACCCATGGAATGGTCCAAAGAAAACCCTCCGCGGCTCAGATGGGTCATGTGGAAGTGCATCTTCCAAAAGAGTCCTGGATGCAGGTCCAGGTCAAAAGTCGGGGGGCCCGGCCTTGCGACCACTGGAACAGCGGATTTCATGTGAATTTTCCGGGATTTCTTTGGGACAATTTGTTATAAATTGTTTAATGATTTCTATGGCCATATGAAACAAAAACTGGGGAATATGAGTGATAAATTCCGGGCAATCTGGCTTGAACATGGCACTGTTTCTTTGACTTTTTGGATATGAACACTGGTTCCCCAAATGTTTTTTCAAAGTGTAGAGACGCGCATTTGAGTTTTGGGAGTGACCCTCTGTTTCGCTGTATATTTTGTGACTATCAATCCGCTGAGAGGTCCTGTTGGCAGGTTCGGACAATTTTTGATCTCTGAAACGTCTCCAAGGACAGATATTTATCATTTACCTGGTCATGTCTCCAAGTTTCATCAAACATTTTGAACGGTGCAGCCTGCACGATACTTGGAATGGTGAAGCTTTTGAAACGAAACAGTTCAGAAGCTCAGAATTATGGATGGATAAAACCTATTATACCATGAGTTTGGGGGATGAACATCCATAATTTTAGGGTGAACAGAAGGGCCCCTGCAGGGTTTTGTTGGTGATAAGGTCGAGGGAAAGCATTGCCAGTTGAATTACACAAACTCTTGGGTTCGCTCAAGGACAAGGCGCGCCGACTTTTTGTGATGGCCATAATCATATGGGGGTGGGTCAACACCTATTACTATTAATTTTAGTGGGATGAACATGTATTTACCAAGGTTCCCTAGGGCCCTAGGTAGCAGGCTTTTTTGACCCTTAACCATATATATTATATTATATTATATTAAATTAAATTATATGATATCATATTATATTAAATTAAAATATATTATATTATATCGTATCATATCATATTATATTATATTATATTATATTATATTATACTATATTATACTATATTATATCAAGTCATGTTATGTGATGTTATGTTATATAACATTATATTTATATTATATCATACTATATTATACTATATTATACTACATCATACTATATTATATTATATTATGTTATATTATATTACATTATATTATGTTATGTTATGTTATTTTACATTATATTATATCATACTATATTATACTATATTATACTATATTATATTATGTTATATTATATTATATTATATTATATTATATATTATTATATTATTATATTATATATATTATATCATATTATATTATATCATATTGTATTATATTATTTCATATCGTATATTATCACATATATAATATATTATCACATATTATAATATATTATATGTATTATATTATATATATATATTATTATTTATATTTTATTATATATGTGATATTAGATATATGATATATATATATATACATATTATGTAGTTACACAGATAAAAGACCAGTAATGATGTAGTGATGTAGTACCTGACTGATCTTGGTTCGTTTCCTGTGATAGGTTGTGTGGGTCTTTTGGAATCCCTTGGTACCACGATTTTGAACTATACTGAAACAAAGAGTGTCACATGGCAAATGCGTTTTTTGTCCAACAAAATTGCTGGTACATTGCCCGAAGAGGCTGCACTGGTCCCCAAGGATTCGAAAACACCCACTGAGGAATCCCCAAGTGAGCATTTGAGGGATGCCTAATTGAAAATGGTCTAGTATCCCAGTATAGGCATGGTTGATGTTATATTGCCCAATGATGTATGGACATTTAGCTACAAGAGGCAAAACAGAACGCTATCTACAAGTCTCAATCCCTTAGATTTCAGACTTTCTTGACCCATAGAACACCATTTTGTGGGTTTTGTCGGAGACAGATGCTGAGGCTGGCTGCGTTCTCTACGCCAAGGGTCGGAGTGTGGTGCTGCTTGGAAACTCAGTGAGCTTCGACGTGACGTGCGGATGGGAAGCTTAACACTGAGTTTGTGTGAGACATTGGGGGCTTAACCATGAAAATTTGGGTTTCAACCAACATAAATAATTGTATAAGAGGATATTAAGGGGGGTATTAATTGGGAATAGCCACAATATGACGTTTGGGTTAGGCCACGAATGGGGTATAGCCTGATATACCGATATACCTCATGACCATTCAAAAATTGAAAATGATGATCAGCCATGGATGGAATGGGGTACTATATTCTCAGAGAAACCTTTTTCTATGTCATCAACAACATAAGGATCTGAGGCAGTAAGGCTGGGGATTCAAGCAATCAAACCTGGGTGGGATTTCATGGTAATCGCGCTGGTAATCAAACCTGGCTTGTTTTTCATCCCTGTGGATCCACAGGTCAGTCGTGAGCTGCACTGGTGCTGCCTGTGGTCCGCGATGGCTACTAGTGCCTGGGCAACGGAAAGGCGGACGTGAAATCATGGGACAGATCAGCCACCGGTGGGGATTTGTTTTATGATGCAAGCAACAATGTGATGATATGGATTTTATGATAGGTTAGCTGAATCCCAAAAGCCTCCAGGGCTTCTGTCTATAGGAGCTGACGAGGGGGTACGTATACATATCCTAAGTGGCCGCGCATACAAAACATATGTAAAACTCATATGAAACATAGATTTTTACGTTGGTGGAACGTATGTGATGCGTATGTGAAGCGTATGTGCAGCGCAAGTGAAAACATATGTGAGCCGTATGTGAAATATATGTGAAACATATGCGAAATACATGTGACATATTAACGTATTTTGGAACTGGATTGCGTTGTGTTTATGTTTTACTTATGTATACGTTTGCGAATTTATGTGTTATTTTTATGTCGGAGGAAAAATAAGACCTTATTTTGTGCAAATCACGCAAAATAAGGCCTTATTTTGGAACGCACGTAAAGAAAACATAAACAAAACGCAAACGAGAACGCAAACAAATTTTGTAACGTTTGTGTTTGTACATGTGTATATGGTTTATGTTTTATTTATGTCGGGAGAAAAAAAAGATCTTATTTTGGGCAAATAAGGCCTTATTTTATCGCTTACGTAAAAGAAACGCAAACAGAAACATAAAGAAAACAGCTAGTAGCCGCAATTTCTGGATATGTCGGGAATATGCGTTTTGTTTGCGTATTTGAAGCCGTTTATGTATGCGTATGCGCAGGCCAGTCCAAGACGGGCTCTATTGTGAAAGCCTTTGAAACCCTGCTAAATGATAGGATATATATATATAAATACACATATATATATATATACACATAAAAAATATATATGTATATATATATATGTATATATATATGTATATATATACATATATATATACATGTAATGGTATCACGTGGGATGATGCAGATTCATATGATGTGACTTTGTCCAACAATGGGGGACACCTCCTTTTTTTTTTTATCACGGAACATGTTGATTTTCACCATCGATTTTTTGCGTCTTTTTGTCGGACCATACCAGTATGGATCAACATTCATAAATGAATCCTTCAGACCTCCAGCTGACTTTGGTCATTTTTGGTTCTCAACTGCTCTAAGATGATTCTTGCTACCCTCTGGTAATTTGACATAGCTATTGAAAATGGCAATTTATAGTGGATTTTCCCATTAAAAATGGTGATTTTCCATAGTTATGTGGCTGTTTACCAGAGGGTAAACCGCAAGCATTGTAAGCCTGACTCATGCTTTGAATCTCCTCTTGAGATCCCAAGAATCCTGCAACCCCGTTTCGGTGATGGGCCAAAAACGACTTGAAACATGCGCCAAGGGGCTCCAATCAAAATATGAAAATATGGGGGGTCTTCCATATTCAAACACTGAGAACTCTATGTATATAACATGTCCACTAGAATTAATAAGTTATACTTTCTTTTGCTATTTCTACATAGTCAATTATGTAGTTGATTCACATTAGTTAATTCCCACCAAGCAACGCCTTGTCATTGCACAGTTTGATTGTAGCAACCCCCAAGAAGAGATAGAAACGGAATTCCCAATCGTAAACTGGTTGTAAATTGAACATTCCTGAATGCTTGTTTTGGGGGGGGTGACATTCTCTACATCCCATCAGTTTTTTATATAGTTATAGTAAAACACATGCCCAAAGATGGGACGACTAAGGGGTACCAAGTCAATTACCAGTAAATTTCTTTAGTTGCATAATCATTGCTAGTTATACATCAAGTTATTGGTGTTTTTTTACTATTTTCAACCATAGAAATGGGATGATGATCTCCATTGACCAGCATATCTTTAATGTGGCTCCACCACATTTTTCTTTTTTTAAATTATTGGTTATATATCCAATTGCATTCCATATCATTATCATATCCCAATTTATGGATGATTTTTGGATGATGTTAGTCATATTGTTGGTTATATATCCCATTGTTTTTCTGAAATGTATATAGCTTTAGTCGCCACCTAGTGCTCTTGAGATCACTTCACAGTAACAGAAAACATCAGGGCATGGTACTGTACACGTCCCTTTTGCGTCGCGCTACGCCAAAGGCGCAGACCTTTGAGCGAGAGTTGGAACCCGACACAGCGCTGATCTTCAGCTCCGCTGAGCGCTTGGTGAATGAAAGGCAAGCTAAGTGAAGATGTTTTTTTTCTTTTTTTGCCTGTAGTTTTTTTGGGATATTAGGGGCGCCACCATAATAATATATATATATATGTATATGTAATTATATATATATATATGTGTATATGATGGGATAAGCCACTTAAGGAACTGAATCACCAAATGGGTTTGTTGCTCCAGCAATTGATTTTTGTGGGGAGCCATTCTTTGAGTCCTGGCGCACATCGGCACAGGCTGGTAGAGGAAAACGTTCTCTGTTTGGAGACCTGCCGGCCACACTGTTCGCAACAGCGCTGGTTTTGGTCGCCCAGTATGGGAGATGGGGCTATCATGATGGCACTGGCCAGCTTAAATTTTTGCGCGAAAACATTGCAAGATGGGTGGTAGTTTCGGTAGTTTCTTTGGGCTATTGCGGGCATTTCGTAAATGTCCCAGGTGTTTTCCTGAAAAAAAAGATTTCTGGACCATTTCAAGTGATGTTTAACCCCCCCCTACTGTTCGGGGCAAATGATAGCGACCTCGCAAGATGATGGTTTGTGGATCCAGCCCAAAGATTTGCTGATTGCGGGAACTCAAAAGCAATGGCCCAGTTGGCGCCCCAAAAAGAATCTCAATTGACAAATGAGTGATCTTCACCTTACCAAAGTCATAAATGTATATAAATGTTACTAAGTTATACTAAGTTACTATAGATATTACTGGTTGGTGCTTTGGAACATGAATGGATTCTGACTTCCCATTCACTTGGGAAGTTCATCAGCTGGCTGACCAGAATCCTGGGGATTCAACCGAAATGGATCCAGAAAACGATCCTTAGCAAGTTCCGAAAAAAGTGGCTTAAGTATCCCATGTGTATATATATATATATATCTAATCTAATATTATGTATATACATATATATATATATACATATATATATGTCGTATAAGTATGTTCCAGAACTGAATCCACAAAAGCCCAAAAACAACAACAACAAATCATCTTCCACCCTTGGCTTGTCGTTCTTCGCTGTTGCATGGGGCGATCCGTTGCAAGGTGCGGACAGGCGACGACTCGCGACGATGGAGTTTGGGGGCCGAGTACGGCGAAGGGGGGAGATTGCGAGCCGGGATCTGCATAGCAGTTAATAAGTGGGTTAGTTGACCCCAGTTGTAAGTGAACTAAGCCTACTTAGCCCAGTTATAACCAGGGTCATAACCAACTTACTAAGTGCGATGAACCACCAAGTATTCAAAGACATAATAATGTATGGATATCAGAATATACATATGCACGACATGTACATATGTAATTCCCGTTCCAATTTCCACTAGAAAGTGGGTGATGCCAGGCTTAGTAAAGATCGGCCATTTCCTACGGTCCTACGTAGCAAAAAATCGTGTGGTCAGGAAACGGAGTTTGTAGCTGCAGTCGCTTTTTTTCGCATTTCGTAGCGAGGCATGATCTTCATTGATAAGACCAACATAAGTAAACAAATCTTTAGCAGTTTTCAATGTCGGCCAAGTTGCATTTTGTAGCAATCAAAATGGGCCCGGAGTCTTTTATCTAAAAAGTGCACAACTTCACCCCTGGAAAGCACATTGGGATTATATGTATATTGTATTTATGCAAATCATGAAATTACATGCAGTTGCATAAGAATGAAGTACTCCTTTTCAATTAGTGTACTGTAGTTGTCCTTTTAAAATATAATTTGTCCATGGCCCATCACCCCTTGAACCACATTATTCCTACACAAAATACAGTATACCTTCAACTTAGTTCAGTTCTGTTAAAAATGGTTATATTCAACGCACACGTGTAACATTCCTTGAGCAAGTTCAGATTTCCTTTATGCCTTTGATTAGAACTCACACTTCTCTTTCAGAAACAGTAAATTCTTCACCTTACTGCATTGTTTCTTGAAATATGATTGGTTCTTTCAAGGGAACACCACTTATTTAAAGGAATATTGCGCTCTCCTCAACTTAGTTCTTCATTTTGAAAGGGATATTCCACAATATGAAACCACACATTCTCAAAGGCATATGACATTGATTCAGGTGGAATATTGCAAGTTGTTTGGAAACAATTTTCTTGGCATCAATAGTAAATTCAACATTATTAAAACATGTTTGTTTTGTTATCAATACGTTTACATATAATTCTGATCTAGAATATCAAAACATAGAGTAGTATAGTATTGTCTAGCATAGAACAGTATAGTATAGCATCACATAGCAGAATGTTTCACATCATACTCTCTTGTACACGTTTTACAGTTGTGGAAAATCCACGATTTTATCGTAGATCACATTCCGAACGGGCTCCCTGTTTGGTTTTCAGGATCGCTCTGAGGCCTTGTCGGATCTGACTCTGCGGCGCTCTGCAGGCTATGTGCAGCACGAGGCGTAAAATAAGCTCGTCCGTGCAGCCAAGGAGACATCATGTTTTTTTTTCTTATAACTTATAATCCCTTACAGGGGTTATTTACTTTGTTGTTTGCGATATAGATGATATAGATTTTTCACGGGATATCTAATGGGATTTTCCCTTAATAAACGTGATTCTTCATCGTTAAGACTCAGCATTTTTTGGGTGAGATCTGGGTCCATGGAACTGAGAACATCTTCTTATTTTTAGGGTATGTTTGAAATGAATAGGAAGAAATATGTACAGATTGAAATCCCATGTTTGGGGCTAAACATGGGACCAGAAAAGGTGAAATATAGTGGGATATATGACCAACAATATCAGTTGGATTTGTCAAAACATAGGGGATTGAACTTCAATAAAAACGGGGTTTTTTTCGCAGCGAACATGGGAATTTTTTAGCCACCGAAACCTTTAATGATCCCCACCATTTTGGTCACCTCTCAATGATAGATGGTCAATTAAGCCTATTCATAAACCCCAACATTGTGGGAGGTGTCACCAAAATGTTAACTGCTATTCTTCAAATAGCTTTGATTTGCGCGGAAAAATCTGGGGTTAAGAGTTGCAATGTCAAAAGGATAAGGAATTTCAGCAGCTAACATTGCAGGTCACACAGTAAATGTAGGCTCAACATGATTTGACAATGACTTGACCCACATTGATCCAACATGGATGTTTTCATAGAAAAAACAAGTTGAACTGTGTGGGTAGCTGGGTTCCAAATTGCGAGAAATTATGGATCATCACGACGATGTACCGACCCATGGTGTGCTGGAAAGTTCCACAGGTTTAATGCAAACACCTCTAAAATTCTGGGGTCCCAGGGCCTTATTGAACAATAACGAACAGCATCCCTTCCACTTTTTTTAAAGTAATCCCATGTACAGTAAACGCCCTAGATGCATCACTTAAGTGTTTCCTTCAAACAAATTCAGGAAATGGATGCTACCTGCGCAAGGCGAAGAGCTTGGTATATTTGCTCAGGGAGTGGAAAACCCCGCGATACGTTCAAACACGATCAAACCACCAACTAGATTTAACTAGATTGCATGAAATAATCCTATTCCCTAATATTGAACACCTTCCCCATTTTATGGTCCCAAGTACGTGTAAATCCTCTACGAACCATGGTTTCTGGGGGGTGTTTGATATTAGGGAGAAGGGATGAATGTTGGTTTATACCGTTTATACCATTTTCCCAACATTTTTCATCACTTTTGTTTGATGCTTTCATCATGTGTTGCTGAACAAATATCCCCATGTCTGGAATGGGTGGCTGAACTACCAATCAGCGACTGGTAGTTGTGAGTTTGGTCTCCCAGTTTTTCTTGTCTGCCATTAAAAAGCTGGTCCCATTCTCAAATTATAAATACATGTCACCATTCTTGATCCTCGAAAAAAGCTGATGTCTTTTATTTTCCCAGTACTTAATCTCCACCACTTGGGTGATGGTCTTCCGTGACGCCTTTGCGCCATTGGCTCCAGCGACGACCATAAAAGCCTTGTAGACTGGGACGATACGAGCTCCGTTTGGCGCCCAAACCGGGAGCTCGTCATGGGGTCATGTTATGTGAGGTAACAAGGGTGAAGCACCCTGGAAATGATCTGATTTCATGTGGATTCGTTTTTTGCAGAGATGGCTACAACATATGGAGGTTTATCACTGAGAAAATCAGCTATAGATTTGGATATGTCATGAACTTTATCTGACTTGGTGTCTGAAAATGGAGTAGAAATTCCCCATCTTTGTGTCTGAAAATGGACTTTTCTTTGGGGATTGTGATGATAACACGCCAAGGCCGCACACGCATCATGGGAAAGGGTGGAAAAGGAAAGGGCAAGATCACCAAGGCGGGGTTTAGAAGAGAAACTTCTGAACTCTTAATGCTGCTGCTGGTGTGTATATACACATAATATATATATATAGTATAACATGATATAGTAATATGTTCTGATAATACATGTAGATAGAAATGTAATACACATTATGTATATCTGTATGTTAATATGAACGGAGTATACATACGTGACATATATGATGTCTGTATGATACCAAATACATAATATGCTTTTGTACACACACAATGTTCGGCTTATATTATTATATGACATGAAACATGTCACATTACATGTACAACTCACATTTTATATGTATAGTGTATGTATGTGTATATACATATGTATCACGCGGCATATCATATACATACATAGTAGAATGCAAATACAAAGCAAGTAGTACATGTAGTACATGTATACACCGTAGTGCCCAAAAGCAGTGACTGTTGAAGTATCAATCTCTGGGTTGAACCGGAAAGATACCGCAACCTTGGGGCCTGCTGTTGGATTGCTGGCTTCATGATCATACTGTGTATGTATATACCCTCTGGTAATTTAACATAGCTATTGAAAATCACCATTTTTAATGGGAAAATCCACTATTTCTATGGCCATTTTCAATAGCTATTTTGACATAACCAGAGGGTATATATATATATATGTATAGACACAGTATGTGCATTTATACCATTGTATTAACCACATTTATGTGATCAAGAACTAGGATTAGCTATGTAACTAAGCAACACGATCCAATGGAGCTACGGAGCACCCACGATCCAATCTTGGGGACACTTTTCATGGCTAATACTCAAACAAATCAGAAAAAGGTTTCAAGTCAGCACTTATTTTCAGATTGGACGTTCCCCAAACCTATGGTTTTTGGATGTTTTTGGGGTTACTCGATAGTCTTTTCAACCACAGAAATCTTGTTGGATTCAATGGCAGCTTGGAATTGGATGCCCCATGTGCAGGTCTGGACTGCTCCAAAGAAGTGGGAACCCAAAGGCAAATCCCGCGGCAAAGCTGATGGAAGGGGAGGCAGGAGGGGCCGGCACTTGTGCTATGCCCCAAGCTCTTTTGGGAACCTCATTTTTGGGTGACCGTTACAGTACTTTGTGGCCTTCCACTATGTTGGGATGATCTAACTTGATGTCCCCCACGAGGCTTCGTGAGGGATTGTTGACCCTCTGCGGGGAATCGGCTGATTTTCTCTCGCTGTTTTCGGCCCCTTTTACATAAACCCTAAAGAAAATCTAGCGAAACCCTAGGAAAAACACTAAATTAACCCTAAAGAAACCCCAAATGAACCCTAAAGAAACCCTAAAGAAACCCCGCAAATACCATATGAAAGTGTTTTCTTGTGAAGTACCTTGGGGCGTATCGCACGTGCTGCGGGTAGTTTTTGTGTCCCAGGTGGACAGTGGATCTGGGTGGACGAAGCACCCAAAGTCTACAAGACCAAGGGCAAAGGCAAGGGCAAAGGCGGCAAGGCCAAGGGCAAGGGAAAGAGGAGCCTGGGACCAGATGAATTTCCGAGAGTAAACTGGTTTGTGGCTTCAAGCATTTCTTTTTTTCACTCAACTATAGAAATGGGATGATGCTAGTGACGTTTACTTGAAAAACCACCGACCAAGTTGGCAAAGGGACTTCCAGAAATAGGATTCTACCAGTTGGATGGACTTCTTCGAACACTTTCTGGGTTTAGGTAACTAACTTTCCTCTCTGGTCTCTGGGTAAATCTTGGATGTTTCAGAGTCAAATCGCTGGCCATAAATGAGCACACTATATAAAGATAGATAGTAATATATACATATACACATATATATATTGTTATATATAACAATATATAACAATATATAACAATGCTGATTATAATAATAACAACAATAATAATAGTAATAACAATAATAATACCAATAACAATATCAATAATAATAATGAATTAATAGTAATAATAGTAATAATAATAACAATAATAATAATAATGTATAATAATTAATGTATATATATATGTAATTCTCTATGAATCAGGGCAGCAAAGATGTTCTGTCCTTTGCCGGGATGAAACTCTAAGGAGGGCAGCACCATTGACGAGCGAGTTTTGGACCAAGAAGGCGTGGCGATCGAGGGCGATAGCGTTATGATTTTTGTTTCACCGCTGGAAGGGGGAAACATGTCTGAGCCATCAAGTGTAAGGTTTTGACGGTATGAGTTATTGTTTTGTTGTTTATTTAATTGGGATTTTCTGGAGTTTTGGTGGGATTAACCATAGATTTATAGGGGTTTGGTATGTTTTTGTGGGGTGTTAGCTATCACAGATATCCGTATATAATTGACCAATGATGGTCGAGATACTATACTGTAGAGGGTCATTAAGCTACCTAGTTTATTGTGGACTATGTTCAGCCATGAACGGGATACTGGGATACCTATGGATACCTATTTACCAAGCAATAAAACATGGAATGAGAAAACGGTGTATAACCTTCATATCTCAAATCAACTTTGATGGGTCAAACGCGAGGGGCCAGACATCATTAGGGCCCATTTTCAGGTGCCTACAATGATTTGACCTACCCCCATGGGACCAAGATGGGGGTTTCCATAAATTGGGATACCCAATAGCTGGATGGTTTATGAACATCCATCTATAAATGGATGATTTGGGGGTACCCCTGTTTTAGGAAACCCCCTATATCTAGATCATTATTTATGAACTCTTCACGGGTGAAGGATTTTTCTTCGAGGGTGACCACTCATATCAATCACCGCAAAGTGAGCCCCAGGCAAAAACCTCATTGTTCAGTGAATCCTACCTTCAATAATGGAAGTTGCGAGCGGGGCAAAAGTTGGGTATGCAGAAATAGGATGATAAACACTTACCCTCTGGTAAATTAACATAACTATGGAAAATCATCATTTTTCATGGGTAAATCAACTGTAAATGGCAATTTTCAATAGCTATGTTAAATTACCGGAGGGTAAATTGCCCAAAGTCTGTGGTTTTCAGGGCCTTAATCTTTGACCCATACCCGTTACAAACAACGCATGGATTCTGAAAAATCTGTGGTTCCTGCAGCAAGAAAAATTCTCCGAGCGTTGAAATCGAAAACCAAGGCAGCCAAGACATGCCTTGAGCCTTGATTCGTGATGATTTTCTGATGATTTTTCATGCCAGGATATGTTTGTGTTGGTTTATATCTAGGTTAGCAGTAGGATTTCTGGTGTATCGAACTAGTTGGATGGGGTTATGACATGTTAGACACCAACTGGAAAGGCTGAAATGGTGACTTCAGGGTTTGACTCTATGTCTGGATGCCCTGTTGGTGAAGTGATCGACATCACAACAGCAAGGGGAACCGGCCCCAAGTCACCAGCCACTCCGCAGGTCGAGGCCGAAGGCCGAAAGGAGAGAGTGGGGGATGGGGTGATGTTCATATTTTTTTCCGGTTTACTTCACGAGTATTCTTTGGATCACTAAAATATACTGAACTTATATGAACTTATATTACAGACCTTTGTTGGCTGTCTTTTCTGGGATCTGGTTCCATTTTTGACTCCAATTTTGTCCCAGAAATCATTTCTTTTACCTGCCATGGGACATGTGGAGCACATTCCGGCTGGAATGTGCTCCAAGTTCGGGATGCAACACATGAGAAATACCTGTGTGATACCGGGAGATTTTCGGTGGCTGCCATTTCCCAACAAAAATCGGGCTTCGCCATCCCAAAGCGTTGATTCATACAGACTCTTTTTTCAACACACTGTCAACATTTTGGGGAAACAACAGTACCATCCACAAAAAACATCAACAAAAAACCATAGTTTCACCATATCTCATGAAACCTGCCATCCTCTAACTTGCGAGGAGATTGGAGAAACGGTGCTGCCCGGAGTCATTTCAAGGTACAACGTGAAGCAAGGACTGGACGGCACCCGGTTTTGAGAGTTACATGACTGTGGCGAAGATCAATTTGGTGAAAAAAAAAAGATCACAGATGTAAAGCAGGGACATTAAAAGAACACCCCAGCCTTGGTTGATGGTTTTGACTCACCATTTGGGTTTTGAACACTGCTCCTGTGGTGATTGTACTGAATGTTTTTTTGAAGCACACCCATGTTTTTTTTTTTTTTAAGTCGCGACCCCAATACGAAGTGCCCCCAAGTTGTATGGCTTGCTGCGATCAATGGATCAACAGATCGCCACGTCAAGAGCAAACAAAAATCAATGGCCATTTCAGGAACCTAGATTGGAGGTACCTACCATATATAAGGCCTATTTTTCAGGCCTATGTAAGGGAATATCACCACAAAATATGGCCTTATATGATACAGTACCTCCATTTTAGGATCCTGGAATTCCCATTGAAAAAAGAATTGCTGAAACTGCAAGGAGTGTATTGCCCGAAGTATAGGTCAGTTGGAAACTTCCCAATGTGATAAGAAGCAACGTGCTCTGAAGTGAGTTGTAGCTGATTTCTGGGATTGGACCTTGCCGGATCGGAACAGATAATCACGACTGGATGTGCGTCCCAGTAACCAACAAGCGATATAAATTTGGCATGTAAACATTGGAGATCTTCAATACAACTGAGTTCTAGATAGTTATGTATAGCAATATTGCAAACAAATAGTACCCACTTAAGTCACTTAATAATCCCTTCCGGCCAATATGAAAAACAATCCTGACACGAAATCCTGGTTTCGTATTGGAACTCTACCGGAATCGGGCCTCCCCCTGCCGTGAATGTGGTGAGGATATGGTTTCCTCAAGCCTGACAACCCGCAAGGCGTGCCCTGTGACTGGCAAAATGTGGCTAGATTTGAAACCCCTCTGGTTATGTCAAAATAGCTATTGAAAATGGTGATTTATAGTTGATTTACCCATTAAAAATGGTGATTTTCCATAGCCATAGTTATGTTAGTTTACCAGAGGCTAAATGGGCTTATCTTACTTGTGCTTAGGGAATTTTCGGGAATGATCCACTGGCTAACTATCAACAATCATCCCAGCAACCCCCATTCCCAACCCATCCAGCCATTCCCTACGTTTAGCACGCACCAGTAAGTCATCCCTTTAATGGCATATATAGTGGTACCCCATAGCTGTCACCGTAAAACATTGGTGAACTCTGTGGTGCATAAAATTCAGGTTGGCCTTTGAAAAATGGTTTCTGGGAACCAACGGCTAGAATTGGATAGACAATATGTATATATTTACAATATATACTGTGTATATAATTATATATATATATATATAATCTATATCAATGATCGTTTGTAAGACATCATACAATATACAGATGATATAGTTATATGTGAATTTGATACTATGTATATATATATGATATCACAACATGTAATTATCAACTATATGATATATATATACACACATGTGAATAGAGAGATCTCATAGATCCATACAACTTGTAGTTTGTTCATGGAACCACAGTCTTCCAACATCTGCCCAAATGGCGTAAATTATCATCCTTCGAACCCTTTCCCCATTTCACCAGAGCCTGAAACTTCTTCATATTCTCAGTTCCATAGATAGTTCCAATCATCTTTTCCAGAAGGAAGCATTTTAAGGTTCCTTCCGATTTTTCGCCAGGGTCATAGAATTGGATGATGGGAAAATTTACAGGAAACCCCTATATTTGATGGTAAAAACCATGGTTTCCTGTAGATTTTCCCTTAAACCAATCCATTGAAATGGGGCCAGAAAAGCCATAGTTTCCTGTGGCGATTCCCTTGGCGACAGGCTTGCCCAACCCTGTGAAGAAGAAGATGAACGAAGCCGAAGCGGCCGTGGAAGCCGAAGGGAAGGAGGTGCCAAGCTTGGCATCGTCGGAGCGATCAAAAATACCAAGCTGTTTCTGAAATAGTGGATTCTACATGATTCTACCATAGTTTCCATGGTTTTTCATAGAGCGTAAACAAAACATCAACTTAAGTAAGAATAGTTACTCAACAAGTAAGAAAATCGTTACACATTGACATCTGCCGTATTTCCGAAAGGGTGTTGGGACATGTCTGAATCTTGGGGCCCCCATGGGCCCATTTCCGAGTCATGGGAAGCCCTGGAGGGCCTGGAACGGCACTTGGAATGATTGCAGAAACCGATATCCCTGGCTTCCTGTCTTCCATGGACCACTTTTTAGCCGCGAAGAAACTGAACAACTTTTGGGTGAATTAACCATGAAGGTGGCCAAGACCTTAAAAGTTGGAACAGAAACTAAGAATTTCCGATATCCAGTGGTAGCCATAGGTGTTTCTGCAATCAGCCAGGTGAAGGAAAAGGGCCTCTTGTACTTCCGCAAGCCAGATGTCAATCACGAAGAAGGTGCTGAAGTGACCGTTTGGGATCATAACTTGGCAGATCTGGGTGACCCTCCAACAATATAACTTGGCCCTGAACAAAAGATGTAAAGCAAGTCCGGCCGGATCAAACCTCTTAACTCACTGGTTACGTCCAGATCACCGCTTTTTTTGAGCCATACCCGGACGAGTAAATTGCGACGGTTGGGACCGTCTCAAACTTTGGACCCCCGATATCCCATGGTCGTAAATTCGAGATAATTTGAGTATCCCCCGTCCCCAAAGCCATTTGTTGATAAATTGTCATATTCGCCATGGTCAAAGGGGTCTCCGTCCATTTTTGGACCCAGCTCCTGTCGGTATGCAATCCCTTCATGGACTTGTAGGGAAGATAAATAGCCATATCATTCCCCATGTTTGCTCCCAACTTTGGCAACTTCCAGGATTTTTTTCCGCCAAGTTTTTCCAACCAATCCATTGAGAACTGTCCACCCATTGCTCATAAATGATTTTTTTGTAGCCTATTGATGTAGGCTAGGTAACTATCTGCCATAAATAGCAAGATCCAATATGTATTCCTGTGGGTAGGTATTTGCCATCAAGAGCATTACAGCAATCAACAATATAAAATCCATCCAAATTCCTACTTTTTGAAACTAACTGGTAATTTGGGTGTTGAGTTGCCTCCATGCTTTGTGTTTCCATGTCCGACCAAAATCGAGCATGAGAAAACACTCCAGAAAACATGTTCATCCCGAAACAACTTCTCCAAACAACATCTAATAAACCATCATAAACAAACTTACTTGTATCAAAAAAACAATGCCAATAAACAAGAACAAACAATCCAGAAAAAAGATGCGAAGTCCAAAAAATCCACCGCGGCTGTCAGGCTTCAAGTTGGCCGAGGGAACGGCCGTGACCTTCCGCCTCTATGTGGACAACTTGGGTGCCGGCGCGCTCGACGTGTCTATGGCCTGAGTCGATGGCCCTGGTTCCAAACGACCCGCTTGGCGATGGATAAACAGCCGGAAATGAAGCGGGGCTTCTCTGTGTTTTACTGGAGTCAACTTGGAGCCTTAAACGATGTTGTTGTTTCTTTTAAAAACGAGTTTCCCAAGAAAAGCTAGATCGACATATATGCAGTTGTTGTTTCTGGACTGCAGGCATCGCCACCTATGGGTCACTTGAGGGCTCATGTTGGCTTCCGGCGCTGATATCAACAGTACAGCGCCATCCAACGGAGCCTCATATGAAACTGCCATCAGATGCAGTGAGGATAGAGTCATAGAAGTGTTGTTGAATGAATCTGAAGATCCCCAGCATAGCTGCTTAGTTTAGCCAACCTGTAGCCGCTGTAGCCAGCCTGTTCTTGGTTAGCCCCCAGCAAATCTCCAGTTTCTATAAAATGACTCCTGTGTTGTGACAAGCGAGTCTTGGAGCAACAGACTCCATTGTCGTCGGCGGTGAAGAACTTGACAACTTGAGGTGAAACATGCTGTGGCACACGGCAGGTGTCAAATGGAGGGTCAAAATTTGAGACTGCAGAGTTTTCCATATTTTTCCTTCACTCTGAAAACCATCCAATGTTAGGCCGTTAGGCATACCCAAATGAGAGAGTTGTTTCCATTCGTGGAACTATTTTAGTGAATGTGAATGTCCCAGAATATCCCAGAATCTAATCTCAAAAACGGCAGTTTTTAAATGGGAGGGTGCCATTTTGCTCAGTTTGCTTGCCATCTGTCAACCAGGGATTACTGTAATTCCACAGTCAGTTGACATGGTCCAACCCAGAGCCACCTTCAGCGCTACGAGCTTTGCTACAGCTTTACAATCGAAAAACCCAGGATGAAGAAGTACAAGGTGGTGCCCCATAGTTAGCTAAGTTGGTTTATAACTCCCATAACTATGGTTTATGGCAGATATAACTATAGTTACTGGGGTTTATAAACCAACTTATAACTGGGGGGCACCATCCTGTACCACATTTATAGATTTGGGAGGTCCCAAAATCGTGTTTTATTTTTTTTTCGCACTTTTCGCTTGTAACATTGGACATCCCCTCCATATAGCGGCTTTATTGACCCAGATCCTGGTTGATTTGGGGGATTTTTTCATCACCCATATTGAGAGAAATCGTGTTCTCAACCAACCACAAAAAAAAGGCATGGCACCAGATAGGTTTTGAACACTGCTCCATTGTTATCTGGAAAATGTTGAAACTTTTTACACATCTCAACAGTTCCAGACATTTTCACAAGCGAGTCAGAAAGCCACTCAGAGATGATGTTTACTTGACAGATGCTCCAGACTTGTGAGCAGTGACTCAACAACCCTGTAGTTGGTTGATGATGAGTTCGAGGGTTATACCACCCGATATACAGGGGATGATCATAATATATCATAATCCATGAGCAAGGAATCTACACGAAAACCAACCATGAAGTGGATGATAAATCTATCTACCATCTGGTTATTTAACATAGCCATGGAAAATCACCATTTTTAATAGGTAAACCATCTATAAATGGGCCATCTATACCATGGCTATGTTAAATAACCAGAGGGTAAAAATCTGTTGAGTCAGTTTTTCAGTTGGAGAGTCGCCTCCATGGACCCCAGAGTTAACTCGGCACCGAGAGTTTCAGGCTGCCAGGAACTTCTAGGGATGCCTTTTAGTCGTGTCATGGGAAAGGGTGGCAAAGGAAAGGGCGGTCGCGTCACCAAGGTGCGGAGGGAGGGGAAACAGTGGGAAACTGCACTCTGAATGCTGCTGCTGTATGTATGTGGGAATGTGTGTGTGTATATATATGTAATTATATGATTTCATATATATATATATATAAATAATATATATATATATATGATTACATATATATATATATTATGTATATGATTATATATATATATATTATGTATATGATTACATATATATATATATATTAATATATATATTTATAATTGTGACAGTGAGTAGTAATATGTAGCAATAATATTAGTACGACGATATGTTATGTAGTATGTTAATATGTATATATATATATGATATAATATTGGGCCAAACAGACCTAAAACTGTGGCTAAACGCCTGAACGGAGGAAACCCATCAATTTCAGTGGGCATTTGTGGTGGCCGGCAGGGCATGTGAAACATGTGAACTAGTGGTGGCGAAGCTGGTAGAAAAACAATATATATATATATGTATATGTATATAATATATATAATATATATATGTATATGTATATAATATATATATATATAATATATATTATATACATAATATACATATATATAATAGATATATAATATAATATGTATAAACACATACTGTATCAAAATTAAAAACTGGATTTGGCAGGAACATGTAAGGAGCGAAATGAAGCGCCAAAAAGGGATTCCACAACTATTTTTGCACCTGTGCGATTTTTAGGCACCAAGCGCAGGGTTGAAAAAACTGATAACATTGCTGGAATCCCCACTCAGATCAGCAATATTTCGTCATTGAGGGATTATGATTCTCAGGCATGGACACTTATACAATTGTCTTGTTTACAATAGTAAGCCCCCACAAAAATTGGAACAGCTTGAATCCACCACCATGAGGGTTTGATCAGTTTGATCTACCAGCCAAATGTTTGGTTCACTAGCCTAGGGTTGCTACATGCTTATGGCAGGAAAAAAATGTGACCCAGCATGGGACCCAACTTTCTACAATGCCATTTTGCATCATTTTTGGTTTGATTTGGCACCATCCTTACCTCCTGTGTTCATAGAGATTCATATATGAATATATATATATAGATATTCACATACATGTAGTGGCTTATGTAGTTGCCCTTATGCCAAAGATGGGCGATTGCCATGTCGCGCCGTCCTTTAAATTCTTGTTCACTGCAAAATAACACCAGTGCACCACTCTGCTCCCATTGGATGCAGGTCTGGACTGCTGCCAAGAAGTGGGAACCCAAAGGCAAATCCAAGGGCAAAGCCGACGGAAGGGGAGGCAAGGGGTCGGGGCAGTTTTTCTGTGTTTCTGTGGGCTGTTGACTTTGGTACACTGGCTGCAAAGGTTTGTGAGGGCTGACCTAGTTACTTCGGGGTTGATGCAGGTGGAAGCAGCAGGCTGATGGTTCCGTTGTTTGAAACAGAGCCAGCTTTGGCTTCCGTTGCTGACCATGCAGGTGGACAGTGGGTCTGGGTGGAAGAGCCCAAAGTCTACAAGACCAAGGGCAAAGGCAAAGGCAAGGGCGTGAAAGGCGGCAAGGCCAAGAGCAAGGGAAAGAGGAACCTTGGACTGGATGTTTTTTTTCGAGGACACATATTAATGGCGGTTTTCAATATAGATATGGATTTTTTGATTTGCAATGACGCATACCCTCTGGTAAACAGCCACATAACTATGGAACATCACCATTTTTCATGGGAAAATTCACTAGAAATGGTGATTTTCCATAGTTAAACGTTAGTTTACCAGAGGGTATGTTTCAGGGCTATGTTTCAACCACCAACCAGGAGTTCGTTGGCAGAAGGGGACTTCCCAGTTGAACGCCGGATCCGATTTACCACTTAAGGATGGACTTCTTTGGAGATCAGCATGGGCGACTCGGGGTCTTTAAATTGTCACAAAGAGAACACATTGCTGACATATACACATTTATATTATATTTATTGTATTTTATTTATTGTAGATGACAACCTGTCTGAATCGTGACATCGAATCTTTGGAATCGGTACAACTTCTTTGGAATCATTGATAAAATGTAAAGCAAAACCAGTGAAGGAGATTTGATAGGTTTACAAACGCTATAAAAAAGGCACTCAAAGACGTTATACCCATAGCCATAATATGATATATTGTATGTATATATAAACATAACAACGAATTTATCAGCGATATAATATATATCAAATATTTTCATACGTATGTTACAATACTGACTAAAAATAGAAGTAAACATAAATGCATATATATATATAGAGAGACACGTATTTTCATAGCATAGTTCATGATACGTATATAAATATGTTAATTTAAAACGTAACATTTCGATGTGTATATTTTGATAATAACGCAATTGTTTCATTCATATATTATATAAACCTATATTTTGACATTATACACATTTATCTTACACCGCTATATATCTAGTCTATATATATACACATACACATACACATATACATACACATATACATACACATATAAATTTATATACATTATGTATATATATATATATGTAGTTACATTAACATTATAACTATAGTGTTATATTTTGTATAGTGCAATGTTATCATGATTTTCAAATATATACATCCGAGGAGGGCAGCGCCACTGACGAGCGAATTTTGGAACAAGAAGGTGTGGTGATAGAGGGCGGAGGCAATTTGGGCATCCTTGGAAAAGAGAAACACCTTTGAACAATCATCAATTATAGATGACAGTGATTACAGTTGTTTTTCTGAAAAATTGGGTTAATTAACTATCAAAAAAAAATGGGTATCGGTATATAGTTGATTTCCATATGGTTGATGGGTGAATATACTGTAGGTGGTATCCATCGCTAGTATTTTTCATGGCTCAGTTCCCTGCGGATTGGTCAAGAGATTTTTTTGAGACCAAAAGGACGGTCACGACAAAACCATGCCAGCTATTGAGGCGCATGATTTTAAGTTATCGATATATATATATATATAAAGCTTAGGTATATAGGTTCTCGACCTAGAAATTTGTAGCTTATAGCTTCTCTAGGTATTTTTCTGAAGCATGATGTTTCTACGGACCTTACGGGTCATCTACCCATCACAGCTACAGGATCTTACCGCCTGACGGTGACCACTCATATCAGTTCCACCGCGATGTTTGGGCATCCACCTGCTGACGGCTGACATCGGTGGATTCCAGCGAAGCAGCGAAGCGCTTCGACGTCGGTAAATGTTATGTGGAGGTTTTGTCAAATGGGGCTAGCCCAATAGAAAATCCTATGAAAATGGATGATTCATGATGATTTCGGGGTTAAAATAGGGTTACCCCTATTTTAGAAAACTTCCATCGATAAAGCAACTGGAACGGCTGAAACGGTGAACGGCTGCACCCTATTTCACAAGGGAAACAACCCAAAGTCGCGAAATATCGATGGGTCAAAACCTACAATATCAGCATATCAGCAAAATGCTGACGCACCAGCTATTCTGGGGCAGGTCGAAGCCGAAGGCCGCAAGGAGAGAGTGGGGATGGACTGGTTCATCTGCTTCTGGGTCTCTTCAGATTTCGGAGAACCAAAAATCATTTCCAGTTCCAGAAAAAAATCCACCTGGAGTGATGAATCATGTTGGGTCAGTTCATGTCAGTTCTAATTTCCCCATATCTTCCAAACTCAACTGGCCTTTTCACTCACTTGGGGCCCATCCCATCCGATTTTTTCCGAGGAGGTTGGAGAGACGGTGCTGCCCGGAGTCATTTCAAGGTACAGTGTGAAGCAAGGACGGGATCCATGGTGACGCGCTGACGCATTGATAGGAGATCCCCACGTAAAATCCCACTAACCTGGCCTGGTAAACATAGAAAAAAACGATGGAACATCACCACTTTTTAATGGGAAAACTCACTATTTCTATGGCCATTTTCAATAGCTATGTTAGTTTACCAGAGGGTATATATGGCTGAAATATCAATTTACTATATAAGTGGGATGCATATCCAAGTACATGGCTGCGAGCAGGAAGTTGCTTCAGGTGTTACACAGATGTGCGCAGTGACTCAAGAAGCCCATATCTTGGATATCTGATGATCCTCCATGAGTTGAGAATCCGGTCCTTAACTAACCAGTATTTCATGGAATGCCTGAATAACATTTCGGATTTTGAACACAGCTTAAAAGGTGAAAACATATATTTGTTCTGAGGTCAGAAGTTGCAGTTCGCATACTCTGTTCGCATAGCCATGTTTCAATCATCTCTAAAGTTTCTAAAGACCTCGTTCGCTAATGTCGTATGCAGGTCGGGTGTGGGTCCAATTCTCTCTGCGTCGTAGCTGATCTCCGAATGGGATTGGACCATTGGACCTAGCTAAGTCTAGCTGGAACCACTTAGGATGTGCATCCCAACGAAAGTGGTTCACAAAATTTGACAATTATAAGATATTATAAGACATGTTGCAATGTTTGCCACATGACTCCTACATGAGCCACTCAATGATCCCTTTTCCACCTCCCCGCACCGTTTTTGGTCGAGGATATGGCTTCATCAGGCCTGACAGCCCTCAAGGCGTCGGCTTAAACCCGATGTGGAAGAAAAGTCCTGCAGTGGTTTTCCAATCCTAAGAGAGTTTTCCATAGTTTTCCAAGATCTGTTGAAAGTCAGCTCTTCTGAAGTTTTGTTTTATGGGGTTACGGATTACTTATAGATCCAAGCTGGATGAATTCGACCTGGTGGACCTGTCTTTTGGGGGTTACTGGGTCAAGGTTGGTAGGATGCTTTCAATTCGTACTTGAATCTTTTGCTAGCAATGGTAAACTGGTTGGTGGTTTGGAACATGAATTTTATTTTCCATTTCATATATGGGATGTCATCCTTCCCCCACCGTAGCCATTTTGGCTCAAGCCTTTTGGCTATGATCAAGTGTAGTATCTGTTCTTATCAGTGTGACAACTGATATGTCTCCAACTGGGCACCTTTTGTGGCATGTATTTTTTTCGAGCACTATGAGGCCTGGGTGGCCTTTTGGCTATGATCAAGTGTAGTATCTTGTGACAACTGATATGTCTCCAACTGGGCACCTTTTGTGGCATGTATTTTTTTCGAGCACTATGAGGCCTGGGTGGCCTTTTGGCTATGATCAAGTGTAGTATCTGTTCTTTTCAGTGTGACAACTGATATGTCTCCAACTGGGCACCTTTTGTGGCATTTTTTGTTTTCGAGCACTATGAGGCCTGGGTGGCCTTTAGGGTTTGGATCGAGTACGGCATCAGCGTCGTCATTGCCCCTCGTTTCCTTGACCTTAGCGATTCGCCATATCGCGGGCTCCCACTTTCAGGTGGCTAGCCTTGACTTTCGCTTGCAGTGTGCGTTAACACTGCCAGGTGACCCTGGTTTTCCGGCTGCAATTGACTTGTCTTGCTTTCAGGAACCTTGGGTCGACGTTTTCTCAGGTGAACGAGATCACCTGACAACTGGGGGGTGAACTGGCTTCGTTTGCGATTGATTTTCTTGCATCCGTCCTGTCTTCTAACCTCAGCGTTTCTGCAGGTGTACGCAACACCTGAGTTTTGACCAATTCGATTTTGGTTCAGGTTTATGGTTTTTCCAGTGGCTGCTATCTTTTTGATTCAAATTGGCGCAGCTTTCCTCAGCCTCCAGAAGGCGTGGCCGTCGTTTGAGAGCACAGGCTCGTCTCCGCTGGTTTTTACACAGGACGAAGATTCAGTGTCTGAGCGTTGCGGATCTCAAAACCATTTACCTCAGGTTATTGGCACATCATACAAGGGATTTCAAGCTTCTTTTTGTTATTCGTCGAGAGATTCTATTCCTCATGGCGAACTCCAATCAGGGCTACCCTTGGCGCTGTCAGTGCGGGAGTCTCAACAGCAAAAGGGCTATTCATTGTCCGATGTGCACGCAACACTGGACAACTGGAACTCCGCACTCAAATCAGCCCAAAACACAACAGGCTCAAGCCCATGCTCAGCGATGGACTCAGCAGCGTGCCAGTACGCCAAGAAGGAATTCCGACTGGGACCAAGGAGAATCTCAGTGGGGACAAGGTCAATGGGTCAAGTCGCCGAGGCAAAAGTCCCCGCGGCAGAGATCCAATGCAAACAAACCCAAAAATGCCAAAGGTCATTTCAAAGGGAAAGGCAAAGGAAAGGTGACACTCACCTCTCAGGCCCAAGCAGAAGCTGCCCCAATGACTGGCCCTCCTGCGGTAATGCCTACGTACCAAGAAGCTCCCTGGTTAATGGCCCCACCTCCTCCGATACCTGCTGCTCCACCGTCCAGCACAGTTCCAGAAGCTGGAGTGGGTGCAGCCAGTGCAGCCGAAGCCAAGTTGCGCAGCATGTATGCCTTGTTGGAAAAGTATCCGGAGGGGCTGCACCCAGACATCCTGAAAGAAATTCAGGATGCCAAAGTCCAGGAAGGAGAGGTAGCCATCAAGTCGTTGCACAAACAGGTGACAGCACTTGGTCGAGCTCGAACAGAATTGCGCAACGCCAATGCTGCCAGACTAGGGCTCCATTCTTCGTGGAGAGCATTCCTAGTCGAACAAGTGGCCAAATGGCAAGCCTATTCTCAGCAGTTTCAAACTCAAGAGTCGCAATTGGCAGAAAGAGTCAACAATGCAAGGTTGGCATTGGAAACCGCCAAGTCAAACTTAGCAGCATCCAAGTCCATCCTGAACAAGACGGAACAGAGCATGGACCAATCAGAAACTGTCAATGTCAGCGACGACGAAGAGGAGTCAAAGGAGTCCAAAGAGGTGGCAAACAACAGTGCCCAGAAGATTACGGCCAGCTTGCACCACCTAGGAGAGAGTTTGAAAACCCTGAGTGCGAATGCAGACGAGCTCATGATTGCAGAGCAGCAAGCATGCAAAAGGCAACGCACAGATGCAGGTACGGAAAACAGTCCGGCTCTACCTGCTCCAGCCTCAGTATCAGCAGCGCCTGCAGATGGTTCGTCGTCTTTTGGTTAGGCCGGATTAGTGTGACTCCTGAGTACGCTGTCCACAGGCCCAATTGCAGCGGCATTTTGCCGCCCCATGGTTCCATACTGCCCAAATGGACGCATTCCGTCCTGCATGAACCCGACTTCTGCTCTGAGTGGGAAGCAGCTCATAGAGCAACAGAGTTGGCTCTGCAATGCGGTCAGTCCACTTTTGGTGGTGACGTCCCCAGTACACGTTCGCGTAGGAAGCTTGAGGGTCTTGCCTCCGTAGGGTTTGCCTCTACTGTCGATGTGTACTTGGGGGATGCTAATTCATTTAGCATGGCACATACGTCTGTTCACTCAGATGTCCTATGTCGAATTGCAAAGCCTTGGTCGTGTGAAAGGGTTGCCGAACCAAAGGGTGCACCCCGCACTTCATTCAACTATGACCGTGACATAAGTGTGTCTGTCCCGGAGCTTTTTGAGAAATTCTTAAATTGCTCTCCACAGTGCTGTTCTGGCCTCACTAATCGTGACCCTGTTGGTGATTTGCCGAACCTTGATCCCGTGTGCACCGTTCCAGATGCTCATGCACAAGTTCACCCTCTTGATGCAGCAGTTGCCAGCGTCTCCCAGCCAGGAGGCTCTGAAGTTTCATGTCTGCACAGGCCTTCAGTTTTGCCATTGGAAAGCATCGGTTTTCCCATGCTTCATGTTGAGGAAATTTGTCCTCTTGGTGCTCCGCTGTCCGAAGTGGCCGTGTCGAGCTCAGAGGACTTTGCATCAAGGGCACCCGTTCCGTTTTCCGGCCTCACTAATTGTGACCCTGTTGGTGATTTGCCGAACCTTGATCTCCCGTGCACCGTCCCAGATGCTCATGCACTAGTTCACCCTCTAGATGCAGCAGTTGCCAGCGCCTCCCAGCCAGGAGGCTCTGAAGTTTCATGTCTGCACAGGCCTTCAGTTTTGCCATTGGAACGCATAGGTTCTTCCATGCCTCATGCTGATGAAATTTGTCCTCTTGGTGCTCCGCTGTCCGAAGTGGCCGTGTCGAGCTCAGAGGACTTTGCATCAAGGGCACCCGTTCCGTTTTCCGGTTTGGTTCATCAGGACCTTTGGACCTGCAGCCATTTGCCCGAGCGCTGCTGGGGGCATGAGTGCCCCATCTCAGTTGCCGCACCGTTCCAATGTCCCGAAGCCGATCCTAGTGCAGCGTCACATGCGGAAACACCTGTACAGGCTAGTTCCGAAGCGACGCATGATGTAGCCAGACCTCACTCGCCAATTAGGTTGCCTCCGTTTGCCCAGCAGATGATGATCAATTTGCCCATGGAGTTTCTTTCCAATCCTGTTAGAATTGTGCAAGGGTTTCTGGTTCGCACCTGGTACTTGCACCATGTCAATATCCCTAGATCACTGCAGGCGCGACAGGTGATGCTTACCGGTCCTCCCCATCTATGGAGACCTCACATTCTCACCGTTTGGTCTGATTTGCTTATTCCAGGCGAAGACATCACTTTGGATCTTGTCAGCCCTGCACCTCCGAGGAACTGGCATGAAACCAACATTGTGTTTGACCTGATTTTAGCACAGGGTTTATACACTGGTCGCTTTTCAGGGCTCACCACCATTTCGCCCACTATCGCAGAGCCATCCTTGCGTATGTATGCCATTGCAGTTTCGTTTGCAGCCGACATAAGTGGACAGGATGTCATCACCGAATCTGATGCTCAGCCACATTGCAATCGATTTGACTGTTTGGTTTTCCATGCTTTTGCCCAGTTGTTTATTGATTTCAACCCTGTTCACCGTATGAGCAATGGTGACAGCTTTGTCATCTACCTTAGTCAAAAACAATCCCCAGCGTCACCGTCAGGTCCCCTGCTGGTAGAGAGCACTGACCCTGCGCCTGAACCATTGTCTGGTTCTGGGGATGCCGATATGACTCATGATGCTAGCCACTCCCATGCAGCCACATTGCCTGACAATTCATTGCCTGGTAATGATCATCATCCAGATGGACCACCCCAGACAAGTGAGTACAAGAGAGTGACCATTTATCGTTTGGATCGACCATCGATTTCTGCATGGATTCGTTGGGGAAACTTCGCTCACCTTTTGCAAGATGTCATGGCTCAAGTTCAAATTACTCCGTCCGAAGTTGTGGCAGTGCACCGGATTTTGGTTAAGCCGGTTGGCGAGTCCAGTCATGAGACCAGCTTGATCTTGCAACAGATCGGAGACATTCCCCCAGGTTCTGCTGAAACACTGATCCTGCTGGACACCACTTTTCATCAACAGGGGCCAGTGGCTCAATCCTCAGTTGTCCAACACTTTGACCGCAAGGTGGCCAAAGTGCCCAACCCTATCGCTCGACTTGGTCTCTTGTACATAGCCAGAGTTGCCAACTACTGTGAGACTGTCCGAGATGCTTGTCTTGTGTTGTCTAATCATCGCCTGTGGAACATGCAGCGTCAAGCTCCTCAGCAGCTCCTTCATGGTGCTTACTGTCGCATACATATACCGCCAGCGCGCACACATGGGGCGGAAACTTGTCGAGCTGTTTCACTGGTTGAGGATTGTTGTGACCCGTTTCCCACCACGTTTGCTCAGGTGTACCCACAGATGCCACACCACACGGACGTGAATGTGAGAGATAGTCATTCCGCATTTCGCTCAAGTTCCATGCACCCGGTTCCCGCTGATGGTTTTGCTGCGTCTGGCATCCCCAAGAGCCAGCACCTGGGTGATGAACAGCAAGGGTCGCCTCCAGCTTTTGAAGTGCCTATTCCTTCTCAGAATGCCCCAGTGCTGCCCAATGTTCCGGATTGGCATGGTTTTCAGTTAGAGCTTTCGAGTCTCTTTGATGAGGTGTCTATCACAGAGATTCCTGAGGAGGGACCTGTGGCTTTTGTCACAACTTGGTTTGTTCACCATGACCATGCACCCACCTGTGTTGTAGGCCGTTTGGTTCGTTTGTCCAACCGTCCTCATGAATGGTTTCAGCTTTTAGTTGCGCCTTGGATTCACATGTTGCAACCATTTCATTGCGGGCGCCCACGAGGAACACTAATTGAAATCCGCCACTCGCCCCACTCGCCCCACTCGCCCTACTTGCCCTGGGCTAGCAAATTAATTGAAATCCGCCACTCGCCCCACTCGCCCCACTTGCCTTGGTAGGAAAATTAATTGACTTTGGCCCCTCGCCCCACTCGCCCTACTCGGCCCCACCCGCCCTACTCGCCCCACTCGCCCGACTCGCCCCACTCGCCCGACTCGCCCCACTCCCCCCACTCGACGCACTTGCTGCGGAGGTAAGCAGAGCAAGTGCAAGCGGGGCAAGCGGGGCAAGCGGGGCAAGCGGGGCAAGCGGGGCAAGCGGGGCAAGCGGGGCAAGGGGGGCAAGCGGGGCAAGCGGGGCAAGCGGGGCAAGCGGGGCGGGGCAAGGGGGCAAGCGGGGCAAGCGGGGCAAGCGGGGCAAGCGGGGCAGTCGGTCTGGATTGTTTGAATACGGGCTGACGCGCATGTCGTGAGAACGGCTTCTCAATGCTTCTTGTTGTCGGTACCCTCTGTACCCTTCTTTGGATTGAAGAGTGTTCTTTCTGGAATCTTCAATCCACATGCAACCCAAGGATTGCAACGTTGTATGAAAGTATATAAATTCGATAGATGGATGGATCGAAAGATAGATAGCTAGATAGATTGGTAGATAGATAGGTAGATAGGCAGATAGGTGAACAGATAGCTAGGTAGATAGATATGTAGATGAACGGAAAGGACGGATGGATGGACAGTATGGGTGGATGGATAGGATGGATGGACGGACGGACGGATGGAATGGAATGGAATGGGTAGACGCCCGCCTGATAAACGATAATAGTCAAAATTACTTTCCTCGAGTGGCCCCGGTCAACTGGCATTCTAGTTGACATATCATATATATATATAGAGAGAGAGAGATTCTATCGGGCATTCTTTCTGGCATTCCATCTGCCATATATTTTGAGATTGTTTCTGATTATTTTGATATTCTCTCTGGCATTCTATCTGATATTCTATCTGGCATTCTGTCTGAGATTTCATCTGACATACTGCCTGACATTCTATCTGGCATTTTTTATGGGAGTCTATGTGGCATACATTCTGACATCCTATCTGGCATTCTTGCCGGTCTGTGTGTTTCCAGATGCATGTTTCCCAATGTGACTGAACTTGCAAACATTGGCTCTATCTGGTGGTGCCACTTGCCACTGTCAAGATTAGCGGCCCTTGGCTTACCTGTGCTCTCTGAGCCGGGCTGTCGATGGTATCTCGAGCATACAAAAGTAGAATCACAAGGATGTATGTTAGTTACCCGTACTTGGTTAGGCAGTGGGCTGTATGGAAATATACAGATTTGGTACAGTGGTTCGAACCAAGCCAGTAAGTAGCGACGCAAAGTGTGCTGGTGTATATAACGTCTTGGGCTGTAGATTGCAGATTCTGTTTGTGATTGGGACATCTTGAAGTCAACAGCGAGATGTCAGGAAGTAATCTCCCGACGACAGAAATTCATCATCTGTACCATTACCACGACTGCCCTATTTGGAGTCGTTTTCTTTGCAGCTAGGTGAACGTAGGAGGTTCGGGTTCAAGCGTTGCAAGAATCTTGTTTGCAGACGCTGCAGGCCGCAGACCGCAAATTATCCGTACCTGATTAGCGCCGCCCTGGCTTCGTCCACTGCGACCTGTGGGCCTCAATGGCATGGACGATATTGTGCAGTCCTTTTGTACACTAGGCCAAGCAGTTTTTGATAATGTCGCGAGGTTAAAAAAATTCGCTGCGCGCTACAGAAGTGTTGAAACTGAGAGATGTGGAGGGCAGGTGAACATTTTCACATTGTTCCGGCTGTCCACGCAGCGCAACATGCATGAGACCCAGTTTGGTTGCATATTGTCGATATCACGCTTGGGACTGCAAAGGCAAATCCGACAAATATGACCATCATACCACGCATTGACAAGTGCTCTCCGGTACCCAAGCCGCGCCATCAAGTTCAAGTTGTAGGAGTTAGCTTCCTAGACATGGCCACGTGTGAAATTTGTGGAGATGGTTTCGCAGACGATGCGGAAAAACACTTGTGCTCCCCGAGCCGAGCCGAGACTCTTGCTCACACATGTGCCAGGCGGATTGCTTGCAGCAATACCGATTAAAGCAGGGCTGCCCTATGCATGACTCCCCATTCTGTCTTCAGAATGAAGATTCCCAGGAAGAGGCTGATGATGGTGGTTTGCAAGAGATGGAGATTGAGGCAGCAATGGAAGCAGAGGCTGTGGCTGAGGGGGTAAAAAGAAAGACCAGAGAAGAGGCAGCTTCGCCTGTCCGTGCGGGTGGGGGCCCAGCGGGCAAGAAGTTAACAACCAACGCAAGCCCACCAGCAGGACAACGCAGCCCAGTGCCGCCCACCCAAAGGTCCCCAAGCCCAGAAAGCCCTCCCTTCACACAGGGTGGAAGTGAAGCAGCCCGCTTGTCCATTCCAAGCTTTGGGATTGACATCTACGACCTGAGTCAGACCAGCAAGGCATCTACCACGGTGAAGGATCCTATGCACGACGCCATATCAAATTACTTGGCTTGCATGGATGAAGCACAAAGCCTTTCATTCCTTCACACCAAGAGCACATATCAAGGGCTTGGAAGCCCGGAGGCTTCTTATCAAACCGTTCTGAATGCAGCCTTGAAAGACCCCAGGGAACGCTGTGGCATCAGACTTTGCCTTCCGAACTCGAGAAGTGCTGCCCGCGCCTTTCGGAGTCAGCTTGAGAACCATTGCCCGCAAGGAAGGTTGGGAGCCTGAGACATTCATGGCGCCGATCCTCAGCAACATTGGTTGGATGGAGCATCCATGCAGGCACACGGCTTCGATTGCAGCCTGATGAGGAGCACCAACGTGGCTGCGTAGTCCAGATTGTTTGCGCAGGTGACCCCAGCATGCGCAAGAGTTCTTTGAAGGATTTTACCAGCAAAAAGCTTCTTTCCCATGCAGATGTCCCTGCTGTCATCAAGGCAGGTGGCGCCACATGCACGGATGCCACCATCAAGGGTATTCGTGCTTCTATCAAAGAATATGTCCGAGCTGGCATCATTTCGGATGAGATTGCCACAACAATATGCCGTGACATCCGGGAGGGAGACCCGACACTCAGGGTCTGCACTACGGCAACAAAGAAAAGATGTGCACTTGGCTGAACTGCGAAGGTGACAAGACAGTCACTGGAGATGGTGCCACTGCGCTGACTCATTACATCTTCGTTCACCACGTGTATGGACAGGTGTCGCTTTGTGAGTATGTGCTCCAGCCGACTGCAAGCATGTTTTCCAAGAGAATCCATGCGACGTGGCAAACAAGGCCAGTGACAAGTGACCCTGATCAGCAGAGCCAGTCCAGCAAAGAGTTTCTGATTGACTTCTTTGGTTGGATGGGGCGCGTGGCAAGCAACCAGGACAAAGACCACTATTTTGACAAGTTCGCCTTGCCCGTGCTCAGGAAGGCTTTGCAGGGAATCTCCGACTTCTTGCACGAGAATCACGAGAATGTAGAAGAACCAATCTAACAGAAGCTACGCTATGCTGACGCAGATGCTCCAAGCAAGTCCAAGCCTTGGTAGGCCCCAAAGCCGTGCCAGATGTCAAGACCCCAGGACTTGCAGATTTGGATGCCAAGATGAAATTGCAGCAAGTCATTCTGTCCAATCCTCGATGCGCTGGTCCAACCTCCACTGCGCACATTCGCTCTGTTCTGAAGTACCACTTTCAGAAGGAGAAAGAAGAAAAACCAGCAAAGTACGTCTTGGCAGCAGTCAAAGACCTCTTGAAAGTTGGCATCTTGCAAGAGGTTGACAAGAAGGAAGTGGAAGAGCAGGCGCCCAAACTTAAGGACAAGAAAAGCGCCAAGAGCAAGGAGGCCACGCTAAAGAGCGAGCCACGAGGCCCGCCAGGTGGCCACGCTGTCCTGTACTACCAGACATGTGCCTGGGAAGACCTTTTGACTAATTCGGAAGCTCAAGACATGATTGCCAAGCTGCAACTGAGTGCCAATGATTTCAAGTAGGATTCCAGAAATACGAGGTCTTGCACGGTCCCATGTCTAAACTGCCAGCCCAAAAAAAGAGTGACAATGTGCTCCAAAGCACTTGTTGTATATAAGTCTTGTTTCCAAAGATACGCGTCAATAATGGTGCGATTCCTCGAAATTAAGCTCTGGCTTCTTTCCAGCCCGAGCGTGTTCCTGACCCTACGAGGTGAATGCTTTCAATCAAGACTGTATGGTGGCTGCAACATATTGTGCATCAATTTCAATCAACCCACCCATTTTCATGACAAGACATTGTGGTGTGAAGATCTTACATAGTGGTTCATCATCGTGTCCAAAGCCACATTCAAAACAGTCTGCTCGGCCTTCTAGTGTTCAATCGTGTGCGCTGGTGGCATGAGATTGACAAAGGCCCAATCTACTCTTTTTGAGGCAAAGCGGACAGCCAACACCGCGGCTCCGAAATAGTTTGCGCGGCGCATGTGAAGCCACTGTTCGCTGAACATAGCCATTCGAGATGTTGAAGCAAGACACATGTTTTATTTGTTCCTGATCCAGTCCAAGAAAGAATTGAAACTTGCACCTGTTTTTTCTGTTTTCTACCATCCTTTCCGACTGCGATATATTTTTTCTGCTTCATGGGGGAAAGAAGACTCACGGGAGTCCTGTCCACACCGACCATGTCGCTGACTCCTGCGTCTGCAGGTGCCGATGCTAAGTGGCACCAGGACAACGGCTTCTACCTTAGGGATTCAGCAGATGCTGATGCCAGCATGCGTGATGTTGGTACGCAATCAAATAGAGATGGCACAATAGTCCACTCCTCACTGTGACCATCGGGTCTGTGGTCCCGCGGGGCCCGTGCACTGCGCGTCGGTGCGCATTCCCGGAATGGCTGGAGGTTGCTTCCGGTGATGCTTGATGCACATTGGTGTCAAGCAATGTTCAACGCAATTTTTCGAGGACATGTTTAAACATAGTCGATCTTTGTTTGGTCTCATACAGACCTTGTACAAAAGGATCTTGCACAGCAGCGTCTAGAAAGAACCTGTCAAGGAGATCTTGCACACGTCTTCTACAAAGGGAACTTGCAGAATCCAATCTGGTATTGATGCCACGGTGTTTGGAGTCGCCACTTAATCCCCGTCGGCCGCTCCACTCGCCCCACTCGCCCCCCTCGCCCCACTCGCCCCATTCGCCTCACTCGCCCCACTCGCCCCACTCGCCCCACTCGCCCCACTCGCCCCCCTCGCCCCACTCGCCCCACTCGCCCCACTCGCCCCACTCGCCCAAACATTCCATTCACGTTGCCACCTCTATTCCTTTTTCATACTGCTGTGTGCTGAAACCAAAGCAGCAGGGCAAGCGGGGCAAGCGGGGCAAGCGGGGCAAGCGGGGCAAGCGGGGCAAGCGGGGCAAGCGGGAAGAACCACCGATCTTCCCTCGGTTTGCAAGTAGGGCAAGCGGGGCAAGCAGGGCAAGCGGGGCAAGGAGGAAGATTCACTTATTTTCCCTAGAAGCGGAGCAAGCGGGGCAAGCGGGGCAAGCGGCAGAAATCACTTAGCGGCCCCGCGGGGCACCCACACTGAACCATTTGCAAACCTTGCCTTTCGTCTTGTCAAGCCTGCACCGGTGTCCGACATTCCTGGTTTTCACATGATTCATGTCATTTTGGAACAGGGCTTGCAACAGTCAAGGTATGTTGCTTTGCTGTCGGCTGTATTTCAGGGATTGCATGGTGATGTAACACACCGTAGAGCCCAATCAGTGCCCACCCAGCTTTCCAAAGAAGTGATTGCTCGTATTCTTTCCATTCAGGAATTGTGTAGAGCGCGTCAGTGTGATGCCTGGTCAGGTCGTCTTCGTTTTCATGCAACCCGTCTTGAGCCGGTTTTTTCAGGAATTGGTGTTTGTCTCACTGTTGATGCCTTTCGCAACCGTTTCACAGCGGCAGGGGATTTTTCTGCAGGGTCTCAGCCAGCTGCATCGTCCTCGCACTTGCCTCCGAGGATGTCATTTAGAGTGGATGATGCCTCGCTCTTTCCGTTTCCCTCGAGCGCAGGTGAAATTGTTGAATGCGAAACTGTTGAACATGCACCCAGTAGGCTTGTTCCTGAGCTCACCATCATTTGGCAGCATCATCTCATGACCACGACCAGTAGGCCATATCGATTCTACGTCGAAACGTGGTTTTGTGATCATGATCGTTTCCCCCGCACTAACCGTGGTAGAGAAGTTCTTCTCCCCCCCAACGCGGATCAATGGCGGCAAGCTCTTCTGGACAAATGGCAGGACATGATTGACCCCAATGTGGATACCTACATTTATGTTGTGTCTCCTGCACCCATTGGAGGTCCAAGTGACGTATTGGCTCATGTCCTCCTTGCTCAGCATCAACACAGAGGTTTTGTTTCTGCCTTGATCACCACTATCGCGCCTGGAGATGACATCTATGATCCACCCCGTGTGGCTCTTAAGCTGCCGTCTGTTGTTGATAAAGGCCTGCTTATCCAGGAAAGTGGCTTGTTCATGTTCTGCCCCCCTTTTTTGCCTCAAAACTCCTGTAATGCCATGTATGGTGACCAAATTGTAGTTCAAGATGCACTCCGTCCCGCTCGCTCTGGAGACTGCTTTCTCTGCACTGCAGAGGCGGTACAGACTGCGTTACCGTCAGCGGAGTTAGTTTCTTCCAGCCATGATCATGTTCATGATCTGTTTGCTTGGGTTGGTCGACTTATGACTTCGTTGACTCAGAGTGTGATTGCTGCCGTCCGTGACTTTGATGCTTGGACCCAAAACATTGACAGTCTGCACAAAGAGTCTACCCAAGCTCGGATTGTTCATGTGCTCCGCTCTGTTGACTCTGTTAATATTGTTCAACACTGTCAATTGGATGATCAACCCTTTAGCTCCAGTGCACTCTCCAATGGTTTGCTCGGCTCAGACTCCACTAGTCCTTTTGGTTCTGATGTGCAGGCAAGCCAACTTGTTCCTCCATTGCCGGCTCCTCTGCCGGTTCAGGTACCCTGTCCAGGCTTTCCGGTCACCATTGCCCTTGATGCTGTGGTTCCTAAAGTTCGCACAGAGCCTGATCAACCTTTGGATGATCGACTGGCTACACTTGAATGGATGCACTCGGAAAATTGGAAGGCTCAGGTAGTTGATTCTTTGGATTTGCGACTGTGCCCCATTCCACCACAATTGAAAATGACTCCTTCGACATTTAATGCTGTTTTTGCCGCCATGGAAGGACCCATAGGGCCCTATGAGTTGGTAGAAGTGTTTGTCGATGGAGCCACATCCCCGACTGCGGCTTCATGGAGCATTGTGGTTGTAGCCCATCACCAGGACTCAGCCCGCCTCTTGGGAACGTTGGCAGGACCTGTCCTGCTGGGCGACCAACACCCCTGTTGGATGGGCGCAAGTTCCCTGGACAATATTGCGGCAGAGCTTTCAGCCCTTGCTGCCGCGTTGGCTTTCACCCTGCAAGCCCCGTTTCCCTGCAAAGTCTGTGTGCGTCCGGATTTGTCGCTGAGTCGGTTGTTGGCCCAGGAACTAGTCACTCCGGTTTCCAATCCTGAACTTGCCATGTTGTGCCGTGTCCTGTCCTCTTGGGTTTCATCTTTTGTTGTTTACTCTGAAATCAGAGGGCACACCAAACACGAGTGGAATGATTTGGCTGACTCTCTGGCCAAGTTAGTGCTGGAAGCACCAGAGTCTTTCCCGGCAGTCGACTTTGGGAAACTGCACGCATTGGTTAGGGAGCGTCATGACCTTGCCTGGTCTTGGACTCAGGGTTTGCCAGTATCCATGAAGCACTGCCTTCCGAACCAGGTCAATAACACTATTTGGCAGTTTAGCTCCTCCCTGCGCAAAGTTGACTATCTGGTTGATGAAGTCAAGCCGACTACCATTCCCGTGCCCTTCACTTGTCACATGGCCACCATTAACGTCCTTGCTCTGGACAAAATTGACAGCCAAGTTGAGATTGGCCGCAGGAATGGCTCGAGAACTCTTCGGCTGGACCACCAAATGCATGCTGCTCAGTTCCACATGCTGGGCTTGCAAGAAACTCGCACGCTGCAGGGGCAATTTCAATCTGATCACTACAAGATTCTTTCGTCAGGCTGTGTTGGACCCAGTGCTGCCCGCTTAGGGTGTGAATTATGGATTCATCGAAGTCTTGCCGTTATGACCACAATGGATGGTGTGAAGGTAGCCTTGGCGGATTGTGACTGTGTAGTCGTTCATGCCGATCCCCGTAGGTTATTTGTCAGACTTGAGCATTCGTCTTTTCAAATCACCGCCATTGTCCTTCATGCCCCATGCCTTGGCAAAGCCACTGGTGATGCAAAAGCTCCCATTGATGTTGTCAAATCTTGGTGGGAGGAAACTTCCCAGATATGGACGCAGTCAGTTACCACGGAGCTTGTGTGTGTGTTTGTTGACGCCAATGCTACATTAGCTTCTACGTCCATGCAGTTTTTCCAGGACCATCATGCTGATTCAGTCACGGCTCAAAGCTTGGTCTTTGAAGATTTCTTGATTGGTCACCAATTGTATGCTCCCTCCACTTTTGCAGCGCATCATCAAGGCCCATCGTTCACCTGGACACACTCGTCAGGTAAACGTATGCGGTTGGATTATGTTCTTCTCAATCGGCCGTTGTTCGAGATGGTGACCAAATCTCAAACTTGGACGTCATATGACGGTACGTTTACACATGAAGATCATATTCCTGCTTGTATATTGGTCTCAGGATGGATTACCCATTCCGAAGATGTCCAACGCCTGCGTTGGGACGAACTTGCCTTGCTTGATCCTGAGAGATGTCAAGCCTTTCAAGCTGCTTTGGCTACATTGCCCGTGCCAGTATGGGAAATTTCGGTTGATGCGCACTGTAAGGTTTACGAAAGTCAGTATCTCCAGCTTGCGCGTCAATTTTTCACCAAAACACCGGGAAAAAGGCGGCGACCCACTTTGCAGCCCGACACGCTGGATGCTATTGCCTTTAAGCGGCACCTCCTTGACTGTGGACGCAGCTGGAATCTTATGACTGATCCAGATTTTCGCAGCGACCTCAAAGCGGTTGAGACCCAGGTGCGCAAAATGGTAGCTCGGGACTTGCAGGTCTATTATGACCAACTCCTCGTGAGGTTGCAAGAGGCTGGCCAGCTCTCCGACCACAAGCAAATGTTTCGACTGCTCACACGGCTTGGTGGAAAGAAGCACAAGCGTAATCTTTCATGTAGGCCCCTTCCTATGTTGCGTGCCACTGATGGAAGTTTAGTGAATTCTTTTGCCCACCAGCAACAAATCTGGCTTCGCCAATTTGCAGCCATTGAAGCTGGCGTACAGGTCAGCATGCAGACCTTGATGAGAGGGGACTCATCCGGCTTAGGATTGTCTCTGGACCTTCTCGAAGCTGCCACCTTTCCCACAGACTGGCAGCTTCAAGCAGCTGTATCCAGACTGCATCGAGGGCGTATGCCGGGACCAAATGGGCTCACCCCATGTTTGCTCAAGGCCGGAGGGAGCACCTTCACCAAACAATTTGTTGCGTTGACAACCAAAACAGTGGCACATGGAAAGGAGCCAACAGCGTGGAAGGGGGGCCGATTGGTCCCCCTGTTCAAGGGTAAAGACTCGCCAGCGGATCCGCAAGCATACCGTGCGATCTACATCTCAGACCATACATCGAAGTTATACCACCGTATGTTGAGACAGCAGCTCGTTCGTCCTTGGGACCAACATGCCGACTTGTTGCAATTTGGTGGTCGCCCCAAGTTAGGAACTGATCTTCCGCATCATTTATTGGAATCTCATCAATACTGGTGCAGGCAGAAAAAGCTTCCTTCGGCGATTGTTTTCTTCGACTTGAGAGCAGCCTTTTATTCTGTCCTCCGTCAGGCGCTGACAGAAATCGAAATTGACCCTACGGCCCTGATCGCAGCATTAAGTAGGCTTGGTGTCTCGCAAGAACTTTGGACCGCTTGGTTGCAGCAAGCCTCACATGACCATGCCCTCATTGATGCCACGCCCCATGTAGAGAAGCTCATACAAGATTGCATGACCAATACTTTCTTTACTTTGGAGGGAGTTCAGGGAGTTTGCAAGACCACCAGGGGTACTAGGCCGGGTGATCCCCTTGGTGACCTCTTGTTCAATCTCATCATGCGGTTGGTCTTAAGGGACACACATGATTTGCTTCGAGACACCACTGATGCACAATTGATCGGCTCTCCAGATGGCTGTTCTTCCTTTGCAGATGCCAATGAGATTCCCAAGTGTGCGTATTTCGATGTGTCCTTTGTGGATGATGTTGCGGTTGCCATTCATGCAGAGACGTTGTCTGACCTCGAGCCAATCATCAAGTCTGTAGTGGAGGCTTTTCACCATGCAGCCGCCCTGAGAGGGCTTGCCTTTAATTTTGACAAAGGAAAGACGGAAGTCATTTGGGATATTCTTGGCCGCGGCTCCCGCTCGCTCAAAGAGCGCTTGCACGACCATGGTCAATGCCTTTGTTGGAGCACCTCAGAGGCATCTTTTCAGCTTAGAGTGTCCCACTCTTACAAACATCTTGGTTCCTGGCTCCAAACTGCAGGATGTCACCAGCGTGAAATTGCCCATCGGGCCTCTCAAGCCATGCAAAGCTGGGGCTCGCTTGCGCGGCCCTTTTATCACAAGAAGCATGTAGGCCTTCCTGCGAAGTCTGTTGCCTTTCAATCCCTCAGTATGTCGCGCATGTTGTATAATGCACACACTTGGACAGGCATTACAGATGACATGGTTACTACATGGCAACAGAAGTTGCGCAAGCCATTGGGTCTCATGACTCGACATCTCCTCAAAGGTATTGCTCCTACCCATGTCGACACAGTAGACCTTTTTGCGCTTGCACAGATCCTGCCGCCCATGGATCAATTGCACCTTGCGCGGCTTCGGTATCTTAAACGCCTGCTGGCTTATTGCCCTCAGTGTCTATGGGATTTTCTCTTTCACTCACGCATGCTGTCACACAGTTGGATTCAGCTTTGTCACCTTTCATTTGCTTGGTTTTTGCAGTTTTACCCTGTTCCAGGGGCTCCATCCGACCAGAATGATCTTTCAGCATGGTTGTCATACATCGCGCTGGACAACAGTTGGAAAGGCAGGTTGAAAAAGGCAGCCCAAGGCTGCTTGAGATTCAGACAGGCCACTGCTGAACACAATGTCTGGTTCAAAGCCTTTCAAGCGACGTTCACAGCTGCCGGTGGCATTGTTCCAGTCTCTCAACAAATTTCCACTGAAACATGGGTCTGCGACCAGTGTAGTAAGCGGTTCGCATCACGCAGAGCACTTGCCACTCATGCTGGCCGTGCACATGGCTATCGCAGACTTGTCAAGTTTTACGCAGTGGACAATGTGTGCAATGCTTGTGCCAAGATTTATCACACCAGGAAAAGATTGATTGAACATTTGCGGGATTCCGCATTGTGCCTTCAAGTCTTGCAAGCATGTTTTCCTCCGCTCTCAGATGAACAAGTTTTGGCTTTCGATGCGCAGGATCACAATGTCACCCTGGCACTGCGTGCTGAAGGATGGGGAGACCGCAAGGCCCTGACGCCCATGCGAAAAATTTTTGGACCACTGCTTCCTCCACCTGGATCCCAGGATGCCATGGACATGTTCAACAAGTGGGCCCTTCGAAATCCCACGGCAGGCACAGCCTTCGACCAGTTACAAGGACACACCCGTGCCCCGGCAGATGAGCCTTCACATCAAGTCATCTTTTTTGATGCCGATATGCCATCCTTTGTTTTTCAATCTCAGCGGGGTATGAATCAAGGTGATGGTCGTTTTTCACTGCAGGGTTTAGCACGGGAGACTGCATTGCTGAGTATCCGCTGTCTCGTTTTTGTGCATTTTTTCTCAGGGTACAGGAGAAGAGGAGATTTGCATGACATATTAGAGCACCGGACTTTCCCAGATGGCCAGCAGCTGTTTGTCTTGTCGGTCGATATGTGCTTACAACGTGAGAGAGGGGACTTGGCCTCATCTCACTCTCTCCACTGGTGGATTGACCGCATCAAATCAGGGCAGGTGTGCAGGGCCGGAGGCGGGCCTCCTTGCGAGTCTTATTCGGTTGCCCGCTTGCTCGAAGGAGGCCCGCCTCCTGTCCGTTCAGGTACGTTCCCTGAAGGACTCCCCAACATACCATTGAAGGCCTGGCGACAGGTCATGGTGGGATCGAGATTGATGCGTTTCATCCAGGAGGTCTTCCTTATGCTGGTTCTTGTCGGCGGTTGTGCCTTTATTGAGCACCCGCAATTTCCGGTTTGGGCGCTGCAGCAAGATCCATCGAGTGTCTGGTCAGGACTACCCATGAAACTGCTCAAGACAATCGAGGCAGTCGGTGTTACAAGTTTTGACCAATGTGTGCTCGGCTGTTTAGCGCGGAAACCCACTACGATCATCCATTTGCGTTTACCACGGTTGAGGCAGGTCATTCTAGCGGCAGGAAATATGGGAAGGTGCAACCATTTTGCTGCAACTCATGAGACCCTTGCCGGCCGGGATGATGCCGGAATCTTCAAGACCGCTAGGGGAAAGGTGTATCCGCATCGGCTGAACCAAGCCATCGCTGATGCGGTGACACATTTTGTACAGAGCACTTTTTCTTGCACAGACACTCAGAATCTTCCTTCTGAGTTTTCGGATCTTGTGGTGAAAGATTTTGTGTCAGACGATATCCTTCAGCCGGATTTCTACGGCTGATATCTGACAATTGTGCAGAGTAACCACCGATCCTGTTTCCTTTCTGCATGTACCAAGCAGAGACCTTCTGCAGCATCGGAAATGAAAAATGTCATCCTTCCCATTGACTAATATTTTTCAGAGGGGTTGAAACCACCAACCAGTAAAGTGTACTAACCAGCTAAAAATATCTAAAAATGATATTTTTGGCCAGGTATCTAAGATTCGGAATGGTGACAAGATTGAAATGGGTGTTGGGGGGAAACAGATCAGGATAGTTGCACAATATTGCCTCACACTTGGATATTAGATGAATGATACAATAAGGGGGTTTCCATAAATAGGGGTACCCCAAAATGGATGGTTTATGAGGGAAAATCCTACTAACATAGATGATTTGGGGGTACCCCTATTTCAGGAAACCCTCATATCATCAAAGGAAGTCTAGTTAGCAAACTTCCGAGACAGACGAATGTCCATTGAAAGTGTTCACATCAGGGTCATTCATCGCTTTTGCATCGCCAGAGTCTCCCAACATATTCCCAAATTCCGCAATATACCATCCCTTGAATCTTTTCCCCAAAAACACAAAGCCTGATTTTTTCTTCATCTCATTTCCATGTGTCCATCACCTTTCAAGATGAAGGCAACATTTTCCAGGAACCCATAATTTTCATGGGAAACGCCATGGTTTCCTGTGAGCATTGACCATCATTTACCAGCAAAACCAATCAAATGTTTTGTTTTTTGCACCAAACCAAACATAACCAAACCTTAGCTGGATCCATGGTGGATCCCTCATTCCCCTCACAATCTTGCCGCCAGGTTTGCCCAAGGCCGTGAAGAAAAAGATGAACGAAGCGGAAGCTGCTGCGGAAGCCGAAGGTAAAGAGGTGCCACGTTCGGAACTTGCGATGGTGAAACCAATGGTTTACCCACGGGAAGCATAGAAACTACATGGAAAATACCAACACGTTGGTTATGAAGTAGTGGATTATGTGCTATGTGGCAGTGGGTCAAAACCTTGTACCCCTGGTGAACATCAAAATAGCTGGTAAATGGATGTTCATCCCCCTAAAAATGGTATGTATAGGTATTGATCCAAAGCCATGTGAAGGTTCAATAGAAGCGGTTTATAACTTATAATAACTTAGAATATAACCCAAAAGGGGAGAAATAGTTACAACGAATCTGTAGAATGGGATAGGACCTGATAGGACATATTTGTTCATGGGGACAACCATCAGGATCTCAGCGGGGGCACGTTTTTGACCCGTTTCCCATAACAATGAGATCTCAAAACAATCCAAAAGGGGAATGTATGGCCATTTGGAGGTTTCTCAACGCAACAAAAACATTGGTTCCCTTTACAACATGACATAAAATGACCAATGTCCCCACTGGAATTTGGAACATCTTGGAAGGAACCACAGCTCCAGCTGGTGATTGCCCGTGAGGTACACCAGAATCCCGAACCTCAGCATTTTTGACAAGACGGCTTAGACCCCTCTCAATCCCAACCATGTCGTTCTGAACCTGAAACTATGTTTAATTTGATAATCTTTTGGGGGTTTGATGGATTTGCCATTTACCACTTAGAACCGACTGAAACTGAAAAAATCTTGGCAGGCTACCATCAAGATGACTGACCCTGGTATGAAACCATAGAAAAACAATGAAAAACATATCTGCCAGGTGAAGGAAAAGGGCCTCTTGTACTTCCGCAAGCCAGATGTCAATCACCAAGAAGGTCAGTGACCGCGGGTGTTTCGCTGTTGGATTCCACCAGATGACTGTCCTATTGAAGATTGCGGATGGGAGGGTCACTTGGAACTTGGAACCTATCTGTATATGGGTTTGTCTGAAAATAGGGTATATTCCCAATTATAGCGATTTAATAGGGATAATGATCATTAACCATTGGGTTTAGGGGTACACTATTTTCAGACACACACACACATATATATATATAGATAAAGAACACCACCTGAAAAACGAGGTGACCTTCCTATGGATAAACCAATCATGAACAACACCCAATCCATTGGTTTTCCAGATTAAATCCAATTAAATCTGATTAAATCCCAATACATCCCAATACATCCCATGTTAAATCTGATGAAACCCTATTAAATCCCATTAAATCTGATTATACAAACATGAAATCCCATGAAATCCAACATTTCTTTATTCCATTTTTACACCCAGTTCTCTCAGAGTTCTCAGGCTTCAAGTTGACCGATGGCACTCCCGTGACCTTCCGCCTTTATGTGGACAACTTGGGCGCCGGCGCGCTCGACGTGTCTATGGCCTGAGCATTCTGTTGAGACCTGGGGGCGGTGGGGGAAAAAACATGTTAAGCACAAGGCCCGGAAATGCTGGGTTTGAACATCTATGTTTGTAATCACTTGGAGCTGTTTTTTTTGGGTTCTATGATGTTCTATTTCCGTTTGCTAGTGTTTAAGTTTGGTATGTCTCATTTTCCAGCCGGATGAATATGGAGTTGGTGTTTCTGGACTGTATCACCGCCTACGGGTAACGTTGGTGTTTCTGGCTCCAAAACTTTGGCGCTGACGGTGCTGACGGTTGGGACAGCTCCATCCGGGGGAGCCCGATATGAAACTGCCATCAGGCGCAGGCAGCTGAGAATTTTTGGCATGATTCCCAGCAAATACTTACACAATCTTACTCATATGTATATATATATATATATGTACTATATATATAATTGTATATATATAAATATCATAATATATATATAATACATATATATATGTTATCCCATTTTTGTCGGTTGAATCCCATTGTATAAATCACCATTCAATGACCATTAAATCATCCTATTCAATGATTGCTGGTTGAGTTCCAGCTCTGTTGTCACAAGCGAGTCTTGGAGCAACAGACTCCATTGCCGGTCGGTTGGCCAAAAAACATCCGTCGTTTCTTCTGTTGGCGAAATCTGATCCACCTTATGAGGTGCGGCTTGACACCATTGGGAGCAAGTTATAACGAGCTCACTGTTCTCCCTCACTATAATCATGGTTAATAAGGGGAATCATCCCAAAATGGCCCAACATTTCAGGTTAGTGAAATATTCTAATCAATCCCCATCACTATTGACCCACTATTAATCCGTATTAATCACTATTAATCCACTATTACAATTTACCCAGACCATTTGGGGAATCGCCTTAGATGTGGATGTTCTTCCCATGGACTCTGTGAAGCCGGGTTTAAAAGAAAAAACGTTTTGAAATCCATGAATGGATGACACAACTTGGTTTTTGAAGACTGCAAATATATTGTTGTCAAATGTGAAAACCTTGTGTGAATCACAACATTTCCAGATGGCCGGTGAGTGACATAAGCCACTCGATGATTTGGTTGGTTGATGGTTCGGGGGTCAAAAACCAGCCGATAGGGCTAGGGGTTGATCATACTCCATGAATGTGGAATGTCCCATGAACACCAACCATTAAGTGGATGGTAAATCTGTTGAATCAGTTTAAGTGGGAGTGTCGTCTCTGACATGGGTAACACGCTCACTGCACTAGAGTCGCTCGCTTCATGCACATGAATCTTTGGTTCATTTCGCAGTTTCAGGCTGCTGCAAATCCAAAAAAAAATGGTGATGCCAACATCAATGAACACAAGGCACTTTTTCACTTTTTGTTTCTTCTGATAGATCCATTAAATCGCCTTTCGGTAGCATCATGGGAAAGGGTGGCAAAGGAAAGGGCGGTCGCATCAGCAAGGTTGGAACGGGGCCGAACTCTGAATGCTGGTGTGTCTGAATCATACTATATGATGCACTGTAATGCAATATGATGTAGTAATATGTATAGTAATATGTTACGGTCATGTATAGACATATAGTCATAATATAGTATTGTAATATGTATTATATATATATATATACATTTTATCATATGTTTCACATGATACGTATAGTATGCCTATATGTAAATGTACGCGCAAACACCCCGATTCGCCCACACCCCTTCTATGCTGTACACTTGGGGATATCAAACATTAGACTTTACATTCGATTGGGAAGATCAACAAGGGTATTTAGGGAATGTAAATTTCCCACCCGCGTTAAACTTTACATTCATTGAAGATCTTCAATAAGGGTTTAATTCTCCCACCCCTGTTAAACTTCTACATTCATTGAAGATCTTCAATAAGGGTATTAATTCTCCCACCCCCGTTAAACTTCTACATTCATTGAAGATCTTCAATAAGGGTTTAATTCTCCCACCCCCCGTTAAGCTTCTGCATTCATTGAAGATCTTCAATAAGGGTTTAATTCTCCCACCCCCGTTAAACTTCTACATTCATTGAAGATCTTCAATAAGGGTTTAATTCTCCCACCCCGTTAAACTTCTACATTCATTGAAGATCTTCAATAAGGGTTTAATTCTCCCACCCCCGTTAAACTTCTACATTCATTGAAGATCTTCAATAGGGTTTGATGATGATGATGATGATGATGATTGATGATTGATGATTGATGATGATGATGATTGATGATGATGATGATGATGATGACTGATGATGATGATGATGATGATGATGTGTAAGAGACTCGCACAGGTCCCTATGCTGTGCGTGCCGATATACAACATGAAGTTGGCCATGATGCAAAAAAACTCCAATTTTTACCACGTTTTCAGCACATACGAAGATGGCCGCCGACAAGCGCGGGCAAATCGAGGTGTTTGCCCGTAAATGTACAGCGTGCATATGTACATATGCATGTATATATATATATGTATAAAATGCACAAAACATAGAGTCTGTATGTCATTACATAATACATTACACATACGTGTATATACATATGTGTATACATATATATATGTATATGTATGTAATTTCTAAAAATGAAGGCTGTGTTTGGAACCAAGGGTCAAAAACCTGAGGAATGTCATCTCCACTGTGCGGTGGAATCTAAGCAATGTCATTGGGAATGACCATCCCATCAGAGATGGACATTTGAAGAATTGTTGTAACCACACCAAAATCGTCAGCAAAGGTTTAAATTACCACCATTCTAGGATTGGATGTTGTCAAATTATTTTTGGGGGTTAATATGTAGTTGATGCTGGCCAAATGCTGTGGGATCACTGGCCCTTTTGTGACCATGTGATCGCTGAAAAGTCATCCCACTCCTAGTCATAATGGTTTATGCATCGATCACAAGATAGATAGAATTCAGCGTTTCTCCCATGTTATGAATATCAGCTATGAGTACAATAGTCTATAATTACCATTCTCATGCATGAGAATAACCAGCCGAAAAATAGATAGAACAGCATGCTGTTCGACACAGGTCTGGACCACGCCAAAGAAGTGGGAATCCAGCAAGGGCAAATCCCAGGGCAAATCCAAAGGAAAGGGAGGCGAGAAGAGGGGATACGGCTGCTGTTTCACCCCAGGAATCGTAAGTAGGTTATAACCCCTAACATGTCATAACTGGTGCTAACCCTACTTACCCTACTTCTAATTGGTGTGAACCGACCCACCTACTAACTGAGATGAACTGCCAAGTAGCTCGATCAAAGGCAGAGTTTGGGCCTGGGTTGACCTGGATCGCTCAAACGGGCCCAATGCCCATCAACAGCCTGTTGATACTCCAAAAAGGTATCTCTCGTTGTGGTCATGTCTGCGGCCGCTGGAAATTTCCGACCTGCCGGATTGGGTCTCAGGTCTCAGAATGTATCAAGCAGAACTTACATGGCAACATGTTGCCAACATGTTGCAGGGAAAATTCACTCAGAACTATGCGCAGGAGCCAACAGTGTTCTTTCCCATGATCGAATAGAAAACTGGAACCCTTCGGCTTTAATTTTTAAGCCAGACATCATGGAATGGTTTGCCAGGGTTTTTGCCATCCGTGGTACACTTTTCATGTTTACATGGGGTTCAGTCATCATGATCGGACTGTGGGGCAGACTGACCTGTAGAGCAAATAAACTCAAGTCTGGATGCTTGAACTAGGAACTTCCCAGTCCAAGTTGAGTGTCTTGGAAAGCCTTGCTGTGCGAGTCCAAAAGAAGTCCAGTCTACAAGCCCCGTGGGTGACCAACTCTTTTTAGCGGCTTACGGCTTCGATGCCAAAGCGTTCTGTGCATCTCAGATCATTGGTGCGTTGAGCTGTAGTCACTTGCTGACCTGAACCGTGTCTGGTTCTTCTTTCGGTAGTTGCGTAGGTGAACCAGCTGCAAACTGTTTTGGGCCATGGCTCACCTCGCGCTCATGGCCCCAAAGGGCAATGGTGTGTCTGGAGGTTCTTGGGTAGAGTTGACGCCTAGCATGCTTGGACGAGAAAAATAGGAAAATAGGAGTGGTTGCTCCTACTTTATTGCTGTTGAAGCAGATGCGGGCAGCTTCTGTATTGGGCAAGCTGCTCAACAGAGCCTTGTGATCATGCGTCACCCAACTGGGATTAGCCTGTGCATAGCTGGATCAACATGATCAAGGATGCTATTCGCAATGGTTTCTACCTATTTACCACATTTTAGGACAAACAACTTTGGAAAAGGCCAAGGAACAGCTTCAGAGCTTGTTGTTGGTGCAGGTGGCCATTGGGTCTGGGTGGACGAAGCACCCAAAGTCTACAAGACCAAGAGCAAAGGCAAGGGCAAGGGCGTGAAAGGCGGCAAGGCCAAGGGCAAGGGAAAGAGGAGCCTTGGCAGCCTTGGACCGGAAGAATTTCCGAGAGGAAGCTGGTGATGTCATTTTTTCATTTTCAACCATAGACATGGGATGATGACCCCCAATAAAGATTATATGTTTCAAGTTTCAGGGTGTATTGAAACTACCAACGAGGAAACTTGGCAAAGGGACTTCCCAAAAACGGGATCTACCTTTACATCTTTGGCGATCTTTGGATTTCAAAGACTTAAAGTTTCCGAATCTAACGCTTTGAGATGGACATCCGAAGTCTTAGTGTTTCCAGGGTGTAGTTGTTGTATTTGGTCTCTGGGTGAACCTTGTTGAACCTTTTATTCAGCCCAACATGGATTATATATATATTATATTTATATATTTGCGCATATGTAAATGTATATATATATATGCATATCCTGTATATTTGCAAATCTATTATATCGATATGTAATATCTCTATATCTATATATCCATATTAATATATCTATTCATCTATCTATCTATCCATCCATCCATCCATCCATCCATCCATCCATCTATCTATCTATCTAACTTTCTATCTTTCTATCTATCTATCTTTCTATCTTTCTATCTTATCTATCTTATCTATCTTATCTATCTATCTACCTATCTATCTGTCTGTCTGTCTATTCATATCTATCTATCTATCTATCTTTCTATCTAACTATCTATCTATCTATCTACCTATCTACCTATCTATCTATCTATCTATCTTTCTATCTTATCCACCTTATCTACCTGCCTATCTATCTTTCTTTCTTTCTTTCTATCAGGTCAAGACTCCCGGAGGCCGGCTCGCATCCTTATCCCAGTGCTAATTAGAAGGGCCCACACAAGCTGGACCCTTGCCATGGAAAGCTCATCGTACCTTGGCTGCATTAAAGAATCTCGCAGGCCGGCTCGCATCCTTATTCCGGTGCTCTATCTATCTGCCGCATCTATCTATCTATCTATCTATCTTTCTATCTTTCTATCTTCTCTATCTATCTATCTATCTATCTTTCTATCTTATCTTGTCTTATCTATCTATCTTTCTTTCTATCTATCTATCTATCTGTCTATCTATCCATCTATCTACCTATCTATCTATCTATCTGTCTATCTGTCTATCTGTCTATCTGTCTATCTGTCTATCTATCTATCTACCTATCTATCTATCTATCTGTCTACCTATTTATCATTCTATCTATCTATCTATCTAACTTTCTTATTTTCTTATTATCTTATTATCTTATCTATCTTATCTATCTTATCTATCTTATCTATCTTATCTATCTTTTTATCTTATCTATCTTATCTTTCTTACCTATCTTACCTATCTTATCTATCTTATCTATCTTATCTATCTTATCTATCTTATCTATCTTCTCTATCTCATCTATCTTATCTACCTTATCTATCTTATCTATCTTATCTATCTTATCTATCTTATCTATGTATCTACCTACCTACCTCCCTACCCTACCTACCACCCTACCTACCTACCCAACCTACCTAACCTACCTAACCTACCTAACCTACCGAACCTACCCAACCTACCTAACCTACCTAACCTACCTAACCTACCTACCTACCTACCGACCGACCGACCTACCTATCTACCTACCTTATCTTTCTACCTATCTATCTATCCATCTATCTATCTGTCTATCTATTTCCATATATAGAATGGGCTAGCGCCCAGGTGCCGCCGACCCCCCTAATTGGAGGGGGGGTACTGCAGAGAGAGAGAGGGAGACGGACAGCAAGACAGACATATGGGGATGGGTCAAAACCTTGTACCCCTGGTGAACATCAAAATAGCTGGTAAATGGATGTCCATCCCCGTAAAAATGGTATGTATAGGTATTGATCCATAGCCATATGGCCGTTTGCTTCTCAAGCAGCGAGGGGTTGCACCCTGCGGCCAAGTTGCACCCTGCGGCCTGCGTTTGAGGCCTGGCAAACGGCAGCCTTGAACGCCTATAAGAGGTCCTTATAGCCAGTGCTGCGGCCGGGGGGTGCCCTTCAGCCATTGCTGTGGCCTTGTGGTGGCTTTTGCGTGCGGGAGTGGCGCGCGTTGGGATTGTTGGGGTACCTTTTCCCTGCGGAGCTGGGCGGACGTGTGGAGGGTTTGGAGTGTTTGAGGCCTGGCAAACGGCAGACTTGAACGCCTATAAGAAGCCATTGCTGTGGCCGGGGGGTGCCCTTGAGCCATTGCTGTGGCCTTGTGGTGGCTGTTGCCTGCGGGCGTGGCGCGTGTTGAGCTTGTTGGGGTACCTTTTGCCTGCGGAGTTGGGCGGACTTGTGGAGGATTTGGAGGGTTTGAGGCCTGGCAAACGGCAGCCTTACATGCCTATAAGCAGCCATTGCTGCGACCGTGGGGTGCCCTTGAGCCATTGCTGTGGCCTTGAACGCCTATAAGAGGCCCTTATAGCCATTGCTGCGGCCGGGGGGTGCCCTTCAGCCATTGCTGTGGCCTTGTGGTGGCTTTTGCCTGTGGGCGTGGCGCGTGTTGAGCTTGTTGGGGTACCTTTTGCCTGCGGAGTTGGGCGGACTTGTGGAGGATTTGGAGGGTTTGGAGCGTTTGAGGCCTGGCAAACGGCAGCCTTAAATGCCTATAAGCAGCCATTGCTGCGACCGTGGGGTGCCCTTGAGCCATTGCTGTGGCCTTGAACGCCTATAAGAGGCCCTTATAGCCATTGCTGCGGCCGGGGGGTGCCCTTCTGCCATTGCTGTGGCCTTGTGGTGGCTTTTGCGTGCGGGAGTGGCGCGTGTTGGGCTTGTTGGGGTACCTTTTCCCTGCGGAGCTGGGCGGACTTTTGGAGCGTTTGGAGGGTTTGAGGCCTGGCAAACGGCAGCCTTGAACGCCTATAAGAAGCCATTGCTGCGGCCGGGGGGTGCCCTTCAGCCATTGCTGTGGCCTTGTGGTGGCTTTTGCGTGCGGGAGTGGCGCGTGTTGGGCTTGTCGGTGTACCTGTTCCCTGCGGAGCTGGGCGGACTTTTGGAATCTTTTGGAGCGTTTGGAGGGTTTGAGGCCTAGCAAACGGCAGCCTTGAACGCCTATAAGAAGCCATTGCTGCGGCCGGGGGGTGCCCTTCAGCCATTGCTGTGGCCTTGTGGTGGCTTTTGCGTGCGGGAGTGGCGCGTGTTGGGATTGTTGGGGTACCTTTTCCCTGCGGAGCTGGGCGGACTTTTGGAGGGTTTGGAAGGTTTTGAGGCCTGGCAAACGGCAGACTTGAACGCCTATAAGAAGCCATTGCTGCGGCCGGGGGGTGCCCTTGAGCCATTGCTGTGGCCTTTGTGGTGGCTGTTGCCTGCGGGCTGTGGCCGCGTGTGAGCTTGTTGGGGTTTGTGGGGTACCTTTGCCTTTGCGGAGTTGGGGGACTTGTGGAGGATTGGAGCGTTTTTTTTGAGGCACTGGCAAAACGGCCCAGCCTAATTGCCTACTATAGCAGGCCATTGCGGCGACGTGGGGTGCCCGTGAGCATTTGCTTGCGGACGGGGGGGGGTGCCTTCAGCCATTGACCTGTGGCCTTGTGGGGTGGGCTTTTTGCGTGCGGGGGAAAGTAGTGGCGCGTGTTGGGCTTGTTGGGGTAGGGGTACTTTCCCTGCGGAGCTGGGCGGACATTTTGGAGCGTTTGGAGGGTTTGAGGCCTGGAAAAGGCAAGCCTGAACGCCTATAAGATAGCGATTTGCTGCGGGCCGGGGGTTGCCCTTCAAGCCATTGTGTGGCATTGTTGGTGGCTGTTTTGCGTGCGGGCGGGGAGGGAGGTGGCGCGCGTGTTGGGTTTGTTGGGGTACCTTGTCCCTGCGGAGCTGGGCGGACTTTTGAAGGGTTTGGTGCGTTTGAGGCCTGGCAAACGGCAGCCTTGAACGCCTATAAGAGGCCCTTATAGCCAGTGCTGCGGCCGGGGGGTGCCCTTCAGCCATTGCTGTGGCCTTGTGGTGGCTTTTGCGTGGGGGAGTGGCGCGTGTTGGGATTGTTGGGGTACCTTTTCCCTGCGGAGCTGGGCGGACTTTTGGAAGGTTTGGAGGGTTTGAGGCCTGGCAAACGGCAGACTTGAACGCCTATAAGAAGCCATTGCTGCGGCCGGGGGGTGCCCTTGAGCCATTGCTGTGGCCTTGTGGTGGCTGTTGCCTGCGGCCTTGTGGTGGCTTTTGCGTGCGGGAGTGGCGAGTGTTGGGCTTTTTGGGGTACCTTTTCCCTGCGGAGCTGGGCGGACTTTTGGAGCGTTTGGAGCGTTTGGAGCGTTTGGAGGGTTTGAGGCCTGGCAAACGGCAGCCTTGAACGCCTATAAGAAGCCATTGCTGCGGCCGGGGGGTGCCCTTCAGCCATTGCTGTGGCCTTGTGGTGGCTTGTGCGTGCGGGTGTGGCGCGTGTTGGGCTTGTTGGGGTACCTTGTCCCTGCGGAGCTGGGCGGACTTTTGGAGGGTTTGGAGCGTTTGAGGCCTGGCAAATGGCAGCCTTGAACGCCTATAAGAGGCCCTTATAGCCAGTGCTGCGGCCGGGGGGTGCCCTTCAGCCATTGCTGTGGCCTTGTGGTGGCTTTTGCGGCGGGAGTGGCGCGTGTTGCGATTGTTGGGGTACCTTTTCCCTGCGGAGCTGGGCGGACTTTTGGAGGGTTTGGAGGGTTTTGAGGCCTGGCAAACGGCAGACTTGAACGCCTATAAGAAGCCATTGCTGCGGCCGGGGGGTGCCCTTGAGCCATTGCTGTGGCCTTGTGGTGGCTGTTGCCTGCGGGCGTGGCGCGTGTTGAGCTTGTTGGGGTACCTTTTGCCTGCGGAGTTGGGCGGACTTGTGGAGGATTTGGAGGGTTTGGAGCGTTTGAGGCCTGGCAAACGGCAGCCTTAAATGCCTATAAGCAGCCATTGCTGCGACCGTGGGGTGCCCTTGAGCCATTGCTGTGGCCTTGTGGTGGCTTTTGCCTGCGGGCGTGGCGCGTGTTGGGCTTGTTGGGGGACCGTTTCCCTGCGGAGTTGGGCAAACTTTTGGAGGAGTTGGAAGGTTTGGAGGGTTTGAGGCCTGGCAAACGGCAGCCTTGAACGCCTAAAAGAAGCCATTGCTGCGGCCGGGGGGTGCCCTTGAGCCATTGCTGTGGCCTTGTAGTGGCTTTTGCCTGCAGCGTTGGGCGTGGCAAGGGTTCAAGAAAGACAGGATCCACACCTCCGGTGGTCCCAGGCGCCGCCCCGGCCTTGGCGAAGGCCGGGGTCGGCGGATATTTATGTATCTTTCTATTTATATACCTATCACCCTAAACTATACACTCATATATTTGAGTATCTGTATATATATATATAATATATATATATGTATCTATCCAGCTATACAATCTTAGATATAAATGGATCCACGGCAAGATTGCTGGTGAGCCTCCAGGAGGGCAGCGCCCTTGAAGAGCGAGTTTTGGAACAAGAAGGCGGCGTGCCATGCCATGGTACCGTAACGCCTACGGATCCTACGGTTCGTGGTGCAAAATGGTGCAATTTACTAAGCTAAGTTGGCGAACAGTTCGTAGCTTAACAGTTTGGCTTCTGGTAGATATTAATCAAGGTATTCAGATTCAGGACATCGGGCAAGTCAGTGGGCTAAGTGAAGAGGCTGATCCTACATTTTGGGCCCTGTCAGTGGTGTTTGTTGGTTTGTAAACCAAGATATATCAATTTATATAAATAGCTATATTTACGTCCAAACACCAAGCTCAGGTATGGGACCCGTGCGCCGTTGCGCAAGTCATCCTGAACCCTACCACAATAAAATCCTAAAGCTTTCAACCTTAAACCAAAAGCCCTAAACCTCAAACAACAGTAGGCAAATCAATCTAAAACCAAAAAACTTAAACACATAAACCCTAAAACCCTAATTCTAAACCCTAAAACCTTGGAAACCGAAAAGTGATGTTGGGCGACAAGGGGTGTCTGAGCATATAGTTACTGTACAGTTATCACAAACCATAATTCTTGGAGTTATGTTCGCCAACTTAGCTATCGTTTGGGGGCCCCACTTTGTACAAATCTTCGAATTTGTGTGTCCACTGGATACTTCTGGATACCCCACTCTGCTGGTTGCTTTCCCGAAAGTCCCCATAGGTGGAAGCCGAAGGACGAAAGGAGAACGGCGGTGCTGGTTCGTTCATCCTTAGGAACTTTTATCATGCCTTAGGAAGGTCGGAACCAGGATTTTTTTTCCGGGGAAAACTATCATCTATACCATACTGGAAACACGTTTCTATTTTTTGGGTGTTGCTAGAATATTGAAGACCCCCTCTGACAGTGAGTCAGAAATATGTGGTTTCATCCCCTACTTTTTACCATGGTTGATATTGTTCATGGGGGCGGGGGCTGGGATGAAGTTGTAAAGCTTGTGAGTTTTTTGGCCATCCAGATGGATTCCATAATGGATGAATCCACTGGCATATTAGCGCTTAAATAATATTGTGTGAGTTATACCCTCTGGTAATTTAATATAGCTATGGAAAATCACCATTTTAATACGTAAATCATTCATAAATGGTCCATTTTCCATAGCTATGTTAGTTTACTGGAGGGTAACCCATACCTGCTAAGTAGGACGCATCAAGTATGACTATGACTGGGAAGTGACTGGTCCTTGACATAAGTACCTTTGCTTGGGTAGCGATATGGCTATGGGGGAAGATTTCAGGCCAAAGGACCATGGATACTTGGTGGTTTTCAGATGATTTTGTCATTTAGCTATCCATTTTGAGTATGTTTGACCGAGACATGTATTCGTTGCTACCATAGGCAATGAACATTATCCATAGAATTTCATAGATATTTGTTTGAAATTATTGGATCCTGTAGTGAAAGTATCTTCCATGAACAAACATTGTGAAGTTGTGCTAATCAGCAGAAAGAAGCAACAATCTTCAAAGATCAAGTTCACTATATATATATACACACCTATAAAGTTAAAATATCCCAGTTTGATGGATATATATGGATAATCTGATATTTGGTTTTGTTAAATGGAATTCAATATATCTGTGGAATTCTATGTTAAATTATATCTTCCATGTCTTCATTTTCATTGCTAAAAACAAAAGACAGTGATTTCTAGCTGAAGACTTGCGCCAATTTTATGTCAGAAGCAAAGAAGCGAGAGTTGAGTTCATCCGTCCTGGCCAAAGCAGATGTCATTGATGCTGTGCGTATACCTATCTACATATATAAACTATAAATCCATATCTATATATATATATATACCCACAAATCAGTGTATATATATATATATATCATTATATTGTATATATATATATACATGCTCGCAGTTCTTTTGTCAACATATATCAGTAGTAGGTGTATATGTATATATATATATATTGATTTATCATCTTTTTATCAATATATATATATATACATATACGCAATGCCCCCCAAGATCGGTGTTCAGATGGTTTTGCAGCAGTCTTTTCAACCAAGAGTCATTTCTAGTCCGTGAATGTCAGTGAAATCTGCACTGGGGCCGTCGGCTCCATGGAGTTTGAGCTCATCAAATGTGATGTGATGTGATGTGCGTATCTCTCTCTCTCTATATACATATGCGTATATATATATATATGCATATAAATTATTGTGAGTGTTCATAGATACCATTGTTACATGTATCCCTGTATATTTACAAATAGCAATATCTATCTATATTTGTCTCTTTATACACACATATTTTTTGAGTTATTAAGAAATACAACCCCATTTTGCATAGATGTATACAACATTTATAAATATACATGTGCAGGCACGCAAATTCTAAGATACCATGGAGATACCATGGATCCCAGGACTGTCTTAAGTTGAAGATCTCGACCCGTGGAATCATAATATCTCTTGTCAATGGATGTTCATCTCCTCATTCAAGTACCCTCTGGTAAACTAACAGTTCGTTATGGAAAATCACAAGCTTTCATAGGTAAACCAACGAACTAAATAGGCCATTTTCAAGAGCTATGTTAAATTACCAGAGGGTATTGCTTTTCACCCATCAGCTTCCTGAGTTTGGATTTTCAAGAAGGCGTGGGCCCACTGTTCTGATTCTTTTGCCTGTCACGCTGTCTGTCCCCAGTGTCAAAACAACGAGGAGATTGGAGACACCGTGCTGCCCGGAGTCATTTCAAGGTACAGTGTGAAGCAAGGACTGCGGGGCAATGTGTCCATCATCAACTGGAGATGGATCAAAACTTATTTTAGCATATTTTTTTGGGGATGAGCATCCATTTGCCAGCTATTTTGGCGTGAGAAAACTACCAGGGTTTGATCAGTAGCCTGGGGTGGAGGTCAAAACTTGTAAGGCATCACATGGATTTCTATATGACTGAGCCTCCGTGGTTCGACCTGGAGTGGATGGCTGTACTGGTTGTAAGTTGTTTTTTCCTGAGTCAACCCTAGTTTGGCGGATAAAGAAAGCTGTTTTTTTGTTTGTTTGCCATGGAGACGTTCCGTCTGTGGTGAGGATATGGCTTCATCAAAGCTGACAACCCTCAAGGTGTGAGAGATGTGCTGAGAGACAGCTGTAGTATGACACCAATAGGTAGTAAATGCCTATTTTAACATATTTGCCTAAATGCTTTAAAGCCACACCAAAAAAGCATCAGTGATTATGATTGGTTACATATTCGGTTACGTGACAGAGACAAATAGTTAGTATGACATCCCGAATATGTTGTTTGCCCCGAAAGAATTGAATAGGGAGTAGGGGCGGACATCTTTTAGCATATTTGCCTAAATGCATTTTAAACTACCCCAAAAAACATCAGGGATTCTTAGTAGTTTTCCGGTTGTAGCCACATCTTCTGTGCATATTATTCGAGCCCCTAAATGCATGCAACATATTGTTCCTTATTAAAAGGTCATAAATATCCTTGCGTGCCGGCCCGCGTGCGCAACACGCGTGCCGAACGCAGCGTTCTACGTGCTGCGTGCCAGGGCGCCTATAAGTTTTAAATGATTATAAATAAGCAATATTGCAGCGATAATACGGAATGTTTTGCTATTTTGAAGGAATCTCCCCACTTTCTATGAGTGGTTCGAAGTATGCGTTATAATTTATAATGGTTATATATTAATGGCTACTTCCCACAAAGCCCACAGATTTTCCCGGGGGCGCAGGTTTACCCATCCCAGTACAGAAGAAGATGAATGAAGCCGAAGCAGCCGCAGAAGCCGAAGGGAAGGAGGTTGCGGATCCGAGGGTGCGATGTGGATGTGGATTTGCTACCATAAATTTGGGATTTGACATGATTTTAGATGTTCTTACCAGCCGAATGGGGATTTCAACGACGAACAGGGATTTCAGCAGACCATTGTCCAAAATCTGGGGATTGGAGCCAAAAACGGAGGTTTGAAGCCAAACATGGGGATATGTAGAATGGGATACGGGATAGGGAGATACAACCAGCATCAACCAGCAATATCGAATAGCTTTGTCCAGAATCAAGTTCTCAAACTTTGGGTCAAGTCGTGAGAGGCACTCATGGCTGGTGATTTTCAGGATTTGAACATATCTGAAATCATGCATAAATTGCGGGGCCGCTCACTTTGACCTGGGTCCCAAAAATGGAAGGCCATGGGTTTGTCTAAAAATTCAGTGGAAACCCAGCAAATTCTGATGTTGAATCACAGTGTTTCTCATTAGAGTAAATATTTTCATGGGTATACCCCTTTTTCAGACACAGCCACAGGCCATGAAAATTGGCTGAGAAATTCACTCAAGTCACAGCAGTTCCAGGAGGGCACTGCCTTGAAGGGGCTGAAACAGCCAAGTCATGAGGGACCCCCAGTCGTCACCATTGTTTCAATACCAGTCGGTCCATGACGACTGGATGGTGGGGGTACCCCCAGCCATTAGGAAACCTCCATATGATGTAAGACAATGTAAGACTTGGAGAAATAAGTTTTTCTTTACTGATCAGGGGCTGTGGCTTTTCGGACCAGGTGAAGGAAAAGGGCCTCTTATACTTCCGCAAGCCAGATGTCAATCACGAAGAAGGTCCCGAAGTGGCGGACAGTTTGGGAGTTCATGGGGAGGGTTTGGGTCCAGATGGTGGCAGAATTTGCTTACTTTTGTTTGGGAGGGCGCTCAGTGCTCAGTGTCGGCTAAGGGACCATCGAAAACATCAGGATTCGGAACCCTATTAAATCCCATTAAATCTGATTATATATATATAAACATGAAATCCCACTAAATCCAACATGTTTATCCCATTTTTTCACCCAGTTCTCCCAAGAGTTCTCTGCGCTGTCAGGCTTCAAATTGGCTGAAGGCACCATGGTGACCTTTCGCCTCTATGTGGACAACTTGGGCGCTGGTGCGCTGGACGTGACCATGGCCTGAGCGGTGACCATTGGCCACCGGCGGTGAAATTTCCGGACAAAAATGGAAGGAACTCACCATTTCGCTGGTGTTGTTACGTGTTTTTTACAGGGTTTTAATCACTTGGAGTTGGAGTGTTCGATGTTTTAACATGTTTTAACTGTCCGTGTTATGCGTGATCGTGGAGCTGGATTGACATGACAGTTGTTGATGCTATCACTGCCAACGGCAATGGAGCCTGAACCATATGAAACTGCGATGAGGTGCAGTCAGCCGAGAGTTTCTATCCTTGTGCAGTTAAAGTCACAGAAGTATGTTGTTCAAAGAATCTGAAGACCTTTATTGTTTTCAGTTGTTGTTACTTACATAATCTTGGAGCAACAGACTCTGACGATTGCCGTCGTCGGCGACGAACAACTTGACACTTTGAGGTGAAACACTCTGGCGGGGGGAGGGGGTTGCCTTCAGGGGGCATTGTTGATCCTCATTTCTGGCATCATCTCAATGTCAATCCCAATTTGATCATTGTAAAATCTTGAGTGACTTAGACTTACTTTATTGAAATTTGAAACATCCAAATAATTTCGAAATATCCAAATGCCTTGACAATGGCTTCTGGGCTACCTTTGCAGCAAAATGAACGTAAACTTTTTGGGGATGACCTCCCTAATAAGGAAACAAATAGGCTTCACCACCCCAAAAAACAATAATAATTTTACTTCGTGTGATCCCCACCACGGCATATATCCTGATATATATTCTTGAGTTCTATCTGGCATTACATATACATATATATATATACACATATATATATATATACATATTCTAACATATGGTCTGACATCTGCTCTGACATTCTATCTGACGTATATTCTGACATTTTATTTGACATTCTATCTTGCATTCCTTCGTAACATATATTCTGACATTTTATCTGGCATTCTATCTGGCATTCCTATCTGACATAGATTCTGACATTCTATCTGATATACTATATTCTTAGATGCTATCCGACATTTTAACTGACATTCTATTTGATATGTATTCTGGCATTCTATCTGGCATTCCATATGTCATTTTTTCTGGCATTCTATCTGGCATATAGTCTGATATTATATTTGAGATATTTTCTGACATTTTATTTGACATTCTTTCTGGCATGTATTTTGACATTCTTTTAGGCATTCTATCTGGCATCTATTCGGGCATTCTATCTGATATCCTATCTGATGCCCTATTATATCTGATATATTTTTTCGACAATTTATTTGGCATTCTTTCTGATTCTTTCTGACATTTTATTTGGCATATGTTGGTGTTATTTCTCTTGATCTTTCTTGTCTCTTTTTTGTCTAGATATCCGGAGCTCGCGATCGCGTTCGGGTGTGCCCAGCTGCATGCTTGCGATAGCGTTCGGGTCTATGCCCACAGTCGCAACGAACTGGTAAAAAAAAGGAGGAAACACAATTAAAATATTATTTTAAGCATATCTATTTCTTTTAAACTAAAATGCGAAAAGTGCCCCTAATATTAAAATAAAAATAAAAGCATATTTTAAATCGAATAAACATTATTTTCAAAAAATAATTAAATTAGTGCTAAAATTAGATATAATTTTCTTTCCTAGGAATATTGTTCTTAATAACACATTAAATATTTGAATATTTTGATTGAATATTTAACCATTTTTTTTTATGTATATCATTTTCTTTAAATAAGTATTTTCAATTGTTTGATATGTATATATATATATACAATTTGCTTGCCGGATCTACAATATTGATCATGAACAAGGTCAAGGTAGCGGTCCAGCCGAGCCAAGCGATTGCTTGACAAGACCAACATGCATGGACAAAAGTCACCAATAGACCGAGTATCAGCATCCTCAGAGGGTTTGATTCGGCTATCGACCGCCACCCCAATCGTACGTGACATGTTCAAATCTTTAAATTGGAAATATCTATTCGATATAATTATAGCTATATTTTTAATTGTAATATTTATTCGGAATTATTTTGAATCTTAATATTATTGAAATTTGAAATATGATTTTATATCAATTTAATATGAATATGTATATTAAAAAAATAGGTAATAATAATTATTGACGTTTTGTGCATATAAATGCACACCATATCTAAATTATAGGGTCATTATTGTAAAACCCGAGATTTAAGGCTATTTTCGGAATTTATTGGAATTTGTCGGAAGTGTGGGGGTTGATGATTGGTTCGGGGGTTATACCACCCAATATATAGGGGTTGATCACACTCCATGAATGTGGAATGTCCCATGACACCAACCATTAAGTGGATGGTAAATCTGTTGAATCAGTTTAAGTCGGAGTGTCGTCTCTGACATGGGTAACTGCGCTAGAGTCGCTCGCTTCATGCACATGAATCTTTGGTTCATTTCGCAGTTTCAGGCTGCTGCAAATCCAAAGAAAAAATGGTGATGCCAACATCAATGAACACAAGGCACTCTTTCACTTTTTGTTTCTTCTGATAGATCCTATCATCGCCTTTCGGTAGCATCATGGGAAAGGGTGGCAAAGGAAAGGCCGGTCGCATCACCAAGGTTGGAACGGGGCCGAACTCTGAATGCTGGTGTGTCTGAATCATACTATATGATGCACTATAATGCAATATGATCTAGTAATATGTATAGTAATATGTTACGGTCATGTATAGACATATAGTCATATAGTATTGTAATATGTATTATATATATATATACACATTTTATCTTATGTTTCACATGATACGTATAGTATGCCTATATGTAAATGTACAGTGTGCATATGCATATGTACATGTATGTATATATATACACACAAAACATAGAGTCTGTATGAAATTACATAATAAATCATACATACACGTATATACATTATAATATTTTTTTTTGCAATACAATACCATACCATACCATGCCATACCATACCATGCCATGCCATGCCATGCCATGCATACATACATACATGCATACATACATACATGCATACATACATCCACGCATACATACATACATCCATCCATCCATACACCCATACATCCATACATCCATACATCCACACATACACACATACATACATACATACATACATACATACATACATACATACATACATACATACATACATACATACATACATACATACATACATTTTAATCATATCCTTCACATGATACATATAGTATGGTATGCCTATATGTAAATGTACAGCGTGCATATGTACATATGCATGCATATTTATTTATATACATATATATGCACGAAACATAGAGTCTGTATGTCATTACATAATACATTACACATACGTGTATATACATATGTGTATATATATATATGTATATGTATGTAATTTCTAAAAATGAAGGCTGTGTTTGGAACCAAGGCTCAAAAATCTGAGGAATGTCATCTCCACTGTGCGGTGGAATCTAAGCAATGTCATTGGGAATTACCATCCCATCAGAGATGGACATTTGAAGAATTGTTGTAACCACATCAAAAACGTCAGCAAAGGTTTAAATTACCACCATTCTAGGATTGGATGTTTTCAAATTATTTTTGGGGGTTAATATGTGGTTGATACTGGCCAAATGCTGTGGGATCACTGGCCCTTTTGTGACCATGTGATCGCTGAAAAGTCATCCCACTCCTAGTCATAATGGTTTATGCATCGATCACAAGATAGATAGAAGTCAGCGTTTCTCCCATGTTATGAATATCAGCTATGAGTACAATAGCCTATAATTACCATTCTCATGCATGAGAATAGCCAGCCAAAAAAATAGGTAGAACAGCATGCTGTTCGACGCAGGTCTGGACCGCGCCAAAGAAGTGGGAATCCAGCAAGGGCAAATCCCAGGGCAAATCCAAGGGAAAGGGAGGCGAGAAGAGGGGATACAGCTGCTGTTTCACCCCAGGAATCGTAAGTAGGCTATAACCCCTAACATGTCATAACTGGTGCTAACCCTACTTACCCTACTTCTAATTGGAGTGAACCGACCCACCTACCCAACTGGGATGAACTTTCAAGTAGCTTGATACAAAGGCAGAGTTTGGGCCTGGGTTGACCTGGATCCCTGAAGCGCCAGCTCAAACGGGCCCAAGTTGACGTGAAAGTGTGCCCATCAACAGGCTGTTGATACTCCAAAAAGGTATCTCTCGTTGTGGTCGTGTCTGCGGCCACTGGAAATTTCCGACCTCTGCCGGATTGGGTCTCAGGTCTCAGAATGTAACAATCAGAACTTACATGGCAACATTTTGCCATTCGTGGTACACTTTTCATATTTTCCTGGGGTTCAGCCATCATGATCGGACTGGGGCAGACTGACCCGTAGAGTAAATAAACTCAAGTCTGGTTGCTTGGACTAGGAACTTCCCAGTCCAAGTTGAGTGTCTTGGAAAGCCTTGCTGCGCAAGTCCAAAAAAAGCCGAGTCTACACATCCCAGTTCAAGCCCCGTGGGTGACCAACTCTTTTTAGCGGCTTACGGGCTTACGGCTTCGATGCCAAAGCGTTCACACCGTGGCGTCGGTGTCACTTGTTCTGTGCATCTCAGATCATTGGTGCGTTGAGCTGTAGTCACTTGCTGACCTGAACCGTGTCTGGTTCTTCTTTCGTTAGTTGCGTAGGTGAACCAGCTGCAAACTGTTTTGGGCCATGACTCACCTCGCGCTCATGGCCCCAAAGGGCAATGGTGTGTCTGGAGGTTCTTGGGTAGAGTTGACGCCTAGCATGTAGGGTCGAAAGCCGATTCAGAAACTAACGGCGATTCACAAACTGTGATTCGGAAACTACGATTCAGACACTATTTCCACCGATCCAGAAACTGTCGCGATTCAGAAACTATCGCGATTCAGAAACTACCATTCAGAAACTATCGCGATTCAGAAACTACGATTCGGAAACTACGATTCAGAAACTATCGCGATTCAGAAACATATATACCGCGATTCAGAAACTACGATTCAGAAACCAACGCGATTCAGAAACTATCGCGACTCAGAAACACAC